TGAACAATGTATACACCAAAACGATGCGACTTCCGTGTGTGTGTTTGTTACGATTTGGAATTGACCGAATGGTTGCCGTTGTTGAATGTATATGTGTGTGTGTGCGTGTGTGTATTATTAGGAATTGGAAATGAACGAAGTGTAACAGAACCAGTAGGAAATTCACAAAACTGAAAGAAACAAACAGCTAATTTTTCGACCAAATCTCACTACAATCAACAAATTGCACAGACGATTGCTGTCGCGAATGGACTTAATTACAATTTAACTACGGTTTTAATGTAATTCACAAATTTTTACAGCATCTAAAATGCAATAATACGACGGGAGAACGGTGTGTGTGATTTGCGTGTCGTCGATTTCTGCTCACTCACTCACAAAATTCCGTTCCCAAATTGTCGACTTTAGAATGTCATGGTGAAGCTCACATATGTTATTGGAATATGAATGGAAATGTCGTTTGGCATTTCCATTTGAAGTCATTTCTATCGGTGAAGTAGCGTTATTTATTTTTATTTTGGTATTTTTATGACAGAAAACGGAGAATTTCGGCGATTTTTTGTGTTAGAGTTTTCTTTGAATTGTTCATGTATTTATATAGGTGGTAATCACAGAAAATGGTGAGCTCATCATTTATAATACCCTTCACTTGGAAAATGGTAAATGGATGCGTTTCATTCCGTTTGCGAAAGTGATGTAAGATGTTGGAAGACAGACTGTGCAAAAGCAGCAACAGCGGTAAATTGCATTACATCCTTTCGTCACATCGTTATTTTCTGAAAAGTATCATTGAATCTGCACACATTACCGTCAATGATGCAAGCGTTCTAGGGTTATTTTTATTCAATAACACCCACAACAAATCCATTTAACAGGTCTTTTCAGCAAATGGTTTGTGTCTCTGATATTCCAATTGCATAAATAATGATTAGAGTGGTTAATTTTAGGGAAACACCTGTCACGCTGGAATAGCATTTCGGCCAACGATCTATGATTATGTGAATTCAAATGCGCAATAACTATGCTTTACAAAATGATTTTATTTCTCAATCACACCAAAACAAAAGGAATCTTTTTTGTTCTTTCTAAATGTTAACACAGTTAAGTAATAAAGTCAAAAAAATAAATTAAATAAATTATTTTGATTGTGATCCGCTCAAAGTAGCGGATTCGGAGTATGTTTAGGAATGTATAAATGCAATTGGGTCAAAAGAAAAATTGCAATGAAATAAAAAATTTGCAAACAAAAAGTCAAAATAGAAAAAAAATAATCTTTTGGTAGAAAATCGTTTTAGGTCATAGAAAAATTTGCTATTAAATTGGCGTCCAATGTTCGGCTCGCCATAATATGCAATGGGTTTGGTGGTTTATCTTTTCTTTGGTCTTTGATGGATCCACATCTGTGTAACGGTTGATGAGAGAACGATATCCCTTTCCAACTGATAGGATCACCGGAGTATTTGATGTACATTCAGGAGGCACTGCTGCAATGTACTGCACCTCTTCTTCGTACGGTCGGAACACCGTTGTGGGAGTGAGGGTCGTATTTTCAGCAACAATCAAACAGCCCCAAGATGTACCGACATAAATATTCTCGTTAAGCACACAAACAGCGGTGATCTAATGATGACAAGGACGCAGATTATTACATGCGGTATTTCTTTTTATCGAATTTGCTTTTCGATCTCACGATCTATATTCTTACCTGGCATCTGCCAACACTCAAACTTTTGTCAATGGATATACTACCCAAACTCTCTGAGCATGGAACCAACTTCAAACAATCCAGTTGATTGATGAGTTTCTTCGACAGCGTACTCCATTGGTACAGAACACATCCAGGCGAAGGATATGAATAAACAGAATTCTGTGATGTGGCAAGAATTTTAACTGAAATTTCGCCACTACAGTTGGCATGTTGCAAGTTGAACTGCCGTGATTCAAAGGTGTCGGTTTTGAATTCGAAAATAGTCAATTTTCCATGGCTGTGACCGCACCAAATCGCACACGATCTGTTGGAATGAATAATTTAGAAGTTGATTATAAAATCTGAATCCAAATTCCTGAAATTAGAAAACAATCGTTTACCTCAAGCCGTTACAAAATGTCGTCAAACTGGACAATTTGCTATTGATGCATTGTTCGGCAAGAATAAAATCATCTTTGGCATTGACGCATTTGATCGGATAACAGGTCGAATCTAAGATATATATTCTTCCATTTTCAAGTCCCGCTGCCACAAAATTGGTTCCAGCTATGCATTCTATTTTGATGACGGTTGCATTATCAAGTTCATAGGAAAACGCGCACGTATTTTCCGATTCACTAAAAGAGACAAAGAAGGGGAAAACCAATTAAATATTCAAACGCCTTTATAACATGTTCCTTTTGGCTAAAATGTGCCGTACTTATATGAATGGATCGATCCTTTCGAGTCGCCAATCCAAATGGTGTTCATTTTAACGCTACATATTGCTGTCATTCTGGGTGGAGAATTTGTTCCTTTGATCGGAAGCACTTGTGATGGTTGATATCGTTGATATGACACCCATCCATGTTCATAGCCCGTGATGAGCTCAATGCAACGCTCGATCGAAATCCATAGCTTGAATGAGTCTCCTCGTTGGAATTTCTGATTGCTCAATGTGACCATTGCGAGTACATCATCACTATGTGGCAATAGAATAACGTCGATTAAGTGAGTAAATTCTGGAGCGCATGCGATTGAAACGATTTGGCTGGCCGATGGCCGATTTTTTGGCTGATGATCCCAACACAGAACCATTACATCAAGGCAGTAGCTCGGAAACATAACTTCTCGTGATGTGAACACCGGCCGCGATCCTTCTAAAATCGACTCTTTCACCGTTTCATGGCCTTCTGCAGGACATTTATTATTAACATTATTAGGAAATATAGGACCAAAATTGATAATTTTATTTTTACCAAATGGTTGTCGAAGAGTGATCAACTCGTATATGAGCATTCCGAATGAGAAACAATCAACTTTCTCGGTATACTCTTCCTCTCCGTTATGACATATGATCTCAGGAGCCATAAAACCCTCAGTGCCACCAAAGCCCTTAGTTCCTGTCGGCAGAGAAATTCGGCTAATTCCATAGTCAGCAATTTTAATGTGAACTGGATTGTGCGGAGTGTCGGCACTGTAAAATAAATGATTTACGCTAAAATCTATTTCAATTCTTTTGGACATCTATTTAAAAACTCACTCGGTAGGCTCCGGAATCTTCCACACGAGCACATTTTCCGCTTTCAAATCTCTGTAGATGATGTGAGTGCGATGTAAGTATTCAATAGCCCGAGATATTTGGAGTACAATCAACTGAAAACAATAGGGTCCGATGCGCGATCCACATCGGCGATACTTTTGAATGATCGTGTCTAATGCACCGTAGGGTGCACAATCCAAAATTATTGCAAGCGGTTGCATGCAGACGCCAATCAACGACATGATATTTGTGTGTCTTAAGTTCAACATCACGGTTAGTTCCTGACGTGCGGTGAAATAAGCCCGTGTTGAGTGTTGCAAGGGTTCACGTCGCCATTTTTCCAAAGCGGCTTTGTATGCCATCAAGGCACTCTAACGATGAGACAAAACATATTTGTTAATATTGCAATTTTGTTCGAAACTCAGTTCTATCTCACCTTTCCCGTTCGTATTCCCGGCTGAACTGGTTGCAGCATTTTCATCGCTACTGATCTTTGCTCATCGGCTGGTTTATAGAGCGTCGCCTTGAACACAAATCCAAATGCGCCTCTTCCAATCAAATTGCCTTTTGTGATTTCAGTCACATCAATGACGTTTTCTCCATTTAAATCCAAAAACATCTGAACCATGTCATGAAAAAGCCAGAAGAAATTTAGAAATGAAATAACGAATAGAAAAACCGATAAAGATCTGCAACGTACCAAATCAGGAGCGATTTGAATGACCGAAACATCACCGTGAATCGGACAAACCAACACCTTTTTGTCATAAGTTGATAGAACGCATTCTTCGATAGTCCATAGATAATTCCAAATGGTTGTTTGCAAATACCCTTTATCGTCGATGCTATTCGAAACGTCCAGCAGATTTTCATTCGACTGCCGGAATGAGCCATTCATTGAACTGGTCGATAGACTTTTAGTTTGTTTCTGTTGTGTACGTTCGATGCACACCGGACATGGAACGAGACGAGTAACTAAAAACCGACCCTCCGATGTGTGTACAAATCGAGTGCCAATCGTAGGGTACCAGTCTTCTAACAGAATATCAACATGATCAACGCATGCGGACAGCAGCTTTGTTATCCCTTGAATATTCGGTGGAATACTTTTCGTTTGCTCATTATCATCACTTTGCGTTAATTTGTGAAGTGGGAAATTTATTTCCAAAATACTTGATCGAGACAGATCAACGTCCGACCATATGCCATCTTGTTTGATTTTGAATTTGTTCAAATCATTGCGAAACGGTGAGTTCAAGCAGGTCAACGAAATCTCTCGCAGTTTGAAAATAAGCGTATTAGCCACATATAGTTCCATGCCAGTCTGCCAAAGCTTCCAGTGTATTTTAATCGATGAAGTTGCCTGAAAATTCAAAGATTTGTCAATATTCCAACTTAGTTAGTAATATACCGACTAAATTAGTTTGAATTTGTTCCAACTCACATCATCGGGAATGCTGTAAATGCTCTGAGCAATTTCACCAATTTGATTGTCTGCAAGAATGCGAATCATAAGACGTGACCAAAATCCGGACGGGAAATACGAAATTAATAATAGCCGTGAAAGCGGCTTGAATCCGGTGCCAAATAATTCCGACGACCGGTCGCTGGTTTTTAGCAGTAGATTCGATTCGGATGTGGACATTTTCCGCTTTGGTGACTTTGAGACAACCTGCGTGTAAAAGTGGCACGGTTAAACAAATAGATTTTTCGTATTTTCATACAAAAACACTCACCTTTAGAGTGATTGTGTTTTCTGGTTCATCTTCTGTTAGTGGCAAAAGCGATGGGATGAGCAATGTTCTGAGATCCCAGGTAAGAGCAACCTCGAACTTGTTCAACAGACTCAATATATATCTTTAAAAAACAGTGAAAATGGTCAGAAAAGGGGAATAGTCAAAGTCTCGAAAATGAAAGTGATACTTACTTTCGATCAGTACCGGCAGTTGTTTTGATTAATTGATTGATGTCATCGATTTTCATCACTCCATTCTTCACGAATGGATTAATCTCTTTGATTGTCACAACCTGAGCCAGCATATCGCACAACCATTGGGGGTCCAGGAAAAAGAAATCACGAAGCGTCGAATCGTTGTAATGAAGCAGAACACCATTTTCGTGTAGGAACAGCACTGCCTGATGAAGTTCAGCTGTATCACTGCAAATCGGGATGTTTAAAAGTGTAACGAAAACAATCAATGTGAACTAGGATGTAAAATAAAATTGAGAGTAATTACCGAAATGATTTGAAGTTTTGAAAGTGCATTTCCTGGTACACCCTTTGCTTGAAGTTTTCATAATTCAAAACAGGGTCAGAGCCAACTTGCTTTAAGTAGGTGCTTATATTGGCAACTACATCCTCCAAAGCCAAATAGCTAGAAAATGGAAACACTGTAGAAATTCGTCATAGAAGATTGGTTAGTATAATACCTTGCTGGAACATTCTGATGTAAAAGCAGTTCCTTCGATCCGGGGGATTTGAGTGAAAAAACGGTATCATAAATTAGCGATCCCAACTCGCGAACGTTGTAATGAGTTCTGTAAAAAGAAGAGGTTCGTTTATTGAAGTTATATGGAATTGATTTTTTCTTTCAACGTACTTGCAACTGATCTCAATCGAGCTCATGACTTTGGGTAAGCCAATCTTCTCTGAATCGGTAACAGCAATAAATCGTTCTCGAATGTATTGTTGCAACGAGACGGCTTCGGCCTCTGAGATATTTTCACCAATGTTATCGTGATGTGTACCTATTTGATGACAAATGTTTAATTTTCATTTCGAATTTTCATCATATCGGAAAATCGTTCTTACCAATGATGATGACAGGTGAGTTCGGCGCTCTTGCTTGAATGTTCCCTAACCATTGCAACACTTCAATCAAGCCGCTTTTTCCTTCATCAATCCTCCACACAACCAAGTATAAACTCCGTTTTGACAAAAAGTACTGATGTGTAGCGTAGTACCTGAAACAGAAACGGATTTTTATTACGGATTAGTCCCTTTTCACTTGAATTAATCAATATCCTCTTCAACTTACTCTTTTTGTCCCCCAAAGTCCCAGGTCCGGAACACAACCGGTCCGTACAATGAGCCACCGTTCTTCTTTTTCTCTTCACAAACCAAGTCACCGATATCAACGCCCACTGTCGAAATATTATAATTTTTCTTTTTCGAATTCGATGAAACGGTCGCTCCCATACGCTTTGTCCAATGATCACCCAGCATTTTCTTATTTTGATTTGGATACATCTCACGTAGTAGCTCCAAAATGCTGGTTTTACCGATGCCTTGCTTTCCAACAACCATCAATTTCATGCGTGCATACGGTTTGGCGTCCTCATAAATCGACTTCAGATAACCGATAATCTCCATAGTCTTGAATTTTTTACTTTCAATCATCTGGCTGAGGTAGCCTTGCAATGAACAACCTTTCGTATTTAAATTCCACAAGCGATACAAAAGACCCATATTTGCTGGCAACTCCGTTATTTCCACATTTCCACTTATATTCAATATACTCAAGTTGGTGAGTTTATGCAAAAATTGCGGCACTTCCTGTAATATGCGACAAAAAATGAAACCGGTCATTGAGTGTTTAATTCAATTTAAGTTTGTATCCTCGCCAGCAACATTTGAATTGTAAGTGAATCTCACCTTTAAACAATTATTGCTTATATCTAACATAGACAAATTTGGATACAGCAGTCGTAGTTTGGTTACACCAATATTGGTCCATTCGGTTTCTTCTGTTTCGCTAAAAGTTGTGATGTCATCGGTTGACAGTTGAATTTTGGTGAGCGCATTATCAGCTAGTATCAGTGTCTTTAACGATTCCAGTCTTAAATGTTTCTTATGACAGCATAAATTCTGATAGACATCTGTTTGTAGATTTTCTATTACTGAGCTACGTGATGATTTAAACTTATTCTCGTCGCCGCTTTGATCTATTGGCGAAAAGTACAAATTGATAAAAACGTTTAGGGATTTACAAAAATTATATTTCGATCGATATGAGATTGCTCACCGTTATAACACGCTAAATATGGGTCTCCCGAGTTAACGGTAACTAAACTTGGCCAGCATGAGATTTCGTTATGACTCAAATCTAATTGCCGTAAAAAGACTGGGTAACTTGTGACATGTCCCATCGATCTAAGATTATTGTACGACATATTGAGGCGTGACAAATTTTCGGCAAGGCATGGAAGTGCGGGTGGAATGCTGGTGAATAAATTATTCGAAAGATTTAAATTGCGTAAAGCTGACGATCCTCGAAGTTCTGAGAATTGTGTTGTGTCGCGGTCGACAATTTCAAGGGATTTCGACCAAATATTCTGATGAATTAGCTCATTTTTACTGTGAATGAAAGGGAAATACAAGGGAACAGAATTAAAAACTAATCTTTGGTTGATTTTGCATAAACGTTTGTTCACTGACGCTGGTCGATGTGAAATCGCCTTCAAATCTGTGGACTTATACTTGAACATAGTTGGTGAATCGCTCTGAAATGAGAAAATAACACAGAATTTTGGAATTACACTTAAATCAGACAATGTGTCACAACTTACATCCTCAGATGTTGGAAGATCTTTGAGCAAATTAAAAGCAATATTCAGTTCACGAAGTTTTGGTGCTTTCCACATATCAAATGGAATGCGCTGTAGCTTGTTATTTGAAATGTCTAGAGTGGCTAACGATGGTAATCGAAAAATTTCGGGCAGAATTTCCTCTAAACTGTAATTATAGGCGTGAAAGAAATATGGTAACTCATCATATTAAACTGCAAAAGCACCTAACAAAAATAATACCTGTTGTCCTGTAGATAGATCTCTTCCAAAGCCGGGCTGTTGTATGAACATTCGCTTGATGAAGGCAATTGTTCGATTTTATTCTGAGCTGCATTCAAATACGTCAGACTGCACATTGAAAATATTTCTGGCGGAAGCCATGTGAGGGAATTGTGTGATATATCGATGCGCGTTATTGCACCGAGGGAGATTTGGTTTAGTGTTGAGGACGTTTTCAATTTTGGATTACAGTTGGCAACTGCTCCAAGCAACCATTTCACTCTGTAAATTATGCGGACATGAATTTAGTTTGCATACACTAGTGTATGGTATGGGAGCTTACTTGATTTCTGGTAATTGACAACTGGTAAAATTCCAGTCGATCACAGTGGGATTCGTTGGAAATAAATTACAATACGTATTGCAATATGAAGGCAATGTTTGTCCTAAATTGCTACCAGTCAGCAGATCAGATTCGTTGAGCTTGTGTTCGGAATCTTCATGTGCATGCCTTGCCAGAAGGCAATGAATTAGTTCCTCATCTTCGTTTACACATGCAATCTTTACAGCGCATGAATTTGCATCTTTGGCTCCAAACCTGAGAAGGAGCTCAGTCATCAGAAACGATTTCTGGCGCACAGCTTCAATCAGCACGGAGTTTCCACTGCATTCTTCGCTGTCCAAATCTTCGATTAAATTGCTGTTGTAAATATTCGGATTGATGCCATTACGCAACAAAATGAACACTATGTAGAGGAAACCGCCTCGAACGGCCGCCATCAAGGCAGTCTCTTTTACGTAAGCACACTGCACATTCATATCGATTGGTGAGAGCAGCATCTGACAATCGGGCCTTGTCACGTGTGTGCAAATTAGTCGCCAGTTGAGCAAAGATTCGATAATTACATCATTGCCCGACAAGCATGCGATGTACAATGGCGTTTGATTGAAGTTATCCAACTGATTTGGATTGTACGCACATTCATATTCCCAATCACCGACTCTGCGAGTTGAACAACAGTTTTTAAATGTGAAGTTCTCTACTATTTTTTGTTCAAGTTTTACCTGAATTTCTGTAACAAATCTTTAGCAAACGGATATGCAAGTAACAAGTCAACAACGTCATTTTTTCCATTAATACAAGCGACATGGAGTGGTGACCAATTCTCAGATGTCATAACCTTTCAAAACCAAAGGAACCATGAATTCGTTTAGTTTTTCATCTTTAAAAACAGGTCAAGACAATTTTCTTACATTGATTGCTTCAGGGAAATGGGCCAATAGTTTTTTCACAATCGAAATATGACCGCCACGGATCGCTGCATACAATGGTGTACATTTGGTGCTTTTGTGTGCGGTACATTTAGCACCCGCGCCAATTAAACAGTTCACTTGATCCACATAGCCATTTTGACAAGCACTAAAAACATTTGAATTTGATTTTAATTGCTTACATTTCACAATCAATTGCGACTTTTGGTGGTTGGTTTCTAAATCCAGCATACAGTTAACAGATTGTTGATGACAAATTATCACTTGATACTCACATAAATAGCAAGGAATTATCTTCTCTGGGTGAAAAATTAACAACAATCTCTTTATCAATATTCAGATCGTTAATTATGCGCTTGGTAATATTCACATTGTTCTCAAGAATGGCCTTGCGTAGATTTTCATATTCTGCGACCAGTTTTTCATACGCTGCAATACAGATAACATGATGAATTGTGTAACATGAACAATGACTGTACCAAAAATACCCACCTTTCTCTTCGTCAAACCCCATATTTTGCTTGTCGGCGACTGACAAACAGCAATTTAAGCAATCACACGTTTGTTCTATGCGAGATTCCCGTAAGCACACTGTAAAACGTTCAAAACAATTGCTCAACTCAATTTGTGTTGGGTGAACATTTCCGATTCGCACCAATTATCAAGCGACATATGATGATAAATTGTGCACCAAGACCATACAATATTGAACGAAAATCACGAAGTCACCAAAACACTTGGTTTGAAGCCAATTTTTGACAAACAAAGACAATGAATAACGTAATAAATGTTGAAAATGTTATGAAACGCTAAATATTTATTGCAATTGTATCATATACACATTTCACATTTTATTCCTTTCTCACTTCGATTGGACGACAAATAACACAGTTTTTTTCTATTTATTTACGCTAAACGTCAGACGTGTGTCAAGTGTGACAGTTCACCTCTACACTGATAGTTGCACACTGATAGATGCGTATAGCAGTGAGACGACAGCACATTTTATAGCACTTGCAATATCATCGACTATCTGTGACTTTTAAGTTGTAAGCGGGAAAATAAAAGAATTTCAGTTTTTCTTAATGAAGTTCTTTATTTCATCAAACGTATCACAATTTACTAAGTATGTGCCTGCTTATGTTCTGACTAATTCTTTGGATCGCCTGTTGGCTGTTTTTTTAAATGTTGAACCCTTGTTCTCGCATACACTTTTTGTGCGCCTCAATCAGCTCTGTGCAGTTTTCTTCACCCTTTTCAACGATGCTGGAATGGAAAATGCGATATTCTGTTACTATTTTTTTCGGAATAAATGTCATTCTGTTGCTTGACAATTCGATTCTTACCAGGCATCGCGTACTTTTTTCGTTTCTGGACAGGCACAGCATGCCTTACATTTTGGTTTCTCCCCGGTTGCTGGTGCGGGTGAACTTGGTGCTTCAGGTGCTTTCGACTCGGAACTACCCATGTTTCGTCTGTAAAAAGGCAAAAATAAAAAAATAGCAATTGAGTTAATTTAATTCACTTTGCAACTGAATTGCATAAGAAAAATCGTGAAAACGTAATTAATTCACGTTCAAGGTCTTTTTGATTTTTGGAAAAGCATCTCTTGGACACAATTGGAAAATGACTGAAGTTAATAATTTAAACGGAATTATTTACCAAGGATGCTTCGTTTTTTTAAACTAGTGAAGAAGTTTTCGCTATCAAAGTTTGTGTACGACTAGCTCGTTAGCAAAACAAAGTCGATGTCTTTGGTTATGTTGGATGAATCATATGACGTTTCCATGTGTTCTAATGTCAGCTTTCAAATAAAATCATATGAAACGTTCGGTACACAAAACGAACTGTAGCTCTGTTGAGCAAAAGAAACAGACAAACAAACAAATTCTCTTTGAATAATTTTTTTAGAAAGACAAATATTTTATACACGTCATTCAAAAGAATTCTAAATTTGTTTTATTTTAATCGAAATTGTATAAACTGTTAACAATGATCCCAACACAGAATGTGTCAACGTGAGTGAATGGCGCTTGTGTCGCGGAATTTTCGTTCGGTGGACGAAAATTGAACCAAAATTCGAATCGAATCGAAGACAAACGTATTTTCTGCATCTTTATTTCCAATCCGAATATTGAAAGGCAAACATCATCGTTCATCAAACTATCGGCGCAAGCCAAATAACGAAATAGAACAGAAATTTGTGCTTCGTGTGTTATTTTATAGATTTATTTGTTACGTTTTTTTTTATTAATGTCCAGCAATTTTATTTGATTGAGTTGAAAGCAAAATCAGTATTCTATTTTATGTTTCAAAACGTCATCTGATTGAGAGAATTCCGTTGTGTATTGGTTTTTGTCTGTTTGCTCATTGTTCACGAAGATTTAGTTTTTATTATCGCCATATTGAATTGAGTTTATTGCGCATTTGAAGGTGAGCACAAATTAATTTGAAGAGAAAATCTCCATCAAACAAAATTCCATCAATTCAATTGTTTTGAACACTAACATAAAATGAATTTAAGTTGAGCTATTTTGACAGGTCCAATTTCTTCTTTTCATTTTGTGTTTTAGTTCGAAAAGGTCATCATGGGAAAGACACCAACTATTGCAAAAACGCGAAAATCGGTGAAAACACCAAAAACGGTGCCGAAAAAACTGATTGGTACTCCGAAAATGGAAAGTAAAGAAATGTCGGGTACGCGTCTGTCACTGCGACGTACTAAACTCGATACAGGATCTGGCGCATCACCCAAATTGGCATCATTCATCACACCCAGCCGTACAACACGCTCCATGCTTAAGGTAACATCGAACGATGCACTGCACTCGTATGTAACACCAATAAAATCATCAAAGCGAAAAACGATTGCATCAGCAAAAGCACCAGTGGCTTGTGGCGATAATGTCAAATCGGATGGCGGTGACTCAAATGACGCATTCGTACGGCCACTACCGCCAAAGGCAAAACGAATGGATAAAGTTCAAGCTGAAGGCACAGTTGTCGATGAAACACCAACAATTTCCGAATCAACCGAAGCGTCGAATGATGAAGTGAAAAAAGGTCGTAAACGCGCTCGCAAAGGGGCGAAAATGAATAGTGTCGTATCCGAAATGGAAGATGGCCAGAACGATGAATCGATGGAAAGGCGCACGAGACGTAAAACGAAGCGAGTCGAAGAGGTTTCGGCTGAATCGAGCGAAGAGGATTGGCCATCGGTGAGCATTTTTGGAGCAACTGAAACGCCAACCGGCCAGTTTGTTCGTTCTCGCAAGACATTGCAAACCAATGGAGGTGTAGTTGAATCGGGCGATGAGGATTTTGCTTCGGTAAGTCAATTGGGCTTGAATACATCGGGTAGATTTGTTCGTTCTCGTAAAACGATGCACGGTTGTAGCGACAATGTTGCCACAAGTGAAGATGATTTGCCATCAGTAAGCTTTTTGGGCGCAAGCGCAACACCAGCTGCCAAATTTGCACAGCGTCGAAAATCAAAACTGAGCATCGAACCAAAAGACAATGAAACCGTTTCAGAAGCGATTGAACAGTCGGCCGCCAAGCCCACGCTGAACAAACGCATAAGCCTATCGGAAAGTTCGCGCAAATCCAATCAAGGGGTCAAAGTTGCTGTTGAATCGAATGATCTTTCTTCGTCGGATGTGCCAAAGCCGAGCCGAATGTCTGGTCAAGTCGTACGTTCCCGAAAGTCGACACAAGGCAACATCGAAAACGAAAATGTTATGGATACTGAAGATGATTCGAAAGACCAAGTGGAAAATGGTCACGATGAAAATGGTTCAGGGCATTCAAACGACGAAATGGCTGCTGACGAAGATAACAAAGAGAACGGCAATATTCCGACAATCGAAATCACAGCCGCCAAGTCAGAAGCTAGTGAGTTGAGCAAAGTCGATGAGGATTCGACAAATATCAAAGTCGAAAAGGCATTCAAGAATAATCGCATCTCAATCGTCGACCTAACTGATTCACCCATGGTACAGAACAAAAGCGTGTTGAATGAAACATTCACAGCAGAAGATCTTATGGATACTGAAGAACAAGAAGAGGAGGAGAAGAAAGAGGATGCGGAAGCAAAAGATCGAACATTCACTGATGACAACAATACAACGGCAATTAACGAGAAAACATTCAGCCCAATACCATTATCCGTTAAAAAGTTCGCCAATAAGGCAGCGGTAACACCAGCTCCAGTAAAAGGTCGTGCTTCGTTGAATGTCACAACCAAGTCGACTGCTAAAAAGAAATCACCGCAATTGAAACGTTTGCAAAGTACTCCGTACTTGAAGCCAAAGACGCGCAACAACTTGTTTGAACCAGCCAAGCTATCGTCGGCCAAAAAGGCGAAAGTTGTCGAGGCAGCCATCGAATTGGTCGAACCATTGAAAAGAAAAAGCATGGATAGGGTGAAGGTGCCAAAAGTTGCAATTCAATCACCTAAGGTATTTAAATTCGGCGACGAAAACAATCATGGCGAAGGGTTCCGATTCAGTTTGTGTGCCAAACACTTGAAGAATAACCAGGAAACTGGTGAGTATATGATTTTTAATTCCTTTTTTTTGCGAACGGTCAGAGCTAATTTTGGAGTATTTTCTCGGTTTTTCAGGTAAATCGGCTGTCAAACGAGCCCCAAATTTCACTAATATGCACAATCGCATGTTCGACAAGATCGAATCAATCACCGAGACTCGAGACCGACATGATCAACGCGCCAAGTTGCTTTTGTCTGGCAAGAAGCCAACTCAAGCGCAAGCGCTGGCACAAGGTAAGACCAAATTTGATGGTAAAATGATTGTGAAAATTTGCAATGACAGTTTCTCAATGAAATGTATTGAATTTGCAGCAAAAGTGGTGAAGCCGATTGTAAAAAATCCACCACCAAAGTTTGTATTGGATGTCAACAGAGGTAGTGCTGAGAAGCGCCGTCCATTGGCTGCAGATAATCATGTGAACCGAGCAAGATTGAACGATGAAGAACGTCAAGAGCGTCGGAAGCAACTGTTCAAACAGGGTTCAAAGCGGGCATCGATTAAAAAGAATCCAGTTCCAGCCATCAAGGGAGTGCGGATGAATCGACGATTTGAATTGATGATGAAAAATCGAAATGCATCAAAAAAGAACTGAGTCGATATTCTTCAAATGCAAGCATGCAGTTTGGTTGATGCTTTGTTCATGTAAGATTTCTAGAGGAATCATGCGATTGAACTAAGTTACTATTATTTAATGATAAGTGTTCAGGGGCCAGACAAATGATCGCTGAAGTGTTTTATGACTAAAGTCAGGCACAAATATTGAGTAATTTTGGAAATAAGTTAGTATGAAATAATAAAAAAGGCCCAGATACAAAAAAAAACATTGGAAAGGAAAAAAAATGAAAATAATCTGAAACTTAAGAAATTCAAATGAATAATGATAATGATTTAAATAAATAAAGAAATAAAGTATGGATGCAATTCAAATTCTTTAAAAATCTGCTCATTTTCTTGGCGATGAAATTCGTTTACGTCACAAAATCCATTCATATCATAGGAATGAACGACAGACAAGCGTCCAATTGCCATACAGAAATCATTTGATTTTTTTTTTCTTATTTATTCATTTTTTGCTTCAATATCAATTCTTATCACATCATTCGTTAAATTGGCAATAACAGCTGCAGAATAAGCGCAACTATCACATATACTTTCGGTCTAATGTAAGAGTGCGACTTAGAAAACGTCTACTCATGTGCCGTTCGTTATACGTTACAGTGTCACGCAAACATATAACACAAAAAGTATGACACCGACAACATCGCACCAATACAAACGCAACAGCGGTCGCAGTGATGTGCGTTTCAACAAGAGCTCAACGGGCAATTCAGTTGACGAGAGAGATCATTTCAGTAACAAGTTGCCGTCTGCAGCAAACAGACTGGTACAAAAATAAACACACTTCGTATTTTGTGGAGAACGATACATAGAGAGTGACAGAGAGGGAGAGATTCCGAACAACAACAGTGAACGTGAACGACGACCAAGGATAAAAAAAAAACATCATAACCGACGTGCCAAGTGTGAATCAAAATTTTATGTGCCCGAGTCGCACAATCTTCGTTTTTCTTATATTTACGGGTTGACTAATCACAAATTTAATCAGGTAATTTGCTAGTAGTCTATTCAAATGAAAAAATAACACTAGAAAAAAAGTTGCATTTGCACTGTTTTTCCCAGAATCAAGTGTCACGTGATCATCGGTTGTAATATAGAAGCTATTGAATGATGATGAACCATTTGAAATTTTCAAAACAAATACTCATATTGAAATGTTCGAATATTCGTTAATTGAACAACACCAAAAATTAGCGCCTCATTTTTCGCATTATTCATCTATTTTTTTTTTCATTTTTGATATCTAGTTAATTATCGTCAAATAATCGAAATACATCTCAGTTGATTTTGTGAGAATTCTAACGAAAAGAAACATGGTGAAGCGAAAAAAATTACATATTGTCATGCGTTGTTTTGTATGAGCGGTTGAGTGAAACTCGTGATTGATCAAATGTTCGTCAAGTGAAGTATGGTATTGTCATGTGACTATGATTACAATGGGGAATAGGCTTTTGATTGGACTTTTAAACTATTTTTCGGGTTTACCTTTTGAACATTTTCCCACACAATCGGTCCCTATGCTCATTTGCCGTACTTCTCTGTGTATTTTTAGCAATTTTTGTGACTTTCATTCTTATCACATTCTATCACATAGTTCGAATAATTGAATTTTACTGGTTTTAGTATGCATTACACAATGAAATGTATGTGTTTAAAAATTTATTTACATTTGAAATTCCCTATATTTCGTTCGAATCGATTCGTTTCTGAATTGTAGTCAAGGGCACGTGATATCAAATTATTTATTAATGGAAGTTTATTGCTGACTATTCTCCGTTGCTGAATTAAATTAATGATACTGTAGAACCAATCAATCTAATTATCAAAATGGAATTTCGAAAATGCGCTTTTAACCCGCATCGGTTGCCTGAAAACGGCCAAAGCTTAACCGATTCATATCATGTGATTAAGAAGATTTCATTGTACGCTGAACTAAATTTTCTTAACGAAAAATTCGTTTGCGTGAATAGTTCAACTTGAATTCAGTGACGAACTTATGTTATCTCAACTCCAGAAGAAAACTGATTACGAGTGACGAATGTACAACATTCCGGGAGGGTTAATTTATGAACGACTTGAAGAAAGAGTGAGATAATAAAAACTCCAAGGTTCCGTCAGTTGAATTGAGTTGAGCACACTGTGCGTAAGAATCAATCTATTCCATCGCAGAAATATGAGCATGTATTTGAAGTGCTGATTCGTGTAAAATATTCACAGTATACGACAGATCGCTCAGGCCTTATTTTACTGTGAAAATGTACAAATTAACGTTCATTGTGTTATGCAGTCACTCCGTCACACTCAAGCAAACTCACATATATTCCTTTTATGCCATATCAGAATTGTATCACATGATGTTTCTTTTTCATTTTCATTTCAATTGCAAAAAGTTTGCTTCCATAAAAAATGAGTGTGTATTTCTCTAAGTTTACACTTCTTAATAATTGTGGAATATCAGTGTGGATTTTGCGTGTGCGAGAACTCGAAAGAAGATTAACGTGAAAAGAATGGTGACAGTAAAAAAATGAAATCGTTCATTACATTTAAATGGTATTTCGAGCTTTGCTCGTCAGTCACCATTCCGTATCATATGACCAAATACACATAGTTAGACAATTACATAATCTTTGCCGGATTATTATAAGAGCGAAACTGACACCAAAACCCGCAAAAATGCAAATTCAACTCAAATAACAGAGCCAGCCAACAATCTGCTCTTTCATGGAACAATCAATCATGTTAAAATAATCTTACGTATGCGAGGTGAAACTTTATTTTCATTTTTTATGTGAAAAAAGAACGTCTATATTTACAGCTTTGCGGTTTCTTCAGTCACACACAATTGTACCAATATTTGGCATTTGAAACAAATGTAATTTCTTTTCATTTAGTTCGAGAATGTCGCCGAATATTTCCAGAGCAATTTGTTGCTCGGGAATATGCGATAAAGTCGGCTCGTGTGTTTGTTCATGATTCATTCATCTCAAATTCCACATTAAATATACAGATAATGTGTAAATATGTGTGGACTTGACGGGAAACCGTTACTAAATGTCTATAAATATTATATGTGTCTACATCATCGAGCTATACACAATAAATGACATTTCATTATTCGCCTCCTTTCCTTTAAACCGTGTGAAGTGATTATTCGAAGTCGCTACGCTACGTTTGCCACTAGAATTCTAACTTTATCTATATATGCGTTGCGTGAAACCAACACCGAAAAACGAAAACATATTGAACGTAAACTGTCCAATTTTATTTTGCCCTAAATTTTTTATTTCGCCTGCCTTACCTTAATGTAGCACCGAAAATCATTGGGCAATCAATATGAAGCGTCGTGTCTGCCGTTTTGGACGACTTTTGATTTGTTTTTCTATTTCCAATTCCTTTCTTACTAAATATTGTGTTTTCCTTTATTTTCAGATACTGTATAATTCATAAAGTCGATCGCCATGGGTTCGATGTTTCGTTCGGAGGAAATGGCACTCTGCCAATTGTTTATCCAACCAGAAGCCGCATACCCATCGGTATCCGAATTGGGTGAATCGGGCACTGTTCAATTCCGTGATGTAAGCATGTGACTTTGATAAATTTGAGTTTTTCTTTCTCTTAAAGAACATTTTTCTCACAAGCGGATGTATTATGAATCTGAATTTTGATTTTATAGCTAAACCCAGATGTGAACTCATTTCAACGAAAATTCGTGAATGAAGTTCGACGATGCGATGAAATGGAACGTAAATTGCGTTACATTGAAGCCGAAGTGCGCAAAGATGGTGTGAATATTCCGGATTTAGACGAGTTGCCACGTGCCCCAAATCCTCGTGACATCATCAATCTGGAAGCTCGTTTCGAGAAAACTGAGAATGAAGTACTAATTTATCTAGACTAATAATATGAATGAATCCGATATTTATGAATAATTTTATTTTATATAGATCTTGGAATTTTCCCAAAATGCCGTCAACTTGAAGTCAAACTTCTTGGAGTTGACCGAATTGAAGCAAGTTTTGGAAAAAACACAAAGTTTTTTCGCCGAGCATGAGGGCGCTTTGAATTTGGATTCGTTGCGAAAAACATTGGTGCCTGAAGAGCAACAGGTGCAAGGCCGTGGCCGTTTGGGTTTTGTTGCCGGTGTAATACAACGAGAACGTGTTGCTGGCTTCGAACGTATGCTCTGGCGTATTTCTCGAGGTAATGTGTTTTTGAGACAAGCTGAAATCGGTACCACGCTCGAGGATCCAGCAACCGGCAATCCGTTGTACAAAACGGCATTTGTGGCCTTTTTCCAAGGTAAGAAATTGTAGTTGAAATCAGCTGGTTTACCACATGATAATGAATTTCCGATGTCACATTTGTCCACAAGGTGAACAATTAAAGTCACGCATAAAAAAAGTTTGCGCCGGCTACCATGCTAGCTTGTACCCGTGTCCGAGTGCACCCGATGAACGTCAAGATATGTTGAAAGGAGTAAAAACTCGATTGGAAGATTTGAAAATGGTCTTGAGCCAAACACAAGATCATCGCCAACGAGTTTTGTTGAGCGTGGCTAAGGAATTGCCAGCATGGATCATCATGGTACGGTCAACAAGAGTTTTATTAATGCGTTTTGAATTATACCATTTATTTAAATTGAATTTCAACGCAGGTCCACAAAATGAAGGCCATCTATCATACACTCAACTTGTTCAACATGGATGTCACAAAGAAGTGTTTAATCGGTGAATGCTGGGTGCCAGTTAACGATTTACCCGTTGTACGCAAAGCACTTACTGATGGCTCAAATACTGTGGGCAGTACGATTCAATCGTTTTTAAATTTGATCCCAACCAATGAGAATCCACCAACTTTTAATCGTACCAACAAGTTCACACGCGGCTTCCAAACGCTGATCGACGCATATGGTGTTGCTTCATATCGCGAGGCCAATCCAGCACTATACACCATTGTCACTTTCCCGTTCTTATTCGGTGTCATGTTTGGTGATTTGGGTCACGGTATCATTATGGTATGGATATCGACAGTTTTGTTAAGGCGTTTTGGATATCAGAATTAATTCGAATTGAATTTACAGGCTCTTTTCGGTGCCTGGATGGTAATCTGGGAAAAACCTCTGGCAGCAAAGAAATCAAACAATGAAATCTGGAACATTTTCTTTTCTGGTCGCTACATTATCCTGATGATGGGTTTCTTTTCCATGTACACCGGTTCAGTTTATAATGATATCTTCTCCAAATCCGTCAACGTGTTTGGTTCAGCCTGGACCATAAACTACAATACGTCAACGATAATGGAAAACAAAGCCTTGCAACTAAATCCCAGCAACGATACAGGACACGATCCTTACCCATTCGGAGTCGATCCAATGTGGCAACTTGCAGACAACAAAATCATCTTCTTGAATTCGTTCAAAATGAAGTTATCCATCATTTTCGGTGTAACCCATATGATCTTTGGTGTTTGTATGAGCGTTGTCAATATGTTGCATTTCCGTCACAGTATTAGCATTCTGTTGGAATTCTTGCCACAAATACTGTTCTTGTGCTTGCTATTCGCATACATGGTCTTCCTCATGTTCTTGAAATGGATTCTGTTCAGCAGCACAAGCGAGGTGGATATCTTTAAACCAGGCTGTGCCCCATCGATTTTGAACATGTTCATCAACATGATGCTGTTCAAAGATTCGAAACCATTGGATGGATGCAACGAATTTATGTTTGAAGGTCAGGATAAGGTTCAACTCGTTTTCATTACAATTGCATTAATTTGTATCCCATGGATGTTGTTGGGCAAACCATTGTACATAATGTGCTCCAAAAAGAGCACTCACGAAGTGAGTGGAATAATTAATTTTTTATGCCAAAAACATAGTTAATTTAATAAATTGTGCAATGTGCATTTTTCTGCTGTATTTTAGGCCAAGGCTAATGGAACAGTCACACAGGACATCGAAATGTCGGAATCCCAATCAGTTGTTGCAAATGAGTCTCATGCCGCTGCTGACCATGGTGATCACGATGAAGAACATTCGTTGAGTGAAGTTTTCATTCATCAATCAATTCATACCATCGAATATGTGTTGAGTACAATTTCGCACACTGCTTCTTATCTTCGTTTGTGGGCTTTGTCTCTTGCTCATGCTCGTACGTTCAAGAAAGAAAAAAATCATTGTTATAATTTCAGCAATAATTATTTTAATTCCACTTGAAATCTTCAGAATTGTCCGAAGTCCTGTGGAATATGGTCTTGTCAAAAGGTTTTACATTGGTTGATGGCTGGGCTGGTGGCATCGTTCTTTACGTTATCTTTGCTGCTTGGGGAGGTTTGTGTCCTTGACCTCCTACATTCTAATTGATATTTTGAAAATGTATTAACCGAATTATTTATTTTGCCTCAACAGCATGCACTTTGGCTATTCTGGTCATGATGGAAGGTTTGTCCGCTTTCTTGCACACCTTGCGTTTGCACTGGTAAGTAATTGCATCTGAATTATTTATGTGATTAAAATATCCGCCGAAAATTGATATAACACAAACGTGTTCTTTTTTCCTTTCAATTCCAGGGTCGAGTTCATGAGCAAATTCTACCAAGGTGTTGGCTATGCATTCCAGCCATTCAGCTTCACCGCTATATTGGAATCTGAAGAATTGAGTGAATAAATTCACGGAGCAGGGCAACAAAAAAAAAACAAATACAAAAGCAATATGTTGTTGTCATTCATCATATTTACATCCTTTGATGGATTTTTGTGCACGTCTTCAAATTATAGTAAAATTCAAGTATTAATCCGTGTTTATCAAATTGTTCAGTAGAAAATCAACTTTTAGCTTTGACTTCAATTGTATCCCAAATTAAAGAAATAAATATATATACAACCATAGAGCTATTTGGTCTTATTTTATTGAAAGTGAAAGAAAGGAAATAAAACAGTGGTTTTGTTTTTATCAAATATTTCTCTATTTTTTATTCAATATTAACTTCGTTCGAGGAAGGAATCCCGAAGACGGGAGTTCAATTACTATTTATTTTTTTTTCTTGGCTGACTTCATTTTATTCATGTTATGGAAATAAAAATTTGCGTTCACCCTAACAACAATGCATTGCAGTGCGGTGTAATGTAATGTGACTCGATTTGTGGCCATGATTTTGTTACCTTATTTTTTTTTTTGTTATTTCTTCATTTTTTATCTTAGTTCATCGAAGACACAAACTGAATACATTCATTTGTGCCGCTGCAATTAACGAACAAAAATTTGGCAGGACTTGTCAATTTTAATCATTCCGTTTATTTATTTATCGTAAGAGAATTAGAAAATTTATGCACTTGAAAAGGGCACTTCGGCACAAAGACAGAAATAGAACAAAACTCCACGAAAAGTTTTACATATTATGTAGATGCTCATTCGAAAATTAAGTATCTGAAAAGAGTCTAAGGCATTTATCCACATTGTTAATTCTTTCAGCATTGCTTTTCGCAATACATTTTTAAATAATTTTTGTTTAAACAATTTTTAATAAGCTTCCAAAATTAAAGTGGTTACGAAGAGCGCGGTTGACACTGATTTTGTTTTTATTTCAATTAAATCTACGTTGTTAAACATTTTGTTTTAGTCTTGACACATTAAACACCTAATGCTAAATACAAATGATAATGTCAGTAAGAATACCGTAAAATATGGCAAAATCATACAAAATAAATGATTGTACGATGAATACGCGTTATTTAGTGAAATTCGATATATAAAATAATTAAGAAAATGATTAGGCCCCTAGATCATGTTTTGTATAGTTTTTCGTTGATTGGGCGGTTCTGACTCAGATGACAAACTTCCTCCTTTTAACTAATATTAGATATCCTTTTATAAAGCAAAAAAAATCCTCTCAATTTTATCGAAATATTTCTTCGAAAATCTATTAAAGATCGATATTGATGGATGCTTGATTAAGGCAGTATGAAATTGCGTGGGCTATTCAAATTGTGCGTTAAGTTTTTGTAGTGCATCACAAAATATGATGTTTCAGTTTATTTTTTCGCCCATGTACAATTCCAAAAGGTGCACCAATCAATCGATCTCATCCGAAGAAATTCGATAAAAGTTTGGTTTTTAATCCTAAAATTCGGATCACACCAACTCCCATTTTCTAAAATACAATGCATTTTTGTTCAAAATCGATCTTTGGTTAATATTACGTTGTATTCCATCTTGTTGTGTATAAATATTATGTTTGTTTTTTATCTCATTGTTTTTTTTCTGCTATTTTTCGCACTTCGGTGTATATAAGTTTTAGAATACGATTGCTTATTTATTAGTGGGGTTAAAATTTTGCTTGAGTACTTGACGCGGATCTCATCGGTAATGGTGATGATTAAATTCAGATTTAAATCATGCCTAAGAACAACATATACTCGAAACAAAACAAGTTTCAATTCCGAAAATTCTGAGAGAAGTACATAGTTTGGTGCTGTAGAATTCGGTCAGTCTAACGACCACCATTGTACGTTGGATTCTTGAAGGTAGATGTTGCTTGTTTGTAGATCGGATTTTCACCCTGCAAAGAAAACAACAAGAAATAATACACATGAGTCTTTAGGAGTTTAAGTCGAATAATTATGATCATTACAAATAGAATACTAACCGTGTCCCATTTGGCTGATCGTCTTTCTTTTTCGAATTTGGCAAATTCACGTCGATCGTGAATTGTAGTGAGGATCTTCCACAGGAATAGGAACGCCAATCCGATGAGAACAATCGATGCGATCACACCCATCACAATGCCAAGAATGAAAATCTCGGTTGGACACTCGAGTTTTTCCTTTGCTGCCACTTTGATGTTTTCAAGATCGCTGTCATTGTACACAAATTCGAATCGACAATCATTTTCATCGTAGAAAATGCACAAGTGATCACCTTCCTCTTCGTTCACATTGAGCACTTCCACTCCCTTTGGAACGAATAGTGTGCAATTTTTGGCGCAAAGCTCTGGATTATCGCCCATTGGGCCGGTCTTGTACATTTGGCATTGTACACACTCTTTGAATTCGTGACAGCGACCTGAACAGGTTGGACATTTTTCGCAGAACTTTCCTGAGTAACGACCCTCGGATGTTTCTTGACACTTACAAGCGCCACAAACACATTCACCGTGGCCAGAGCAAATTTCTCCACCGTTTGGCGGCATGCAAGTATCCGTTGAATTTCGGCATGTGCAATCGGCTCCTTTCCAACCAGGTTTACACTCACAGTGACCACACTCACAAGTACCATGATCAGGGCCACCGCACAATAAACCTTGGTCACGTTCACATGAGAAATTGTCGCACTCGCAATATTTTCCCGAAATGATTTCCTCTGGATTGTTTCGTTTGTCACACTCGCAAACACCGCATACACACTGGCCTTTTCCGCTGCAATCGGTTAAGGTTGTGTTGTCTGGACGACAGCCACGATCACGTTCCGATTCACTGTGTACATCAACACTGCATCCAAAATGAAAACAAGATGAAATCAGAAAACAAAATATCAATCAAAGCCTCTTATTTACTGTCTGCAACGCTTCGTTTTCACAACAATAACTTACATCGAACATTCACAGTTGCGTCCAAAATGATTTGAGTCGCACTCACAAATTCCGCATTTGTATTGGCCGTGTCCCTTGCATTTATCTCTATTGTATACTTCGTTTTTTTCTTTTTCACATGGACAGCCGCAGAGCATTTCCAAGTCAACGGTCAAACTTTCATTGATTCCAACTGGATAGATGTTAAATGTTTGCTTCCATTGTGATTCGTCCTGTGGGCATTCAGTGACAACAATCTCAGCTTGGAAGCTCACCACGTCACCAACTCTCAATCCATCACATTTGGAGGTTGCCACTGGAGCGCCACCGCCAAGACATGATGAATAATATGTAACCTTGATAGCATTTGAAGCGGTATCTTTCATTTCAACTGAAGAGGAGATTTTCTGTGAATTCAAGGAGAACGAACAATGAAAATCTGAGTTTGTTTGATGTGCAGCAGAAATTACTCACGCTATATTGCTCTTTGACTAAATCAACGACGTTCGATGAGTCATCAGACAAAGTAGCACTGGAGGAGCCTTCAATATGTTTGGACAGTTTCTCATAGACGGTTGTTTGCGTAGACGTCACCGCGAAGATAACGTTGATTGCATTTTCTTTGACTTTCAAATTGATTTGCGAGATACTTGGGTAATCCAAAATTGATGAGTGTGTGTAGTCACCGTTGGTATTCATGTGACACTCTCCGTCATTCGGTGCAATGACTCCACCCAGCTGCAAATAGAAGACACAGGACAATAAACAAAAATATTCCACGTATGAGAAATGGAGTTTGTGGAAACAGTAAAAAAATGAAGAAAGAAAGTGAACAGACCTTTCCATCGCCAGCATAATGGAAGCCAGCATCAGTTGAAAAGACTAACAAGCGTCGAGCTTGCTCACGCCAACCGATATGCTGACGGCACACAACAGCTTGCATCATTGCATCAAAGCCACCTAAAACAAATAAACCAAGGAAAAGACGTTTGTAGATGAAGGTGTGAAATGTGGGAAATATTTTTTCCAAGTACCTTCAGGAGCGTCGAGATTTCCACTGACTGCTGCATCTTTCACTTTTTCCTGTAAATTCATTTAGAAAAGTGTTACTCAACTATTCGAAGACTCAATTTCAAGAATATTAAGAACCAACGTTTATCAAAACCAAACAATAACTAAGCAAGCATACCATTTCCCATCAATATAATTTCAATTAGGAAAAATACAACAACTGAAAATTACTTCGTTATTGCCGTTTTTTAAATCTAAGTTTTAATTGAATGTCCGAGAATGAAAACGCAACTTCTATTCACGACACATATAAGTGAAACAAAAATAAAAAATTTATTGAAATGAAACAACAAAATCGAATTTTTTCAAAGTGTAACATCGGTATGTTGTTACACTTACTATATACCGATGTTACACTTTAAAAAAATCTTTTTTGTTGTTACACTTTGAAAAAAATCGATTTTGTTGTTTCATTTCAATAAATTTTTTATTTTTGTTACACTTATATGTGTTGTGAATAGAAGTTGCGTTTTCATTCTCGGACATTCAATTGTTTTTACAGCAACTTTCCGTTAAAGGTTAAACCAAAATGTTGTTGTATTTTTGACTATTAATTATTCAGAAGATAGTTTATCAAGCATCTCCAACAACCAAAAACATGCAACCGATATATATTCAAGATAAATCCATGGTCAAACTCTTCGTTAGTGGGACAAGCAATGAAAAAATAAATGTTATTAGTTCTAGCGGAGAAATTGGCAAATATTTACAAAGACAAGCAAAATTGATGTGCATTTAGGGTGGATATGGTGTAACAATTTGATTTACAGAAATCGATAGCTCTATAAAAAAAAGGTACACATGATTTGAGTCTTGCCTTTTAACGTAACATTATATTAGGTCAATCTATAAAGGTGGTGTTGATAAAGTTACACAAACTACGAAATTGCAAGAAATATAGTGTGTTCTGCGCCGTATAAAATGGGGTTTGTATCGATTGTTATTGGGAATTAGGTCATTCGCATCACTGATGTTACGATTGGATTGTCCAATTAAATGTTGATAAATCACGCCATGATTTGATGGAGATTCTGGTCATTTGATTGGACTCTCAGTGGACAAAGCTTGATATTAGAAATAAAGTTAGGGGTCAGTGATTTATTGGGTTTTAATTTGGAAATGGTTGTGAGTGGTTCGGTTTTTTATTGTCTCTCTATTTTTTTTAATTGGTGCGCGAATCATGGTCTATATGCTAGTGGAACTTACTGTAAAGCTACGTGTGTCCATACTTAATGACATTGCATGTCTAAAACCATATGGTCTAGCACAACCAGCACAAGGCTCTTCCAAGCTATTTTACATACACATAGGATATGATATATTCGTTAGTTTAATAATAACGACAGTTGCCAAAAAAATCTTAATGATTATTTTCAATTTCGATGTGCATCACCAAATAATCCAAACAGTCCAACCATTTCTTTTCCACATCGGACGATACAATGCAGAGAACCATTCGATAAAAATGATCAATTCCATACGATATGATATGTATATAAAATATGTAAAACATTAATGCCTCTGCATGCTACACCAAAATGAACACCTATTTTGTTTTTCGATAGCAGCAAACTATACAAATACGAACTTCGATTATAATGTATACGATGATAGCAGACTCAAAATGCGATATATAATGAATACAACTTAAAAGTAAAATTCTGATAAAAATGCAAGAGATCACAACATCTAGACTTATAATTAGGGCCCAAAACACGTATATGAAATAGAATTTATTTTAGAAGAATAAAAAAATAAACATACAAACTAAAAGTACATTGAGACAACATTCACATGCTAGATAATATATAATTCCTCCCAAAAATAACAGATACGAGTGAACAGGTAAATGGAATGAATGAAAAGAACATAACACATTTCCTGTACACGTTGCTGACAGTGAATCTTTTTCATTTGAATCATACACAAAATCGGAACATGAATGCTTTTGAAAAATGAAAATCGATTGTATTTTTTTTTTCTACTCCCTACGAATCGATTGTTTCGAAGAATGAACGCAATGCATTCATTTGATCATTTCAAATAGCACACCAACAATAATATGATAAAAATGCGAGTCACACAAAATCTATTGAAACCAAAATGAGTAGTCGAAAGATAAATCAGCGAATGAATATGCATAAATGCCAATTTTTTAAATGGATTTCCGAAGTAACGAAATGACTCAGGTGTTCTTTATTTTTGTATGGAATTATGAATGAGGCGTGATATATGACAGTTTGAATGAGGCAAATATTGAATCAAGCCCAAGACAGTATGACTGAACCAGCACCACATTCATAAAACGGACCCGATGTTCGTATAGAATAAAGTGCATCGTGCCATGATTAGCGTGAATGGAACGAACATCTTAAGAAGAAGAAAGTTCCATAACTAAATTGATGATATGGTATTTTTTCCATATTCCATTTCCATTAAGCAAACAGAAAATTCATTTCATGCATCCGATTTTTCGGTGGAACTAACTTAGATTCATTATCTGATTAGGGAAAAAACCATTGCTAGTTCCACGAAAAATCCAGATGCATCATGTATAAATATAAGGTTGAATTCAACTTTACGAAAAGATAAGATAGTAGTGCTTGGAATTTGACTGAATGAAAAAGTGTCAAATTCTATCAAACATATTTTACCACTTAATCACATCTCATCGATTCGGACTACAGAACTTGACCTTATAGTATAGAAAAAAGAAGAAAAATAAACTAAACAAAAAACTAAATATCCCTTTGAACCGCAGACATAAACCACATAAATGCTAACTAACGTCTAGCAACATTCAACTAAAATATATAAAATCGAAATGTATTTCATAGCGGTTCTTACAGTAAATTCCGACGAGTTTTGACTTAATGTCATATGGTGTTTATAACCATATGGAGCTTCACATTTATCACATGGATGTTCCAACCTGTTTGTATTTAGAAGAAATTTGATCAAAAATTGCGTCGAGATTATGATGATTTCGCAGTTGCATTTAGATTTTCATCGGATCATAAAGGGTAAAATCCGAACTTTAATTTTCCCTGGCTGAATAACTATTTCAAGCCGAACGTATTCGGTATGACGTCGGATTATTTGATGAACATTTCAACAACAACAGTAACAATAAAGACGAGAACGTGCACAACAAGATACAAATCAACTTACTTCTTCGGTACAGTTGAGACGTACGGCATCAAAACCTTGTCGACGAATGAACCAAAACCTAAACGGAAGTTTGATGTGATATTTTGCATAGCCGCAGACAAATCTTTGCCCAATCTTGACAGCGATTTTTTATCGTCCTCCATAGATTTTGACAAGTCCATAAGATAGTAAAGATCAACGGGATAGTCTTGGGCTTGAGAATATTGAATGTTCAGTCGATGCTCTTGATCTGTGAATTGAAAATATCAAAACCAAATTAATGAGGATGGGCTCCTTCTAGAGTGGTGCATATCCAAATTAGAAAAACAAAAACGCTAAACATTCAGTACATAAACGAAATAAAATTGTGAAACATACTTATTCGAAGTTTGAGTGATACTCTTTGTGGGTAGATTTGAACGATTTTTCCTTCTTCGAAACTGCCATATTCGACGTGGTGTCCACTTTTTTTGCTATTATAATTGGCGCTTTGTTGTGTTTGTCTGTCCCAGCTTTCCTGACTGTAATCCTTCCTGTTATAGCTTTCACTTTGACTCGACGAAGAGTATCCGCCGGCAATCGACTGGCCTGATCCTCCAGAAATAGCAGCAGCACTGCCACCACGTGTCAATTGTCGCGTTTCATTCAAAATTTCTATATTGTCCGGATCGTAAGTATACTCTTCGGGGCAGCCACCGGTCAAAGGTGACAAGCTAGGCTGGAAGCAACGTGGTTTATCTCCAAAATCTGGATGCATGCACCAGGCACAACTTTTTGCTTGGATACATTCATGACAATTCGTTTTGCTAACGCATGGATTTTGTATGAGTTTCTCAGCAAATTGACTCTGTACTAAATTCGCTGACACAAGAACTAGCAATAGTGCGGCGCATAAGTACATGTTTCGCCTCGATATCGTTTCGATGGCCATTGTTATGCTGTTTTCTTACACTCACAATTCAAATACACTCTGTGGGAAATGACAAACAAAACATTTTTTCATTCAAAATGGGTCGAACTGATATCTTACGGAATATAAAATCAAATGTCTTTTTGCTCGAGAAGAGTTTTGTAATAAATGTTCATTTGATTCATAAAATCGCCCACATACGTTGAATACGTTTAAAATAGACTATTCAAATGGCTGTGTGTCTGTCTGTGTGGTGGCGATTTAACTTGTTATGTCGAAATCTCAGTGAGGAATTGGAGATTTTACACTTTCCATCAACACTTGAAAACGAAATCAAAAGGAAAAAAAAATAAAATAAAATTGGAGAAGCTAAATATAAGGTCTAAACCTGTTGAGACTGTTCACTTGTTTTGTGGATAGAGTGTGGAGTGTGCGAAGTTTATATCCAAAATGATTTTCGACTTTCGCAAATAAATTTCATGGTTTTTCGGTTTCAAGATCATTGATTCGATGCACATCGAAAATGGAAATGCAACACGAAAGAAGTCATAAATTTTAAAACCCAGTATCGAAATTACAGCATAACCAAACAGAATAGAATACATTTTGAGGGAAAGCATGAAAATTATGTGGGTTGAAAGTGGTTTCGGTACGATCGCGTTCATGTTTCGTTTTCTCCACGAGACAGCCTCTCCATTATGGTCTCAATATGTATATGCTGGATCTATACATTCAAAATGGTTTATTTATTCGAAATGCAGCGAGTGCGGTTATGTTGCGTGCGGGTACAATATGTTAGACGTCATCTCACACCTTAATGTAGCGAAGCCAAGAAAATACCATAAAGTAGCAGCATACAAGCGTCTCATTTTCGTCGGAGACATTGAACAGATGTGGTCATTTTGCATGTATTCCCAATGATATCATTGAATTGCGTTCAAACATCACTGCCTAATCGAATGGCATATTGATGAATATTCAATTAAACCAGTCGCTCGAAAAGTCGATATTCGCTATTTTGTCGCTTTTTTTAAATCATATTTCGATTCCATTGAAAAACGATGGCGCACCAATCTCGTTTCCCATTTACAATTTCATTTATCAACTCTATGTGTATTCATTCGACGATGTTTATTTATGCGTGTGTTGTACTGTATAAGACGTACGTTCGACGACGACGACGACGACGACGATGACGGTGGCGGTATTAACGAACGTATGATTCATATTACACTCTATTCGCTAGAGCACGATGTATGTTTCGCTACTGGTGAGTAAGTCAAACGAGCAGGCTTACTTCATTTTTCATAGTGTTTATGTTTGGTTTATATTTTTTTTCCCTCCATCTATTTATTTTGGTTTTCTTTTTCAAGCGCGTACTCATTCATACAAACACACCTAGTTTCGTTCGATAAAATTCGCTGAATGTTCACTTTATATTTCATATGAAACGGCGATGATACACGCATTTAGCACAGAGAACAACATCATTCCTTCATGAAAGAATAGGAAATCTAGCTAACTCTACATCACTGTGTCGTGATGATCATTGCGCATTGCTGCTGCTGCTGCTGTCGTCGCTTCTGTTCGCCGTTATCATTAAATGAGTGTTCATGTATTGTATTTTTAGGAACGTAACTGAGTTAGATTTCTGTGTTTTTCATTGCTCATTTTCTTGCTATTTCGTTCAATGTATCAATAACATATCTCACGCACATCGCATAATCACACAGCCATTTCAAGCCCGTATGCGTGTTTAAATGCTTTAAATTACGCCTCTTTGTGTTCGGGATGGGAAAAATTTTGCAAAACGAGTGTGTGTAAGCGAAAATTTTAGGACAAATAGATCAAAAGTCGCCGTTTTCCCAAATTCCTCCAATTCCAGGAGATTTTCTCGAACCCTCGTTCAATGGAATGTTTGGCGTTCACACTTCATGCATGCTCTCTTCGAGCGTGTTCCACTTATTTCCACACAAAAATACTTGCTGACTATTTTCTCTTGGATTTACAAACACTATGCATATTACATCAAACACAACTGCTTTTAATTATATTTTTGAATAATTCCCCACAATTTACGAACATTTATTAAAAACTCTTCCTGCTTTTTTTCATAAACAAATTTTTATAGCAAATCAAACGACACTAGTTAACAAAAATTACCTTCAAGAGCTAAAATTTCAAAAGATATGCTCTATGCGATCGTAGATTCTATGATTTTATCGAAATTTTCAAAGATATATCAACCAAAAAATGGTGGAAAAAAATCTGTAATTATTGTCGCCCACTAGTCATATTTCTTACTTCACTCTATGGCGATACACACTCACTTAGGCTTGAATGCTTGCACTCGAACAGCTTTACTACGATGACTAAATATAAATGTCTTGTGGCGATGAATGTTATTATGTCAGACTGCGAACATATACCGACTTCGTCGGTATCACTATACTGTGTGTTGGAGATTTCATTGTAGTGTTTTACATGTGTGTTATGGGCCGTTCACATGTGTGTGTGTGTGTTCGTAATACTTGTCAGACATTATTAGCAACTATGAAATCATCCCATGTGCACCATTCACAATGGCTTCATCTGAAATGTCAACAAATCGGTCTGTTATCGTAGGAATGAGTCAATTCAAATCTCTTTTCAGAACTGAGATAACGATAATCAACATTTTTATTTACATATTTGCAACATTTTTTAATTCTTATTTTTTTCGCTAAATTTCTCTGAAAGGGCGATTTCGTCATTTAAATTTTTAAAACGATGAAAAACAAACTCTGTCGATTAGATAAAAATTGAAAAAAAGAATGAAAAAAAAACATTTACACCAGAAGAAATTATCACGTCCTCTTGTTGATGCTATACAACAACTATTGAAGCTACCAAGTCGTGCTAAATACTCACAATATTTTCCGAGATCATTCATTGTAGGCTTACGCTACATTCGAATAAAAATCAAAAAGAACGGATTGAAATTTTGGCTGACATCCTGAGAACATCTGTCGGCCAATTTTCAAGCCGAAAAATGAAAACAGATTCTGCGCTCATTTACAAGTCATAGAAGTTGATAGTACTTATACATAGTACTTTGTTTTCTGTATATGATTTATTTCAAAAAAAATTTCATCATTTTTTCAATAAAAATCAGCCTACAGTTGATTTTATCTTTTGAAATAAATTGCGAATATTAAAAAAATGATTGCTCTGGACATTCAAGCTTTTCCTTGACTACAACTTTAACATCATTATCGTTTGTGTCGTTGTACAGAAATTCGAATCGACAATCATTTTCATCGTAGAAAATGCACAAGTGATCACCTGCCTCTTCGTTTACATTGGGGACTTCCGCTACTGTTGGAACGAACAGCGTGCATTTTTTAGTACAAATCTCTATATTATTGCCCATTGTACCTGTCTTGAAAATTTGACATTTTACACACTCTTTGAATTCGTGACAGCGACCTGAACAGGTTGGACATTTTTCGCAGAACTTTCCTGAGTAACGACCCTCGGATGTTTCTTGACACTTACAAGCGCCACAAACACATTCACCGTGGCCAGAGCAAATCTCTCCACCGTTTGGCGGCATGCAAGTATCCGTTGAATTTCGGCATGTGCAATCGGCTCAGTCCAGCCAGGTTTACACTCACAGTGACCACACTCACAAGTACCATGATTAGAGCCACCGCACAATAAACCTTGGTCACGTTCACATGAGAAATTGTCGCACTCGCAATATTTTCCCGAAATGATTTCCTCTGGATTGTTTCGTTTGTCACACTCGCAAACACCGCATACACACTGGCCTTTTCCGCTGCAATCGGTTAAGGTTGTGTTGTCTGGACGACAGCCATGATCACGTACCAATTCACCGTGCACATCAACACTGCATCCCAATGAAAACAAGATATAATCAGAAAACAAAATATCAATCAAAGCCTCTTATTTACTGTTTGCAACGCTTCGTTTTCACAACAATAACTTACATCGAACATTCACAGTTGCGTCCATAGTGATTTGAGTCGCACTCACAAATTCCGCATTTTTATTGGCCGTATCCCCTGCATTTGTCCAAATCGTTTGCTGGGTTTGTAGTATTATCACATTTTGTAGGGATTGTGTTGTCTGGACGAGAGTCACGATCGTGTTCCGATTCACTGTGCACATTCAAATGGAAATAGGTAATTTTTAGTTGATGCTCGAAACTAGCCCCTTTTGTTTGATTTTCCATTATTCATACATACCCCAAAACATACTGAACTGAATTCATTCGTGCAATAACTAAAACCAGTACTACACATATGTACACGTATTTTATGGATTTAAAGACCATATTTTGCCAATTTCTCGCACTTGACTGATTTTAAGTATGGGAGTAAAATCGAATAAAATTGATTGAACGACTTTTCACAGTTATACAGTTCAATCGCTTCAGACAAGATGTAAACCGTTCTGATTTCTTATAAATTCTGTGAATTGGGTGCCAATTACACCGAATTTATACCGGCTTTGTTGACGATAACCTGACATTGACGTTATATTTTCAGTTTGTTTCAGTGTCTTATCAGATCATATTCAGTGTTGACCATTTACTTGTGCTAAACGTAGGAAACTTCAATTCGAAATAGTTCTTTTCTGACATTTCAACATCAATATTTACTAAACTAAAATATCCTAGCTATCCGACACTATTCCTTTTATTTTATTATTCAAACACAACAAAAATCTTTTTGTTTGGTGTTTGAATTTGTTAATTTTTGTAACGGACAAAGGAGCATTCGAATTACATTTTGCAATGAGCCAAAGTGAGCCATTCACAATGGATAATATTTCAAATGTCAAACATGATTAAAAAAAAGAAACATTTCAAGTAATTTCATTCAATTTTGTTGAATAAATCAGAGTTCGGATAATAGTTTTTAAAAATATCCTTTGGCAAATTTGCGAATGTGAATATCAAATTTGGTTTCAAGTTGAAATACATTCAACAAGCGGAGCGAATTTAAAAACAGCGTCCGAATTTGAATGTTAAAACTCATGTTGTCTCGCTCGCTCGTGTGCGTTTCACCCATGCTCTCTTTGCATGCTTGTATTGAATTTAACGAGTCAGACGATGGTTGCACCTACCGAATATTTGTAAAATTATGGCTGTGTGACGGTATTGAATTGTCAAATTCAGAGTCTACACACTTTTTTTTATTGCTCAAATGCGGTTGGTTGAGTACGAAACAATTTGGCTGTAGATATATCGGCATTTGCACCGCATCCGAAAAAATAATTTTAATACAAGATTTTTTAAGAAGAAATTCCGTTTTGTGATTCTTAAAAAGAATTGAAAAGTTAAGTTGTTAAAACATTTTTTCTACTTATTTGTTGAAAGTGTTTGATGTCGCGAGAAAGAGAGAAACATACACAACACCGACATTGTTAAGCCGCTAAAGGAAAAATTGTTGTTGTTATTCTTTGGAGCTTAGTCTTTACAATTTTGACTTTTTTTCAAATTGCATTGTGCATCGAAATTGCAAAATAAATCCAACAATAGGTGAACAAATTCATATCAAATCGCAGCTGTTTACAGGTATGACATTTATATTCTTTTTTCAACAAAACTTATTGTTTGTATGGCACAACTCAACTGAATGAATGTACTAACACCTCTTTTCCATTCGGTGTTAGGCACCATTTATCAAATCATCATCGATTCAATTGTATCGGTGACTGTGTAGAACATTTCGATGTCATTTTATTTGCGCTTTGTATTTTTTTGCATTTTTTCAAAGCATAAACACACAATATCGCGCTTATGTGTATTGAAAAGACAGTGATTTTTGTTTCTCTCTCAGTGAGTTCCAAGATTTTTCTATGAAATTCTCGTTGGTTGGTGAGGTTTTTTCCGCTTGCTTGAAACGTCGGTACGAAGCGATTTGGGTATATGTGTGTACTACGCCACAGCCAATTATATACACATATCCGTTGCTCTCTCCTTCTCTGTTGCTCTCTCTTTGCACACGTACGGCCAATAGAAAACGGCTTACAACTGTATTGAAATGTATGACAAATATTCACGGAGACCGACTGAATCGACCCGATGAGTTGTTATCGCTATTCGGCTCTCGTGCAAAGTTAGTTATACAGTTTCGTTTGATCATTGTACGTGGTTTTGTGTCGTTTGAGAAACAAAAATCACGGAATAATTCCATTAAGTGCTATTTCGTTTGCAATATTTGATCGAAACAGCACGATACAACAGGTATTTTCGTTGGATCATAACCTTCTTTTTCTCGTACCAATTTTTTTTTTCGTCGAGTGTTTTAATTATGCTAACGATTGATTTTGGTTGTGTGACGATGTCATCGTATGGTTTAGTTGATTGTGTGTTTAAAATTTTCAAGTGCCAAAGAAACCTTCTTCAGCAGAGAAAAAAAAGTTCAAATACATTGAAAGAGAACCTCGCCTTTCTTAGCATTTTACGCGCGATTTCGTCATCACTTGTGACAATAAACTTGCATCAGTTTGTTGCCCAACCACGATCGCATTCGCATTATCTATGCCAAATTTTTATTTTCTCTTTCGCTGGCTACTTTCGATCGCCAAAATTAATGGAGAAATGTGTTAAACGAACGAAATGGAGCACGTGATGAATTGAATTTATGTGCAATGGATTTTCTACCTTTTGATCTTGTACTCATCATTACGCGTTTGCTATACACAATAAAACATCAAAATTCAAATATACCGAGTGCCATTACCTCGAATCGATCCATTTTGGATGAAATTCGGAATTGATAATTAAATCAATTTGGTGACATTTTTTGTGCTTTCCAAATATTTGCCAATTGCTGTAGTCCGAAGTTTGTAGTAGAAAACATCTCTTTCTTTCCCGAAAAAAAAAGAAGAAAAGAAAAAGAAACGATACAGCAGCGCAACAGCACCTAGTTCAACAGTTCGGTTGTGTGTGAGATTGTGTCAGTGAGTATTACGGAGAAAAAACATTTGAATAGATTGCTCACATATTTATATGAAGCTCTTCGAATAGCAATTAACGATGATCATGTGAGTGGCCGTGTGTATGTGTGAATTCGTTTCGAAAAAGTCGTACTTGGAGCGCTCTCTCCGCCACGGGACCGTGTTTCGTTGTGTGTAATCTACGAATCTGCTTGTCTTTTTCAATCTCATGCTCAACGTGCACGTCTGCACAATATACTCGTGTAATTCACACACAAACCATCGAAGGCGTATATCAGCTCTAAATGAGTCAGTTGCATTGCTCTCTGCTCTGTGTGCTATTGTTTGTGCATTTCAGTTCGAAAAGAGAAGAGAGAAAAAAAACATAAAAATGTTTTAAACAAAATCCGACACAAAAAAAAACAACACAACACATTTGACACAAGAAATGAGGTGGAACATTTTCTATTTGATTTTGTGTTCATTATAATATTTGGTTTTACATTTTTTCCCCTCTTTGATCTGTTAATTTGGCCGAATGTGCAAGCTTTTAACAAACGTGCTGCTCTTTCTTTTTTTCATATTCAAACGCATTCGATTGCCCACTTTTGTGAATGTAGAGTGAAATTTTCAAGCTGTGAAAAAATAATTATTAACTTTGTGTGGTATGTTTTTGAGTGTGAGGGTTTTGAATTTTGCATACAAATCACTTTTGGTGCAAATTATTATAATACTTCGGCGGTGATTTGCATTCCTTTCTGCTAACCGAATGTGCTGGAATAATAAATTTATGCTATTTATTTATTTTCAAACCGTTTTTGTTTGTTTGAGTTGTTTCATATTACTCTGAAGTACGAGAGTTTTCTTATCACTGTCGTGTTTTTGCTCTTCGACACAAAACATTATTTATTTATCGCAATGATTTCGACATTCTTTGATCATGTCGTAATATTTGTCGAAACCAAAAGTTTTACGCTAAACTCGACATATCGACAATACCAACCGTCTGATTCTTGAGTGCTTATAGCTAAAACCTTATCAAATATCATTTGCGTTGCTACATATGTGTTTCCACGAATAAATTCCAAACTGGGTGTGAAAAGGTCGCTCTTATCAATTCGATACGATATGCAAAATGGATACTTCCACCCATCTGTCGGTGCGAACTTTTACACGCTGCTTGGGAAAAAGAAAGAAAAACAACACAAATCATTCATCATCCAAACCAATTTGTATTTCAGTTTATAGCGAGTGTGATTTCTTTCACACGTTCATGGGATTATGTTTCCAAGTTTAGCGACATGAAGACACATTTTTATGGTTGCGATGGTGATCGCCGTAAAAGAACGACTATTTCCCATGTGACTGAGTTTTGAACGCGCAAAAAATATAACATAAATCGGTTGCTCTTTTTTCGTTCGCTCTTTTTTCAAACAATTTGATTATATCAAAGAAATTTAGCATTGGCATTTTTTTGTTCATACCGAATGTTCCACAGTTGTTGAACGTTTCGCCTCATGACCAGGCAGGCGAATTATTTTCATGTTATTAAAAGTGTGTGCAATGCTGCTCGATAAATAACTGATTGGAATGAATTCGCCGCATACATTAAATAGATAAACATACCGTGTTTGTACAGCCTAATTAACTACTAACCTATAAAATGTCATGCTGTATGCCACACACACACACACACACAAACGATATGTCTCAAAAATAATATCAATTCAGTGTTCGATTGATGAAAGCCATTTATTTAATTACTTAAGTAATTAGTATGTTCCATTGCATCTTGGTGATGTGACGAAGAATATCTATCATTCCGAAGAAAATCCACCGCAGTTGCGTTACGTAGTCAACAGTACTTATCTGTTGTATTCCAAATGATAATGATTACAATGTGAACAAAGTCGACAATAGCAACAAATACACGTCGCGTTCATTCTCTTTCACTTGATGCCGCGCACCGTTTAATAAACGTGCTGCTCAGCATTGTGCATGTATGGCGATAGCCACTAGATAAGAGACATGATAAATTGCACCTGTAAAAACTGCTGCTGATTACATTTGTTCATTCATGCTAACGGGCGACACCGTTCACTCTGACTGTACTATTCGCTAGACGAATAAAAATAATAAAAGGAAAAAGATGTGGCAAAAGTGCAATGCATTTTTTGTGATTTTAATTTTAGACCATTGATGTTTCATAAGATTCTGAAATGATGATGATTGATCAGCAAAAATAGCATTCCGCATTTGCATTATGACACATAAAAAAATACACGTTGCATTCGATCGGTGCAGCTATAATTGTGTATCTCATTTGTGAGATATAATTGCTGTTTTTTTTTCTACGCCGGAAGGGAAAGAATGTCGCGGAAGCGAAGAAAATCACCACACGGAGAAGAGAGTTTGATCGAATTGAAAAATACTTGGGGAATGAGAGAGAGAGAGAGAAGAAGGAAAAAACCAACAGTATTCGGTGTGAATGTGTGAATGAGTGTGCCATACGAAATGAGCTACAACGATGTGTTGGTACATACAAACATATCAACGCTAATGCCTAACGCGCTATGTACTGCAACGTCCATCAACCGATTATGTGAATGAAATTGAATATTGTTAATATTTTTCCATGCTGCCGCTGTAGTTGTAAAACTTTCTATTTAATTGTGTTTAAAACGCACCATGTAATTTCATGCGTGTACTGGTATTTGCACATATCCATTGTATTTGATCCATTTTAGTTGAGCTCAGCATGAGTCTGTCGGATATATCGACACTTTGTCACCTATTTATTTTTGTATCTATGTCCGATTACATTTATTTCTTGAACACAGACAACAAATTTGTTGATTTTGATAGGATTATTATTGCTCTGTTGTTCGATTCAAAAGAAACGCTTTGTTTGAATTGCCATTTCTTCTTGCCAATTTTTCTTTCTCGTTCGATCGTAATCTAATAAATTGATGTTTATTTTCTTTTCAGTATTGTTCAATAACTTCAGTTGCTGCTTCATTGAATCATCATCAAAATGCCTAAATCGGTAAGTTTGCACAATGCTCAAGTATTATAAGATAGATCGGGTTAGCTATACGTCAAAATAATTCTTTGCCGAAGGAGTTAGGAAGAAAATGTCTTCATTTCGCAAAGCCAGAACGATGAATCAGTTTTGGTTCTGCCGACAAAAATGCAACATTTTTTCTGTGTTGAAAATTCTACCAGACGTGACAATTCATTATTGTTCACTAGACATTCCAAAATCAAGATATTTGCAGCATTGAAAGCACATATCTTTTGACGACATAATGAAAAGCCGAATGAATGTATTCGCCACAAATGTAGAAATTGTGTTTTGTTTTGTTTTAATGTGATTCTTGAGTCTAGCCCGCGTGCTAACATACACAGGCCATATTTCTTTCGCTGGTATTTTTAATGCCACCGAATGGACAATGGACACTGGATATAAATTGTGTCACATAGGCACAATTATTACCATTTCCATGCAATGCGGAGAAGCCATACGATTCACTCAACAAATAGGTAACGCGCGCGATATAGAGAAGCGGCGGTTTTCTTTCAACACCAATGGAAATCTTCTTTCATAGTGTACGCAATGTAGAAAAAAAAAGACTTTCTGTAGCCCATTGTTCTTCGGCCCATTTTCAACTGTGCTGCACATTAAACGCAGAACTAAGCAAAATAGTTCATTGTTTTGGGGAAAGAAGTAAAAAGCAAAAAAAAAACCATCAACTATACGGTCGGTCGCCGAGCTCTATGGAAATATTCTGTTCCAAAGTGCTTTGAATCACACAAACTGTCGAACTCCATTTATTAGATCATGAGAGGCAACGAAAAAACCGACCAACCGACAAAAAAAACCGAATCTAGTCAAACCAGTTTTTTTTCTTAGAGACGATGATGACATTCTGCCGGTTCATTTAGAGTGGCGTGTGTCGAAAAATTTCGAATCTCTTTGATTACGATCACACTCTCTAAGCCCATAGTGAGCGACTTCAAACATGTTCGGATATTTTTAAAATCGATTTACGTAACAGGGACATTTATTTTCTTTTGTGACAAACAAAATGCATTTTGAATTCATAACAGGAGAGACAAAAAAAAATGAAATGGCTACGATCTAAATGAGTCCAATAACAATTTATCCGATGGTGAATCATAATTTTATTGGCTCTATTTGAAAGAAAAAAATTCCATTCAAGTACACCGTCTGACGTAAAAAGATGTTACTACAACTCAATCGTTTGTTCGTTCGTTCGTTCGTTTGTTAGTGTGTATTTCTTGGAAAATCTGAAACTTGCCATCGCATTGCAATATTCAAGAGGTGTGGAAACAAAGGTCATTAGTTCATTTCATTCATAGAAGATAAAACATTCATGGGTCTTCCATGTTGTCATTTTGTGAATTGTTCCACATTTTTGTAGCGAAAATGTAATTCATGCTTTTGGAAACGATCAATATCGTCGATGAAAACGTTATGCAAAGGAATTGGGAGCTCGGACTTGCAAAAATGCGAAAACGTAACGCGACATTAAAATATATCGGCGATGATTTAACAAAAGCAAAAATATGCGTGAATGGTGGTTTATCAAAACCGCATTGTCTTGGAGCAACATCATTAATACTCTGAAACTGGCGATGAAAGTAAAAAGGCCCTCATCGGTAATGAAATGAAATGAAAGCAAAACCAAGTTAAAGTGACCGAATAAAGTTTTCCATGCAGTCAGACGAAAGAAATCAAAATCACTTTCAACGCAGCGAATTTTGTGAATAAAATAAATTTCCATATCATTGAAATCCGTCATAGCAACACGCACACACGAAAATAAAAGCAGCGACATGCGAGGCAGAGCATGTAAGCAAGCAAGCAAGCAAAAAAAGCGAACGATGAAAAATATGAACAAAGAAAATAAAGCAAACAATTTTTTTTATATATGATTCAACTTGCTATTCGATTAACGCGCATTATGCGTGGTTTGTACGCTTGTAGTGCGACAAATATGTGTGTCATTCGTGTTTGCTTTCAGTGTTGAGTTTTTTTATTCTGCTTCTCCCTAATTCTAACTGACAAAAGAGCGAAAAACGATAGACTCGATATCAGTGGCACCTTGTTTCGGTTGTTTTGATAAGAAAACGACCGTAGTGATCTACATTCATGCCGCAAAAGTACACACTCGACGTTTGGCGTCGCAAGAACGGTATTTAAATCTCGTGGGTTAATTGCTGAACGCAATGACTAATTTGTCCGGGCAAAAAAATGTTTGGATCGTTTCGCAATGGTTTCTAACCAACACACAAAAACAAATCACATGCACAAAAAACCAGTTGACTGCATTTTAAACATTTTTTTTTCTTCTGGTCGTAACGAAAGAATTTTGTATATGGAATGTGGTTTGAGTGTATTGTGCAAATGTCTTTTGATGTGCCTGCATCCGACGAATGTTTGAAGCAATCGATGCGAATTTAAAGATTCGCACCAAAACCCATTCAAATTGTCTGACGTTGTCGAAAATGAAAACAAATAACCGAATGAAATAAGAATGATGGCGAAAATACACCCAAAACAGAATTAATACTCAAAACAGGGAACGTTGCGGTCGTAGTGTCAGTGTTCGGCGTCATTTTTAAAAATAAAGAAAAAGCAGCAAAGTAAATTTTAAAGCAGACACTTATTAATAATAGATTTGCACGAAGGAGAAGAACACAAGCAAACGGATTCGAAAAACAAAACGAAAGCAAAAGGAAATGCGATACAGACAACAAAGCCAGACCAACGCATCTCGATGGATTTGTGGGAGCGCGCGCGCTTGTATATATACTCAATTTTCGTTCTCGAATGATATTTTCGGTAATTCATTGTAAAATCAAAAGTTCTGTGGTCGCCTCAATTTCGACTTCACCACTCCGTCCATTGTATGGTGAATGCGTGAGTTTGTGGTATGCTTGAGCGTAAAACAATCGTTCATGTATGTATTTGTCATGGTTTTATAGGTCTAGGTAAAAGCGAAGAGCATGCAAAAAAATAAACGATAAACAAACCAAAAACACGAAATGAAGACAAAATTTCAGTGACAAAACAAATGATACCGATTTCATTTGCATAGTTAGTAAGTATGGTGTAACGACAAAGGCACAAACAAGACATAGTTTTTTTTGTCTGATGTAAGAACAGTCACTGTTCACACAATAATTTTCGTCGTTTGGCTCATCTTGTGTTTACCCATCAAAGCATCACTTTCATGGAATTAACTTGATATACTATTTTTGGTGGGATTCTGTCATTTGCGTTGCACGTTGTGAAAATAATGAGTTATAGGTGCTTTGACATCCTAATGAGTAACATGCATGTCATTTTGTTTTTTTATGAAAAATAAAACATTCCAATCTTCTTATTTCATTTCCCTGCTTTTTTTCCAACTTGTTTTTTAAACAGCCAGTCACATTTTTTTTGCTTTTCTTCTTCCGTTGAATTAAACAACAATTTATATTTAAATTTGTTTTGCTGGTTCAGTGAGTTTTCATTATGTGGCTCTGTATTTATTTTTCGTGATTTAATTTATATGGGTTTGGACAAAATAATCGAATGTGCCATTGTGCCTATTGGAACCGTTTACATGTATTTGTAACAGTTTTTGATTCACTTGTTGGAATGTTTTTTCTTCTTTCAAATATGAATCTTTTTGTTTTCTCTTTGTTTACACTTTTTTCGAGCAATTTTTCCATTCGATTGGCTAAAAGAGAGAGAGAGAGAAAGAAAGAAAAACTATGCCATTGCTTAGACATTCTGATGTTGGCAATTTATTTTATCTTTAAGTTGAACAATCCAATTAATTGGAGTTGCCGATGTTTGGTTACTTCTTAATTAACTTGTCGTTTGAAGTAAATCGTTTAATCAATCGTTTTCGCTTTGGAGAAAAAAAATAACAGTGTTAAATATTGCACGCAATTTTGTCATCAATTCGTTGAGTGAAAAACAAAAATGTTATTTATATTTGTTTGAATGCGATAAAAAGCGGTAGCGAGAAAGAAACAGCAAGTTTGAAATCGATTTTTCGAGATTGGCCACGCATAATGCCAATGCACTTTATTTCGCAGAAAACAATTGAAATACATGGTAGAAGCAACAAAAGCGTCAATCGTTTGAAACTCGAAAATATCCATAGATGGTTTCATTTTATTTTAGTGGTTTTTTTTTTCGTTAGTTTTGCTAAAAATTTCATATTGTACGATTCTCTGAACTTATTGAACGATTTTGTTTTTTATACACGCAACTTAGTCGCCAACAATCGTTCGCAACCATTTAGCAATAACATTGAAATAAGAATCGGTGTTTTGGTCACGATCGTTTGGTCGCCCAATGTCTAGGTACTTAGTCAATTTGCTACGTTCATTACAACGGTTCATTTTCCTGTTTGACGAAACCACACATTTGCTACACAGACGAAACGTTCGAAACGAACACTGTGAAAATGCTTTCCGCAAGTCACAATTTTCAATCAATTATATTTTCAGGCAGCGAGCTTGAAAAATAAAATATTACATAATGTGTCGTACATGAAGGAAACGATAACATGAAATAACGAGAATAAAGTCGGGAATTCCTTTTTTTTTCTTTTCAATGTGATAAGACTTTTGAATGAAATGCCAAATATCAACCTTTTTATTACATTATCGATCGTAATGAAAATTTAATACAGTATGAACCGAATACGACCAACATGGAAGTGTTTGGGCAAGAAGAACAAAATCAATTTGCTATCGTGTTGGAATCGACTGAATTCCGCAGACGTCATTGAATTGTAAACATTTCGTTTACCGATGTGATTTTCTTTCATCGTGTGCAAATGCCATTGTTTTGATATGTAATTTTAACAAAGCTTCTTCAAATAGAATTTAATATGTTTGGCGTCGAAGGCTCTTGCACGTTTTAGAATGTTTTCATATGAATTGTGACGGGTTGCGAGACGCGAAAAGTCAATATTTCAGTATGTTAACAACGGAGGATAAAAAAATGTTCGTGATGTTAGTAAAAAAAAAGAGTAGACAACGCAGCGTTGGTATTCGTTCACATTTCATGATATGGGCTTTGGCTCATGCGTTAAACGTATATTTTCGGCGCTGAATACAAAGAAATGACCGAAGCATAAAAAAACGCATGCTCTTCAAAATTTATCCAACGATACAAGCATGAGCGAGAAGGAGAGACAGGCTCAAACTGAGAGAGTGTACCGCCAAACGCGTCGCAACAAAGTATGACTAATGCTGCGCCTTGTAACGAACACAATTCCAATACATGCTCGTAGTGTATGAGGAGCGCAGATGCCGTTTTGAGTGCGTCGCGCATCAATATCCATCTCGCTCTCGATTCATTCGTTGGGCCACAGCCGATATCTTTCTGCAACGTTTGTTTCGCTCGATACGCATGGTTCCATGTGTGAGTGCTTCTCGTTCGTCTCTGTGTGAGTGTGTGTCTGTCAATGTAGGCAAAGAGTGCGCGAAAAAGAGAAGCGAACAATGGCAATAGCATCACTATACCGCATCACTTCACTTTGGTTCAGTTTTAACGGTCGAAAATACGACTTTCGCTGAGCCAGACAAAGCGAATTAACGTCAGTTTCTGTTTAAATTTTGGGCAATTCAGAGTCAGGCTACGTACAGTCTTGGTCTGAGTATTTTAAACGGATTTTTTTGAATTTTTTATCCGGTGTCGCACCCTTAACAAATTCAAATTCCACCATTTACACACAGTTTTACATTTATTCTTTTGGTGTGAATTTTATCGAGTTAAAAAAAAACGATAAAATAATTCAGAAAGCAGACTTTTGAGAAACAAAAGAAGAAAAAAAAAGAAAGAAAAGAAATTGGACGATTCGTTGGTGAATCGTTCCATGAATTTGAAATCGATTCGAAACGTGTTTTCTCGTAGTTGTTGTTGCTGTTTCTGTGCAAGCGTGTGCGTAAGATTGTGTGAAGTGCATCATAAAAATAAGTGAGGGAAAAGTCCATACGATAGTAAAACGCAGCTCAGTTGAAAGTTATTAGAAAATTTTCAAAGATTCAAAGAAATAAAATCCATTCACCAGCATGGTTTCCTCAAGTAAAATGGTTGGTGACACTTTTTTCAATTATTTGTTGTTTTTTTTTGTGTGGCGTTATTGATTTGAATAGACTTTTGCGTAATGTTCATTTTCCAAATATCTGTTCCGTACGATTGCACCCAACAATTCATTTCAAAGTGAGAAAGAATTTTGAAAGTTGGTCGAAAACGTACGAAAAGTAATTATAAGAATGAAAAAGTGCGGCCAGTCTTAGGGTATACAGGTGTCCGCTTTACTGTTGCTTTGCAGACGATGATGATCGAATCGACTCGTTTACGGACGAAGAAAAGATGAAAGCGAAATTTATAAAGCCGTTTAGTTTTTTTTTTATTCATTTGTTTCATCGAGCCACTATCGGCCGAATAAAGTGGCGGAGATGTGCGTATAGCAATTGACTTTGCATTACATTCAATGCAAAATGGTTAAACTGCTCATAAAGTACAGATGATATCGACGGGAAGAGACAACAGAAACATGATGAAGAGAAAAACATTTTGAGGCAAATCATGTTTAGAAAACCTGTCCCGAAATAGAAAGTCATGAAGTCACGTTGCATTCATTTCTTCACTTACTCGTTGTTGTTGCTGCGGCTGCTGCTGCTGTTGTTGTTTTTTCTTCTGCTATTCTTCGTCTACACAATTTTATTGATTACGTTTGGTCCAGCAGTCCAAAGTGCAAATTTACTTACAATTTGCTTTAAATCCGATTTACGAAAGACACATCCACTTAACGAGAGTATAAAACCCGTGATGCATGTGATTAAGATGAGAATCAAGTGCGATGGAAATACACAAAATAGAAAGAAAAAGAAATAACATCGATTCCACACAGCAATTGCTGTGTGGCGATTGCAAAACGAAATTTATCGTTGAGCTATATGCACCAAACATTGTGCGCAATGTATGATAATTGAATAATCGCTTTTCTCCTCGACTCGTTAACAGCTCAAAACTTACATTTTTTTGTTTTCATTTCTATTGCTGGTGCCGCCGCCGCCGCCGCCGTCGCTGCAATTGTTGTTGTTGCTTTTTTCTTTGGGAAAGATAAATCATTGTTCGTAAAATGGTAACATAAACTCTACGCGAAGCGCCTACATAAACTAAACCGAATGAAATGAAGCGTGTAAAAAGCTTCATGTTAGATATAATCCAGTGAGTCAGAATGTGCGTGTTATTGTAGCACATGAGTGTGCGTGTTGCATTGTGTTCAAGTTTTGGCCTGCAGCTCATTCGAAAAGAATCTCTATCGCCAACCGAATGTAATGGCCGGCCTAGAAAAATGATGCTAAAGCATCGATCAAACGAAAATTAACGTCATCTTTACCTTATTTACTTCATGTATTGCCATGTCTTTGCGGCTATTTCACATCTCAGCGAACGATAGCAGTGGCTGAGTTGTAGAAAGAAAAAAACATGGAAAATGCTATCAGTATGCCACAGCATTCGAGCAGCAGCATCCGCGGCCAACATGAAATCAAATTGAATGGAATTAATTATTGTATCGCAGATGCGCGAGATCGAATGTTCGTCGCTTTTTGAACAATTCAGTTGAAGCATGAAGTAGGTAACCTTCGAGCTCCCAAACACAATACCAACACGAAATATAATGCAATTCAAATGTGTTTTTTTCGTGTATGCGCGCGATTCGTTCTCTTTTAGCTACTGCCTCACTCGATGTTGTTGTTGCTGTTGCTGCTGTTGTTGTTTTTGATTCTCGACAACAGTGTTCGGCGATCGAAAGCAAATTATGGCGACCACGCAACAATCACATCGCTAAATTCATTCGATCCAAGCAAAACAATTGATTTTTGATTTGTTCACTTTTTTTTACCGTTTCGCTGCTTGCCGATTACTTCATTCAAATTCATTCAGCGGATCGTGTGGAAAATGCAAATTTGCTATCGCCATTTGCTATTTTTTCGCGCACCCGTCTGCTCGCCACAGCATGATAACGAACTAGGCGTCAAGTGTGGTTACAAATTGCATTTTCTATGAAACGAATTTTGTGCTGAGCGCTGAGAGATCTTCGATTGCATTGTACACTCGACCAAACCGGAAAACATTTTCAGAACCCTGTCAATTGTGTTGCGTTCAGCTCGAAATTATATCAATTCAGAAAGAAAATAAAAACAATTTCAAACCACAACAACACAGCACAGCACAGCACAGCACATCACAGCAATAATTCGCTTTCGTCAACGATAGCGGCTTAATAAGTAGGCTTTCGAGCTGAACATAAATTAATTTGAAAAAACTGACTTCGGGACATGTTCATTGTTTTTTTCTCTCCACTACTTTCTTATATATGGATGTGCACATGTGCAATGATCTCATCGCATTTCAGACGAAAAATTCAACTTTGTGCTGGCTTGAGATACAAGAACCGGAACACGATCAAAGTGTTCTTTAATTTTATTCTCACCATTCCGAAGATATGTCGCTTATTCGTTTTATTTGTCTCAATGAAATATCAAAGATCCATTTTGCTACATCTGTTTCTACAGCATGCCGTGTTATATGTTCGGTCATGTTGTGTCTGAGTCATGTGAATTTAACGCTTCATGAGATTCAGAGTCTGATTCAATTTGTTCTCAAATCATTTTAATAATGAACAAAATATATTACCGTTATTCCATTTAAAAAGAAAATTTATCAATTATTTCAAGTGCCGATTCTATGCTCGGTTCGTCAGTTATGCATCTAATGTTAGCAGTTTTAAATTAAACTTCATCAAAAAATAGCCATAAAAAACCTATTCAGTCAATCACATGATCCATCGAATTCATTCGACGGCTGCAAACACTACAATTTATCATGCAAATGGAATTATCGCTGCATTTTATGCTGTTGTTGTTGTTTGAGTATATCTGCTTTCGAAATGTTTTTTTCTCTTCATGATAATTCTAAAAAAGTATGTTAATACGGGTCGATGCAATTCTTGCCATCGCATCAACAAGTGGTCGGGTTTTTCCCCGAACACAAATCGCCCGGCAATTTGTTCTACACTCTTATTTTTAATCGTTAAAGAAAAAAGCAACAGCCACAACAATGGGTTCAATTATTATTGATTCGGTATTCGATTGTTTTTCGCTTTCGTTGAGATCCTAATGAGAATGTCATAAAGCCGGCGGATGAAATGGATTCGAGATAATAATTAGACTTTGCTAATTGTCTGGGAAGCGTCACTCAGACGAAGAGATAAGGAAAAATGTGCTATTTTTCCTCTTTTCGTTGAAATCATTTCCGACGGCAATTAAAACCGATGATTTGTCAATCGCTCAATCGCCAATAAAAGCAACACAAGATCGATTTTCTCAAGAGTTCTTATGTTATTGTCGCTCGTCTTCGTTTTGGATTTTGTCATTGCGAAAATGTCTATAATTTCATCGGTAGAAGAGTTACTTTTTGTTGTTGTTGTTGCTGCTGCTGCTGCTGCTGTAACATGTGTCGTACCGTGCGAATGACGATGCAAAACGTAGACCTGTGTTCAAATGCCGAAAACAGGCTTAGCCATGCAATTCAATTCAAGTTTACCTTGACGTTTGACTTTCGAAGGCAGCAATTTTAACATCGTTAGGAGAAATCCAAACAAACACTTATGAAAACAAAATTGACTAATGCCTTTTTTCTCCTTCTTCTTCTTCTTCATTTTCTTCTGTTTTGTATTACATGTGAATAATTTGTTCTTTTTTTTCTATGTACTAATTGATTTTCTTTTCGTTTTCAGCTGAATGTCCGCGTCACCACCATGGACGCCGAATTGGAGTTTGCTATCCAGCAAACTACCACCGGCAAACAGTTATTCGATCAAGTGGTCAAAACGATTGGTTTGCGCGAGGTTTGGTTCTTTGGACTCCAATACACAGATTCAAAGGGCGATCTCACTTGGATTAAATTGTACAAGAAGGTTTGTATATTGTATACTTAACACACATTCGAGTTCACAATTAATCAATTGGTTGCGGTTGATAACCCTAGACATAGAAAATCCATTTATAATTTGTTCATTAGTTCGGTGTGTGTTGTTCTTGAATTAATTAAAATCAATTCATTAAAGAAATTATTATAATGTGACACCTTACGTAGCACCACCATTAGAATGGGCTTGGAAGCGTGTTTGTTTTCTAAATTTATCTGGTTTCACATTCAACTCTAATCTGCCCTCGTAGTCCAATTATGTGCAAAAAAATAAAAAAAATCTGCTAAATTACTGTATATATCAAGACTGTTTACACGAATGGATGCCAAATTAAATCCCAAGTTCCAGGAAGGAAAAAGTCACTTGAAATGCTCAAATTGACGACACACGAAGTAATGATTGTAATGTTCTGCCTTCTTTTAACACTTTCGGAGAGAGAGAGAGAGAGAAAAAGGTGATTGTAATTATCGCAAAACAACACACTTCCAACACGGCCGAATTGATAAAGTGTTAGAACGAAGAGAAGTAAAGGCAAAAAATGATGAACCATTGAAACGTCAAAAGTAAATGATATTCGTGTGATAAATGCGCGAGAGATTGAACGTACGAAACACAATAGCAACGATGAACATTTCTATTACATATGCTATTTTTTGTTGTTGCTCTGTTCAGGTATAACCACAATTTTCTAATATTATACACATTAAAACCGAATTTCCATTTACATAATCCCACTTAAAATTTATTTTGAGATAGAGAATGATAACGATGTGCGGGGAAGAGGGAACGCGTTTTTGCTTCCACTTGAAATAAATAATATTCTGTTTGCCTCGTTGCTCATTACATCGACGTCGTCGTCATCGTCATTATTAATTTGCCAGCGCTTGTTTCATTTTTCGGAATTTTATTTGTTCTTGGGTCGCCTTTTTTGCTCTTCAATATAGAAATACATTTTTGTTCAATGCTCAACATCATCAAAATTGGGTAGGAATATACACAAATTTATGGGTCGGTTAAACCAAGTTTACTTTATCATCGTCTTCGCGGCCGCATATATACACGAGAAAAAAAACACACGACGAAAAGTATTATCATTGAGACCGTTGTCGAGCAGAGAGAGAGAGAGACACAAATTACAATTTTGAATTGCCTGCTATTTAATTTATTCCTTATCATGGGAGATATTTAGATAATGATGATTTGATCCACGGCCAGCACAATTGCAGCTTGACAATTTTGCACTCGCACACTGGAACCACTTATTCGGCATGTGTGTGTGCGTTTCATCTGTGTTTTTGCGAGCATTCCAAACAATCGGCTTTTGCGCAAATATCCAGTCATTTATGTGTCTCAATTTTTGGTCTATTGTACCGATTTGCCACGGTTGTTTGCTCAAACTTTATCTTTTATCTCAAAGAATATATTAAAACTCTGTGCAACAAGCGTGTAGCTAATTTTGAACAAATAGAATCGATCGCCGCTCATAAAATAATGAATTCGGTGAAGGTCAAAAGCAATTTTTTTTTCCTCTCAAAATAAGCTCGTACTCACAGAGAGAAATAAGGTTGTCAGAATCACCAACATGAAGTTGTAAACGAGCGAATTCCAACCAGGGTTGGACATTTCGCAAAATTTTCTGCACTCAGTTATAAGGTGAGATGTGGAGAAAATTTTGCGAAATGTCCAACCGTGGTTGGAATTCGCTCGTTTACAACTTCATATTGGTGATTCTGACAACCTCATTCTGCTCAGTGTTCTCTTTTCATCTCGTTTGAATAGAGTTTTTCTGTACTAATTGCGACAAGTACACAGAAAGAATGAGCTAATCTTTGCCGATCTGATAAAGTCGATAGCCTGCAACACAGTTATATTTGTTCCCTCCCTCTCATATCTTATCAGCTTCGGTCATTTTGCTCTCACTTGCAAAAACGCAGCCCAACGAACAATGATCAAAATGGAAGACGAATAAAATCAGCATTTATTATGGACTTTATCGATTTCATTTTCAGCATAACGTTCCGAATGAATACAGCATCGACCAAATCATTTTGCATAAACCACTGACTTAATGAGTAAACAAATGGCAAAATAATCATTCGGTTTCAGCTTATAGGGACTAGAGAGTGAGATAGTAAGATAAATCTCTTGAACCTGATTACGTCAAACTGATATGACAATGAAACGGGGTTCCGCATACGAGTGTCACAATACACAAGCGCAATTCGCTTTTATTCTAACGCGTGTGTAGCTCTCCCGCTCGCTCGCTCGTTCGTTCGTTCGTTCGATTATTCATTCATTTATCGGTATTGAAATCAATCATTGGAGCTCAGTGAGTAGCCGTCATCTTTTCAGGCGAATCCTTCAGCACTGTCTGTCGAACACACGAGTGAATCACAGCAGCCTCGTTCTGTCTGATCACAGTGATATCATACACCGAATATAGAACTGTAGAAGAAGGAAAAAAAACTACGTGACACATGACTCCAATTAGCGCATCGAAAACTACAGCACTGTTTGAGCATTTCAGTCGATTGTAGACGAAGAAGTGATTTTACGCGTAACTACATAAAAATTGTTATTGCCTGTAAATTTCCCTTGATTGTAGATTTTACGAATTGTGAAAATACCGTAACCTTTGAAAGACTTAAATGCTCCGTAGCACAATCCATTGAATTTATCACGAATTGCCTGGCATTTCCTGTTTTTCCATTCATGAAACTAATTTTTCTTCACATATTATTATTATTATCTTTGCAAAAATTATTTTTCTCATTTTACCTATGTATTAAATGCATGCCAACGAATAATGTTTATCGAATTCAATGAAAACGAAACTGTTTAAAAAAAACAAGCCGGGGAATTTATTTTGTGTGGCAGTAAAACACGCGAAACGTCTCACAAAACGATTAAACAAAAATAAAAAATCAACCGAAGACTCGGATAGTGACGAAGACGATTTGGTAAGAATGATCGAAAAAAGTGTAATTTGAAAGCCGCTCGCCAAACAAAGAATTGTAGATGCTCGTTGCTCATAATGATAATAATAATGCTAATAATTATATAATGGTTTTGCAGCTTATCGCTGTCATTTGAGGCGACACTAAATCAGATAGAAAGCATAAAGCAATTAAGCACCAATAAAAGGTGATTTTCCACGGAATCGAGGCAGTTAAACTGACATTTTTTTCAACTTTTCCACAATCCAATTTTGCCGCTTGTTCGTGTGGTGACAAACTTTGTTTCGCCTCATCCGATGCGATAAGAAAAACACTCACCCATATTGTTTTCCATGGAATGATGATTCAGTTTGCAATGTTCGATGTAAACAACAACAAATGATCCAAATCGATCACGACAAGAAAATGTGTTCTGTATTTGTATCGGCTGTTTGTTGGTTGCTGTCTTTTTCAGTTTTATTTAGTCACCTCGATGTTTCAATCAATCACATGAAGTTATTTTGAGAAAATCATATTCATAAACAGAAAAAATGCAGCACAATCAAGCCGCTTATGGCAATTCCATGGACAAGAAAAAAAACATATTGTTCGTTCCAATTGTCACGTCAAACGAAATATAAAATGAAACACTTGTTTCATTCAATATGACTATACCTGCACTTATTATTATCAGTGTCACAAATTCGATTTGTTTTCATTTTTGAACAATGACAAATTTATTGCTGAACCAAAGTCACTAGGCACATAAAAACTTCGTCGAAAATGAAAACAAAAGGGAACTGAACGAAGAAACCAGTCATGTAGTACGAATGTGTTTAAATGTTTATTTAAACCATTTTTTAATTTCTCTTTGATTTGAATGCATACTTACTAACTTGGACTAGACAGGGTCTATGCCGTTTTCACATTGGGTATGTTTGAACTAAGCAGTTGATAATTAACGAAGACTCTTTTTTTTTGTTTATTTAATCGTGGTATTTTAATTCAATATGGGCGTTGTTTTTTTCTCTCTCTCTCTATTCATTGGCACCAACAATAAATGATTACTTGTTTTGTTCACTTCACTTGTAGGTGATGAACCAAGATGTGAAAAAGGAGAATCCACTTCAATTCAAATTCCGTGCCAAATTCTATCCTGAAGATGTAGCCGAGGAGTTGATCCAAGATATTACCCTTCGTTTGTTCTATTTGCAAGTGAAGAATGCAATTCTGTCAGACGAAATTTACTCGCCGCCCGAAACATCCGTGCTGTTGGCATCATATGCCGTGCAAGCACGACACGGTGATTTCAACAAAAATACACACAATCCGGGATTTTTGTCGAACGATCGCCTGTTGCCGCAACGTGTTATCGATCAACATAAAATGTCGAAAGACGAATGGGAACAATCGATTATGACCTGGTGGCAAGAGCACAAGGGAATGCTTCGCGAAGACGCCATGATGGAATACTTGAAAATTGCTCAGGATTTGGAAATGTATGGCGTCAATTATTTCGAAATTCGAAACAAAAAGGGCACCGAATTGTGGTTGGGTGTCGACGCCCTAGGCCTGAATATCTATGAAAAAGATGATAAGCTCACGCCCAAAATTGGTTTCCCATGGTCCGAAATCCGTAACATTTCATTCAACGATAGAAAATTCATCATCAAACCGATCGACAAGAAAGCGCCCGATTTTGTGTTCTTTGCACCACGCGTTCGTATCAACAAACGTATTTTGGCCTTGTGCATGGGCAACCATGAATTGTACATGCGACGCCGCAAACCGGACACAATCGATGTGCAACAAATGAAAGCACAAGCACGTGAAGAAAAGAATGCCAAGCAACAGGAGCGTGAAAAATTGCAAATGGCGTTGGCCGCACGTGAACGTGCCGAAAAGAAGCAACAAGAATACGAAGACCGTTTGCGTGCCATGCAAGAGGAGATGGAACGATCACAGGCCAATTTGATCGAAGCACAGGATATCATTCGTCGCCTTGAAGAACAATTACGTCAATTGCAAGCCGCTAAGGATGAATTGGAGTTGCGCCAAAACGAGCTCCAAGCGATGTTGCAGCGTTTGGAGGATGCAAAGAACTTGGAAGCAGCCGAACGTCAAAAGTTGGAAGACGAAATCCAAGCCAAACAGGCTGAGGTGCAACGCATCCAAGATGAGGTCAACGTTAAAGATAGCGAAACAAAACGTTTGCAAGAAGAAGTCGAAGAAGCCCGTCGCAAACAAGTGAGTAAACCGCCAATTATTATGCTTCTGCTATTTTTCTGATTTCATCGATCCCCTTGATTAACCTGAATTCTTAATAGGACGAAGCTGCTGCCGCTTTGTTGGCTGCCACAGCTACACCAAAACATCATCATATTACCGAAGACGACGAAGAAATGACAAACGGTGACCACAGCGGCGATGTATCAAGAGATTTGGACATTGACGAAAATATTAAAGATCCAGTCGAGGATCGACGCACACTTGCCGAGCGCAGTGAACGCTTGCATGATCAATTGAAGGTAAGTTTTCTTCATGTGCGTACAAAATAACACATGATGCTAATGATCTTATTGTTGATATTTGCAGGCACTTAAACAAGATTTGGCACAGTCCAGAGATGAGACGAAGGAAACTGTCAACGACAAAATCCATCGTGAGAACGTTCGCCAGGGTCGCGACAAATATAAAACATTGCGTGAAATCCGTAAAGGAAACACGAAACGTCGTGTCGATCAATTCGAAAATATGTAAACTATTCACTACTTAGATCAATCGAAAAGAAGAAAAAGAAGAGCATGCGAAAACGTGTCGTTAGGCAGCACGTTGAACTTCTCGAAAGTGAACGAAAGAAATCGAAAATTTCAAAAAATCAAAAAAAATCACTAAACACAATTCAATTTTTTTGCTACAATAATTATAATAACAAAATAATAATATTTTTCTAAATAGCAATAAATGAAAAGAAAAAAAACTTACTGCATGATGATGTTTGAATGCATATTTTTGCATCTGATTGATAGGAGAAGCCGCTTATATGCTATATGATAATAAATGATACGCTCGGTTGAAACAAATTCAAATATCAATTTAAATCTAAACAAAAACAAGAAAAAAAAACATCAAAAACCATTGTATAAAAAGAAGCGAATCGAATGATATCAATTATTCCATCAAACAATTTTACAAAAAGGAACAAACAAAAAATGTTATGTCTAGGAAAACAAGTGAATTTATCAAGAGTCGCATTCCACACACCTTTGCATTTTGACTTGGTTCGATACCAACGCAAAGCACGATCACTAAAACTTTTCTTTTCTTTTCCATTAAAGTTAAAAAAAATTAAAAAATGTTGTACATTTCTTTCTTTATTTGTTTTTTTTCTGGTACAAAATTGCTATATAACTATTGGTTTATGAACACAAACAATTTCAGTTAAAAAAATGTTATTTTCGAAATTTCTTTCCCTTTATTTCAGTTTAAATAAATGAATGAATAAAAAAAAACCAGTAAAATAGCTTATTAGTATTAATTAAGAATCACTTACATGAAAGAACTTGGTTAATGTTCCATACAGAGTGAATCAAGTGACAGTATTTCGCGACCCATTGCGTTGGTCTACTGCAACATATTTCGTTACAACCATTTTTCTGGCAAAACTTCATTGGACTACCATACACAGAGAATGTACAAGTACATCATTCTAAAACTTTTCACCTTGTCCCTTTTGTTTTTTTCTTCTTCTTGAAGAAGTGGCAAATATTTTTGAATAATATTAAGGAAAAATGAAACAGCAAGACAGAAAGATGTTGGGGATACAAAATGATTTACAAAAATAATTATGTAAACAAAACAATATTATTATTGATAAATAAATGCATTTTGGAATAGAACGAATAACATGGAAATTTGTGTTCTCATTTAACTTAATTACCGCACACATTAAATGCTGATGACCAGTTTGAAGTGTCGTTCAGCGCAATATACACACTTCTATGATTTCTCGTCAACACCTTTCGCAATGCATGTCAATACGGAGAGACCATTTGAATACACAAAGTCCACTAATTACCATACAGCTGAATCATTGGACGGTTCTGGTAAGTAGGTTTTGGTTGGAAAAAGAAATGCCTGTTCTAATAGAACGTTGTTCTATATGCTCGAGTCGAACGTAGGATCATTGAAAGGCAGTTTCTATAGATTTCAATATCTACCAGGCTATAAATCAAAATGGGCCCAAAAATCGAAAGAAAAACAAGTGTTTTTACTTCAAATTTTTTTTTTCTGTTTTTATTTTTTCAATAAGAAAACTATAACTGTAAATTCACCGTATTATTTTTTTTTTGATTTAACAAAATTCAACAGAATCATGTGTTTTATTTTGTAAAAATACACGAAATTGCCCTCAAGCTGTAGAAAAGAAACGAACTTGTTATTTACATTAAATGAAAATGTTTGTTTAACGAATTAATCCTATGTTTTTCTTCATTTCAGCCAAGTATATTCTAGCTTTTCGCTAATAGCGAAAAATGCCGTTTACACATTTAACTTATTGTCTTTTGAGTCGGGCTCAATCAATGAAATAATCGACTCGTTTCTGCTATTCAATCAGAAATGTTTTGCGAAAAAAAATCTAATATCTTAATTTATTTTTAATTCGAACAACTGAATGAGCTTAAGCATAGTAGGATGGTGGAATAGTTAAATCACTTAGAACGGCTAGTTGATCTTCGGTAAATTTCAACTGATGCGTGGCCCAATTATCATGATGTGTTCGTTTGAAGTCGCCCACTGTTTTCCGAATAGTTGACTATGGAATAAAGGGAAAGTGTGATTAATTGAACAATTAAAAATGTAAAATTCGTAACGGTTTTTTTTCTCCAACTTACTGGAATCGGCTGTGGATCATTTAAATGTGCGCCCAAGTGTTCAAAAACATCAGGAACGAAATCGGGTATGTCGTATGGATAGGCTGAAATGAATGCACACAACCCCAATACTCCCATGTGCCTCGTTCGAACGGATTCAGCTTCTTGAGTCTCGTTATGCCCATTGTTGTTCGATGAGTGGGAAGTTGATGCGGTTGCCACCGCTTCGGTGCCACAATTCGTCATTACGCGGCGGGTGGAGTTTTTCACAACTTTGGTACGACATTTTTGTTTGAACAATTCCAAAAGTTTGTCTGTTGACGGCAAAAATGAGCAATGCAGTAGGCCACCTAGAACTTGTGCTGCCTTCACACGAACTTCGAGCACAGAATCTTCCAGCAAACGCAGAACAATTGTCTGAACTTTTTGTACCCATTCTTCACGGCTCAGTACAATGGGCATATTGTTGAAAACAAGAACTTGCAACACATCGATAACCGCCAAACGTGCAGACCATGAACTCATCATAGACACTTCCTCAATTTTATGCAATGCGGCACCCATGCAATCCTCCAGTGTAAGACCTTGCGACAACATTGCCAACAATGATGTGCACGTTTCGGCCAATTCGACGTCTTGTTCGCACCGTTCGAGACGACAAGCAAACGGAAGCAATTCAAAGTATTCAATAATATTTCCATTGGTATTTCGGTTCAACACACCAACAATCCATTGACAAACTGAAAGAGAATGTAATTTTAGCCGACATTGATTCAATCAAAATTAACTGACAAACTGAGTAATTACTTGTCTTGAATAGTCGAACAGCTTGATCATATTCGGTTTTTCTGGTGTCATTTGTCGATTCGCCATCATTGTCTAAAACGAGAATTTGTTATGGTGTTTCAATCAATTTAACGAAATAAAAAGTAATGGATGTAACGAATACCTTTTGGTGCATCTGTTTGAAGGATTTGTATTTTTTGTACAACTTCACCAATTATGTCTTTAATACGCGGGCACTCTGGCTCTGGTGCATCGATGAATTTCAAATCGGCTTCAAAGATATTGATCAAAATGCTTCCCAATCGTTCACGCACATTTTGGAAGCTATGGTTCAGATAAGGCCTCAAATATTCTGTAAATGTTCAATTTTCAATCAAGCAGATAAATTAGTTTAATACCATTTGAAGCCAGTGTAAATTTGATGAAATTAAATTACCCAATAAACGGTGACAAACGGTATTCATTCTCCAAACGTGTTGATTGAATGGGCCTTGCAGACAATAAATGCGACTACAGTCTATGAAGCTTGTCGATTCACGCAATGGATTCTCCATTAGCACTTCGTGTAACCAGTATTGACGTCGCGGATCAAAATTTTCAGCTGCAGTTGCGAAGCATGTGCCCCAGAAAATGTCGGTTTCCACCGTAATATTGTCAAGCGCTAATCGAATCATTGGTTTCAGTTTTTCGTATAAGTTTACGGTCATCTCGAATGTCCAGTGTTTCATGCCTCGCATGATTCCTGCCATTATTTCGGCTGCACATCGATGGCTTGATTCCGAGTTTTTGTCTTCAATCAAGCGTTGCAGGTGCTCGAGTATTGGGTCGAGTAGCACATCTCCGAACATGTCACACAGTCCCTTCAACAAGAATGATCTCGATCTGTTGAACTTTTCTTTGCCTTTCTTTTCCTCCAACGACCAGAACGCAATCAATTTGTCGATGTTTGATTTTTTGGCAAAGAAATCGTAGATTATTCTTTCAGACGAAGTGAGTTCGTCCCACGTACGGTTTAATTTCGGCTGTTGTGACGATGGGGCATAAACTGTGAAATTTGGTGACCATCCAAAAAAACCTTCTGTTTTATGCGCGTATTTCGGTTCATCCCATTGTTCTTGACTTTTTGGTAGAGTTCCTAAATCATATTGCAGCCATCGATTATCCGGCCGAGTACCGGGCTTCAATTCGCGCTGTGATTTTGGTGGCTTTACACCGCCAATCGCAAACGGATCTATTGGGACTTTGACATGCTCACGCTTTTGCTGCTTGAAAATGAAACGCATCGTTTTTACGGCGATTTTTCGCTCTTCAATTGACTCATTTATCAAATTATGCACCACATAATTGATGACCTCGTCCGGATACTTGACATTGATATGCACCAAATTGTAAATCATTCCGGTTGCCATTAGACCGTAGCGCCAGTGCAACGAATTATTGTGTGTGATCTTTAGGATCTCCTGTAAAATGTTCAAGTATGATTTAAGATTTGCTTCGTTTTGCTGTTGTTCCTTCATTGATCCGGCTTGAATTGCGGATTCGGGAATCGCAGACACTGTGGCTGGTAAGATCGTTTTGGCTATATCAACGCATCGATCGGGTATGTTTAAGCTGATATTGACCGTTGGGAACTCATTGTGAATCACATCGTAGACCATGTTTAACAATCGTACCACCGATGGTTTTTCCGAAAGATTTGTCCTGAGTAAAGCGAGCCAGATCCTTTGCACGCACTCCCAATCATTTTTCACAATCAATCGAGCACGGCGTTGACCACACAAAACGTACAAGATTCCCTTGAAACTTTCGTGATTTTCATTCGAATCAACGGACAAATGTTGAACAATGTCATCCAACAAGCATCGATAGGAGAATGGAAACGTGCCAATCAGTTTAAACAATCGAGATTGAGCAGTGGCACGTACGGCTCCGTACCGTGATGTTGACAAATCCAACAGATTCTTCATTACGGCCAAATGTGACGGTGTAAACTCCGGCAGCAGAAGTTCATCACGGCAATCTTGCTGCATGAGGATTCGTGTTGCCAAAATGGCACGAATGTCTCGAATTCTCTTGGTCAATTTGTATTCTTGGAACATTTTTGATTGATTATAACTCTTTAGCTGCGATTCGAATGGGGTTACATATTGTTTACGAATGAACACTCGTTCCCATAACAAAATGATTGCTTTCAGTGATTTGGTGTCGTCTTCGGATTCTTCCAAAATTTTCTTCTGTAATTTTGATATGCTGCGTATGATTGCCAATCGAACGTTTTCTCCATCTGGCATGCTGATTGCGTACTGCTCAAACCCTAATTTGATATCCAAAACACGGATCGGACTGGTGGTCGGCAGAATTCCAATCGGTTTTTCATTGTCCCAATTCGGTAAGAAATTGGCGCACTTGAGCAACGCCAAAACAGTTGATGTATCACGAAGAATATCATCTCGAGACAATTCGCATTTGCCTTCCACAAAATCGTCAAATTGCTTCAAGATGGGCGGAAGATAGCGATGAAGAATCATCTGGCATACCTCTTTAGCTCTTTCGTCGGGCATGTACCATTTGATTGCGGTTTCAGCCCTCATTTTTTGGCCCCTGATTAAACGACAAAAAAAAGGGAATTGATCAGCATTTGAAGAAAGGGAAAATCGTTTTATCTTGTTTAGAATTACCAGTGGCGAATGGGTAAAAACTCATTTAATGGCTTCTCATGACTTTCGGGAGAGCTACGAACATCCAAAATCTGAAGTGTGCTAACATTACTTAAGATAGTGAAGAGAATCGCATTCGAATATTTGTTGGTGAGTTTGCATTTGAATTTCGAAATTTGATCAACGATTGGAATTAAGTCGTCGAAGAAATTAACAACTTCGTTGGGTGCACCTCGTACGATGGCCATCAACAGAATGATGTAGTAAAGCATTTCATCGCTTTGTTTTTCTCGTGCTGCGATATCATCGTGCTCCTCAATGTATTGATTGATCGTGTTGACAACAAACGGCACCAGAGATTTGCTGATTTCGCTTCCTGCAACGCGTGCAAACACCCGCACCAGACTAGCGATCAAATGAGCAGCAACGCGTGGTTCGAATAAGTTGGTTTTGATATAATCAACCAATTTTTTCGTGGCAGACAAGATGATCTCATCGGAACACTGACCTTTTGGGTTAAAAAAAAAAGAAGAATAAATGAATGATTGGATGGTGTCTTACGCCCCATTGCCCTATCTCTTTCCTGGCAATAATTAATTAATTTGCAATTAATGTGTTAACATACCCAGAATTCCATGAGTACTGGATTGTACCAAACTCTCGACGATCGTTTCCATTTTTGAGCGGATACTGTCGTTGTCGGTCGGTTGTTCCATGCGAGTCGAACTGGAATCGATGAGCGCAAAAATTTTGTCCAAATATTCCAGAACGAAGCCTTCAAATTCGGCCGTTTGGCCACAAATCAGACTCTCCTCCTCCGTTAAGTCGTCGTAGTAGAGATGAGCTTTGGAACAATCGACGATCGGAACCATCAGAGCAAAAGTTGTTAAAAATTGCAAAGTGACTGATGTCTTCTTAAAATCATTTGGGTCGATTCCAGGCAATGTGGCAAATAAAATGGGAATGACATGAGTTTTTCCGGTTGTATAACCATTGTGGCCGGACACAAGAGCACGGGACACACTGACCAAACACTGCAAAGCGGCAGTCATCTTGTGCGGTTCGGTTACTGAGTCGAGCGTTGCATAAACTCTTTCAACAACATCGGGAATGATCAGTTCGGGGCGCAAATCGGCCAAATGCTTAAATATTTTGCCAGTGTCGGTGGCATTCATTCGCGAATACATGGCCTGCAACGCGATCGGCTTGTATGATTCCACGAATAATGTCAAACAGTTTTCAGTCAAACGTTGTTCGTTAGGCACGGCTCGTTTCCACGGATGAGGCTTGTACCGCTCGTAAACCAACCGATCGAACAGGTACTTTGGTAGCTGAACGACAATTTCACTGATAACACCAACCCATTTTCCACTGTTGGCCGGATGCAAATATGATTCAACAGCACCCAAAAACTTTGATAGATAATGTTGAGCAGAACTCTTCGGGCTTAGCACTGACGCAATCCAAACTAGAAATAAAATAACATTGATTATTCATATGGAAATTCATTCTACATTTGAAACTTACTCGCAACCGACGATGACCATAGAGTTTGATTACGGGCACTTTTCATATTTTTGTAGCAAACGGGTAGGTCTAATGAGCGCAATAAACGTGTGAAAATCATCGGAATGTAGGGTTCCCAGTCGATGTGGCCGACATTTTGGCTGGCTGTGATCGCCAGCAAGTTCATTATGTCCACATTCCACGATGGATTGTGATAGGTATTCCAGAGATTGACAAAATCGGTTAGCCATAAATCGTATCCGTGCAACGGATTCAAAAAGATCGATAACAGATCGAATGCACCGCATATTTTTCCCGTATCAAGTGGGAATAGTTTCGGGAAAATTTCATCGAGAATTTCTTGCGTTGCTTCCTTCGAAAAGTATCTAAAAATAACAACAATTCGAGATAATCGCAATGCAAATATTCAAAAATTGTGTACTTTGTTTGTTATCAAAAGACGTCATCATCAAATTCACGTAAAAACTTTAACAATAACAAAAGTACTTACGTGGCACATTGCTGGATAATAAATTGCACGTTTGATTCGAGTGACCTGTGAAAACGAAAATCGTGTGAGACAATTTTTATTTCGATTGTAATTATATTTGTCCAAATACAATATGAAGAGAGCGCATGCAAAAATATCCTACGGAGTTTAATTTGGGGCACAGTGCTTATCTTGCGATGCTTGAGTGTTTGCATTGTATTTGATTTATCAGTGCTATCAGTCAGACCACAAGCAAATCAAAAGCATCGACTTCGCAATGGAGTAAAAATTGGTTGTACTACTCACGGAAAGTATCTGTAAATTTCGCCCTTGGTGGAGTTTTTATTTAGGTAGATGTTGCTCAAATTGTACAGCGGCCGCCAATCAATTTGCAAGTCATTCGGTGATAGCCATGAAGTTTTGCTGCAACGAAGAAATAAAAGAAACAGAACAAAAATTACCATATATGCATGTGTGTGCGTTGTATTGATTGTGTGTCAAATGTTACCGTAGCAGCTGCGATAGTACGATGCAGAATTTATTGAGTTTGGCTGGTTCCAAGCCTGGTATCTCAATCAGTGAAAGCAATAGTTTGATGAATTTTACGTGATCCTCTTTGGAAAATTTCAGTCCATACAGTTTAAGGTACCTGCAAAAATGTGGCAATACAATGAACACAAGGATTAACAAGGAATTGAGCTAATTTTAGTCGATGTATAAAAATACGAACACCAAAAGTCTGGATATTGCCATGCCAACCGCTGGCGTCATTTCTCTGAGTGCAACGGCCTTTGCAAGACCCTCTTTCAATTCCGTCAGCATTTTTTGCGATTCATCGTCGAGTTGATCAGCGTACGGCAGATATTTATTGCAGAAAATCTCTTTTTGCGGATGAAATCCGAGCTTTTTGTAGCGGGCCTGTTGAAATTCCGAATATTTCTTGGTTGGAACGTCCTCATCGTCGCCAGCAGTATCATCAATCGCATCGTCGCCGCTCGTGGTCCCAAAATCCATGTAATCGTCGATTTCCATGTCACCGTCTGCCTTTCTGTGCTATTTCGCACAAAATCACACAACACTGGAATTCTGATTGATTTAAACGATTCTTCGCGATTTTTTTCGGTTCCTTCCACTTTTTTGCTATTTTGATAAGTTTATCTACGGAAATGCAATGACATCAAATTGAGAAGTTTACTCCATACGTGTAAAAGTATAGCTGTTATTTTGCGAATTGCCACAGCACGCACATGCACAACGAATCTTATTTACATTGATAAACAAACGAACTAAACATCAGTTGCCGTGGCGCCTTTTTTCTTTCTTTTTTTTTCTCTCTTGTTGTTTTCAACTGAATACTTTGCAATGAACCAAACGAAATCAATCGTTGCACAATGTTTTTTTTTCACTCTCTCTTTTATTATTTTTTGTTTGCTATCACCTCAACAAGAAAAAAGAACAAAAACTCATTTCGTTAGGAAAGGATGCCAAGAATTGGAATGTGTAAGTACACTGGAAATGTCTACAATGAAACAAAAGAAAACGAAATGCGATCCACAACTCAAGTCAGAAATGTGAAATGTTTTTGCCTTTTCGTGGTGACTGACAACGAGTAACATCAATTTAAAAATCAGAATTTATTGAATTCTGAACAAAATCAGTGTCGAATGTCAATTAAATTCACTTACAAATTTCGTTTTGAGTGTGTTTCACTATAACAAATTGCTTGAAATTAAAAATGAATGTCTTTAAGTGATTTGAAAGAAGGAAAAAGTCAAAATTTCTGATGATTTTGTAAAAGTCATTGTGTGACTGTGAATGCATGCTATGCCAACTAGATTTGTCTCGCTCCTACAAATTCGCCATAAATGGAGGCATGCATATCATTTCCCCATTTTTTTCGTGCTTATTATCATCATCAACGTACCTACAGATTATTTCAGTCATTTTTGACAGTTCGACTAATAAACAGTTCACTGTTTCGCCACACCACACATTTTCAGCGCTGCATTATCGACACATCGTTTGTGCGCAACGATTTGATTTTAATTTTCAACACACTAAAAATTTTTGCCGCTTTTAGTCATTTTTATTAAATATTTTTTCACAATAATTATCCACCAATGATTCGTTTTAAATATATACAATTACACTCAGAGTTCACTTGATGAACATAAATATTTAAAATAGAATACAGATAATTTTTTTGATTGTGTTGCTTGCTCAATTACATAAACAAAATTGCTATTCGTAGATAATTAGAACTAAATCTATAGTTCTATCGAATCAGAAAGAAAGTCGATTCCAGACATGGAAAAGTTGAGATTGGATCGTTGCCTGCACCAACTTATGTACCTATCCTCGATCATGTTGACCTTGTCATATAACACCTGGAGTGTACTTCTTGCATTCCTACAGTATTCCATTATTTGTTGCAGATCATGTAGTCCTGGCTGAAAATCATCTTGGATGGGCTTCTTCTTCTTCGCAAAACATGGTATTGGGCTGTCGAAGAACGTTTTCGAATCCAATGATGGTTTGCTGTAAATATAGATTAACAATGCAGTAAATAGGTCATTCGATATAAATGATATATAAGCACACAATTCAAATATGAAAATCAGAACAAAATTCATGTAAAGTTAGTAAATTTGTGGTTCCCAGTCGACGTTGCCGACATTTTGGCTGGCTGTGATAATCAGCATGTTCATCATGTCCACATTCCAAGATGAATTGTTATAGGTGTCCCAGAGACTGACGAAATCGATTAGCCATAAATCTTATTCGAAGAGAACTACATCAGATAGAACGCATCTCATATTTTTCCCGTATCAAGTGGGAACAGTTTTGGAAAATACTCATGTAATACTACATGATACATACTACGTACCTTTTTGGAGCAATCAAATGTGGTATATTTTCCTTTTCGTGCATCAAACATGGGATGTTTTCCTTCTCATCGGAAACGAACGTACTCGAAGCTGCTGGTACGATACCATCGTAGAAATCCGAGTATTCCCACGTTGAACACGTTGTGTTTACTAAGGTTTTATCGCAGGTGATGTTGCCAGTACTCTCGTGATTATTGACGAAATCAATCAATGTCTGATTTTCTTCCAATTCATTTTCGATCGGCTCATTTTCAATTTCATTATTTTCGCATTGCATGTCATTGTTGTTGATTTCGTTGTCACCCACGGCAAACATGTACGACGTTTCAGTAGATTTGTTTACTATGGTGAGACTCTCAACAACTGGCACCAATTTAAATTTCATTTTCAGTGAAATATCAGAGGTGGAATCGTTTGCATTGAGTAAATCTTTGAGCCGCGATTTTAAACCGGTCGAAGCAACAAGGATTTGCTGTTGCAACTCTTCCCGATTCTGAATCAATCGGATTTTATCATTTGAGTCACGAATGCCAATCACCTTTTTCGGCCAATTAACCTTATGATTTTTGAGCAAACTTTGATCGAGTGCCTGCACAATCATATTCCAAACGTCATACTCCTTTTTCCATTCACTGCCAATATTTTGCTTTGACTCTTTCGTCGCCGTTTTCTTGCTCGACGAACCTTTTCTGGCCTTTTGATATCGCTGGTAAAACGTTGGTTTCGAACGTTTCTTTGGCGTCGATGAACTGTGATTCAACTTTGAAAAGAGTCGACGGCTGTACGTTCCCGCGCTGTCTTTCGATTGTTTTTTTCTCAATTCTTTGGAATCATTCAACAATACTTTCGACCAAATTGGATACGAAATATCCATATTAGACATATTTTCGGTTGCCATTGAAAACGAATCAATCTATATAGAAACAAGCAGACAGAATGTGGTTCTCAAAATCAATTTGGTTATGATATAACCTAAAATATTATGACATTCAAATTCTGATCATGCCTTTTTCTTCTGTTGATATCATGGAATTGATAAGCATTAAAAATTGATTTTTTTTTGCAAAATCTCACCTTCTAAAGTATCGATCGAATACTTTAACAAATAAATAATTGGAATTTTTACACAAAATACGATGAACTCTCGTTTGCAAATCAATTCAGTCAACTGTCTGATTCGATTAAACTATGAAACTAACGGAATGGTGGTTTGATGGTGTAATTGCTCGCCTCTTTTGTGCTACGTAGTTTTGCTACTGTCAAATGTCAATCGAATGAAACACGAAGTTCTCTGGCGTACCCATTTATTTGGAACGTCTAATGTAAATGTCAATGGCTTTCGCACAATGCATTTGCTGCATTACATTGTCGTTGAAAGAATATGAGAATTGTTTGGAGCTTTGTCTCAAATTAAAGCAATGATATTTCTCTGTTCAAGTTTCTTAATAATTATGAGCATTCGGAATGTGATGTTTCAAATTTGTTCATTTTCCATATTAATTCCCTTGGAAATTTCCCTTTTTCTTTTAACTACTCACAACAAATTTCCAATAGAAAATAGATCAGCATTGGTTCCATTCACAATGAATTGAGCAGTTTTATGGCGTTTAGGTTAAAGACTATAGAAAGCAGAATATATATATGTTTATGGATTGTTCAAGGAATTTAGATGTAAAGAAAAAATTTGTGAAAATCGTCAACAGAAAAAACATTTGGAGAGAAAAAACGTGCGAAAAATCATTTCGATTATGGTTGATTGGTTATAAGAATGGAAGTTCACCCAAAATATTTCTGTCATACAGAGCTGAAAAATGTTGGCATTCGATCACTCAGTATTCATAACCTTATAAAATTGCATTACAAAGCATTCTTGATGCATCTGTATCAAGTCAAACAAAAATTTCCGACATTGTTCACTGAATAGCACCTTATGGAAAGCAACACCAGCTCGTATATGTGCGGTATACGTATGCATCTGTGTGATTTTTATACACATTTTGTGCAGAGTTGCAAATTTGGTGTTCACTCAATATGAGTATTCATTTTACGTCCTTTGGTCGAGCGTTCACCAAATTGGTTGTGTATCGGTGTAATACGACACTTCCAGACAGGGGATTCGCAGGTAATATTTCGAACGTCATTCGTATTGAGATCGTCTTAGTTACAACAATAGCACGACTTTTCAACAAAGCTTTGCCACGTTAATATTTTATTTCGAAGCAAATAATTACTCATCGAAATTCAAGAGAACATCCTCAACTGGACAGAATGTTGTGGAAAAAAGAAACTGGCCAAGAAGATGCGCTGTATACTGATTTATTGGGCTGTTCTTTGGTGAACTCCATTTACAGCGATTACCAAAATTCGAACAATTTCGTGAATGGTCAATTTGCGTCGTCATACAAGAAAAGTGCAACCGAAGCATTAAATTGCCGACAAAAAGGAAATGAAGTATTCGCTGAGAAGAAATGGGCCGACGCAATGGAGTGGTATAACAATTCAATGTGTTTTGCAGATGAAGGTTCCGAAATGTTGGGATTGGCGTACGCAAATCGAGCATCGTGTTTTTTTAATATGGGAATGTACAACAAGTGTCTCATCGACATCGAGCACGCCAAATAAAACAACTACCCGCAAGGAAAATTGGCCAAATTGGACGAACGAAAAACCATTTGCTTGGCTGCGATGGAGAAGGAAACGGATCGAAGTGGAATATTTGAGCCTAAGCTGGACTATGCACCCAACGAAATGTTTCCGTGTTTCGCTGATGTTCTGAAAATCGAAAACAACCACCAACACGGTCGGCACGTTGTGGCGAAGGAAGATATTGACGTGGGCAAAACGGTGATGGTCGATCAAAGCTACTTTGCGGAAACATTCAATCTGAAGTATCGACGATGCGGAATTTTTTTTCGTGAGGTCGAGAATCTCAAGCCATGTAATAAGTGTACGTTCACGATGTTCTGTCCACGATGCGAAGGAAACAGCTTCCATGACATTGAATGTGATGTCAATCCAACCTATTTTGGTTGTCTGTCATTTGCAAGTTTTCGAATGGTGATCATTCGATCGATTCTACTGGCAATGAATGCATTCGATGATATTGATCAATTGATTGCTGCTGTTGAGGAAATCTTGTCCAGCGATGCAGTCGAAGCACCCGAGTCGTTGTCTGATCCACAATCAAAGTATCGTGCATTCTTCAAACTACAACCCAATTCAAAGGAAAACGTCGACGAAAAACTCCCACAGAAGATTTATCTGATTTATCGCTTGCTAATAGGTCAGTCGAAGGTGTCAAAGATTTTCCATTCGGAAGCAAGCAAACGGTTTTTGATGCATTTATTTGGCCACCACGTCATCGTTATAAAAAATTGGATTCGCAGTGATCGTTATAAAACTGGACGCAAAGGTCTATTCAACGAAGATATTGAAGTGTATTATGAGCATCGCATCAGCATTACCGCATCATACTTCAATCACAGTTGTTCACCCAACGCTTACATCACTGCACAAAACGGCCTCAACATAGCAGTCGTTTTGCGCCCTGTTCGAAAAAATGAGCAATTGTGCGTGACATATGATGAACAAATTTTGATGAAACCAAAGACAGAGCGTCAGCGTGACCTACAATCAAAATTCAAATTCCAGTGCAAATGTGACCGATGTAAGCAGCCGCAGCTAGAATCATCCACTCTCAACTCAAATCTTCGTATCAAATTGGATCCAATTTTCCAGTCAATTTTTGAATCTCGCTCCGTACATGACTACCAGACTTTTTTGTCATTGAAAGCAAATGCATTCGGTTTGTTGAAGAAGTATAAGAAAGTGGCCTGGTCTGCAGAAGTATATCGCATCATCTATAGTCTATACACACTGGCATTGATGGAAACAGAAACTGCAACCGCTGGCAGTATGCCGTTCACTGGCCACATTTTTAACATAACTTTCGACTGAATTTGGACATCATTCTATCAACATTTCCTTTGACACAAACTTGTGGAACGTTTCATTTTAGTTCAAGTTTTCATTTGAACAATATTTTCAAAAACATAAAGATTTCCACTCAAACCACGCAAAAACCTATATTATTTATACCTATAGTGTTTTATTAAATAAAGTTCACTGAACCGTTTTTTTGTATTAATCACAATGAGAGGTCTTTCATTCTTTAATTTTCTTGATTTGATCTTTTAAAAACTAGATTTGAATTATTATGTGCATGATGATGAAATTTCGTTCACATGCCCACGAATCAAATTTCTAAAGGTAAAAATATGATTAGTGAAATACCAGAAATACTATCGAAGTTAGCCAGCCACCTCTCAAAGCAAAATCTTCTCCGGTTTGAAGATAAATAACATGGATCGAATTAGTTTTGGTTTAGCTGGTTGATAGATTTTTCTGGTGTTAGATGTGTTGCAGTAATGAGATTATAAAAAACGTTATGGAAAACATGCTTGACCCGAAAAACTCACCCCGTATGTGGAAAATGATGAATTTGAAAAAGGAAAATCGTGCGAAAAATACTTTTAAAGAACCAAAGTGATGAGAATGGAATCTTAGATAGAATGTTTGTTTCTTTTGTAAAGATTTGAAAAATGTTGGCATTCGGTCACTCAGTAGCCTATTTCATCAAATGTTTTCATGAAAAGTTTTCATGAGATTTTCTTCTCAAGTTTTTTTGGTGAAACAAATGTATCTAAATGTAGCAATGAGAAAATCTCAATAGAAACGTGAAAATATTCTCATTTTTTTGACATTATTTTGAGCGCAAATTTTAAATTTTCATTTATTTTTGAGCCAACCATGATGTGATCTCACATGTTTGTGAAAAAACCTCGAAATTTCAAGTTGGCGCTCAAAATAATGTCAAAAAAATGAGAATATTTTCACGTTTTTATTGAGATTTTCTCATTGCTACAATTAGATATATTTGTTTGACCAAAAAAACTTGAGAAGAAAATCTTATGAAAACTTCTCATGAAAACATTTGGTGAAATAGGCTACAAGAATCATAGCCTCATAAAATTGCTTTACAAAGCATTCTAGATACTTTTGCATCAAGCCAGAGAAAGACTGACGTTTTCACTCTGTTCAGTCCAAAACATTTTGGAGAGCAACATCAGCTCTTGTAAATTGGTAAATCGTTTCCACACACATTTTGTGCAGACTTGCAAGTATGCTGTTTATTCAATATTGCGATTTCACACAGTTTCTCTCTCCCTTTGTCTGTGTGTGTCAACCATATTGGTTGTGTATCGGTGTAATACGACACTTCCAGACAGGGGATTCGCAGGTAATATTTCGAACGTCATTCGTATTGAGATCGTCTTAGTTACAACAATAGCACGACTTTTCAACAAAGTTTTGCCACTTTAAAATTTCATCTCAAAGCAACCAGTTTCCAATCGAAATTCAAAAGAACATTCTCAGTTAGATAAAATGTTGTGGAAGAAAGAATCTGATCAAGAAAATTCGTTGTATACTAACTTATTAAATTGTTCTTCGGTCGACAGCATGTACAACGATTACGAAGAAAATAGGGATCGAACAATCTTATTGTCCGGATCAGCATACAAAAAAAGTGCGGCAAAAGCGTTGAAGTGTCGACAAAAAGGAAATGAATATTTTGCTAAAAAGGAATGGGCTAATGCAACGGAACTGTACAACAAATCGACGTGTTTTGCTGAAGAGGGATCTGAGCTGATGGGATTGGCGTACGCAAATCGGGCATCGTGTTTTTTCAACATGAAAATGTACAGCAAGTGTCTTATCGACATCGAGCATGCCAAACAAAACAACTACCCGCAAGAAAAATTGGCCAAATTGGACGAACGGAAAACCATTTGCTTGGCTGCGATGGAGAAGGAAACGGATCGAAGTGAGATGTTCGAACCTAAGCTGGACTACACACCCAACGAAATGTTTCCGTGTTTCGCTGATGTTCTGAAAATCGAAAACAACCACCAACACGGTCGGCACGTTGTGGCGAAGGAAGATATTGACGTGGGCAAAACGGTGATGGTCGATCAAAGCTACTTTGCGGAAACAATCAATCAAAAGTACCGACGATGTGGTAATTGTTTGCGATCGGCCGAGAATCTCAAGCCATGCCACAAGTGTACGTTTACGATGTTCTGTCCACGATGCGAAGAAAACAGCTTTCATGACATTGAATGTGATGTCAATCCAACCTATTTCGGTTGTCTGGATTTTATGAGCTTTCGAATGGTTGTCATACGTTCGATTTTACTGACCATGAATGCATTCGATGACAACGATCAATTGATTGCTGCCGTTGAGGAAATGTTGTCCAGCGATGCAGTCAAAGTACCCGAGTCGTTGTCTGATCCACAATCAAAGTATCGTGCATTCTTCAAGCTACAACCCAATCCAAAGGAACAAGTGGACCGAAAACTCCCACAGAAGATTTATCTGATTTATCGTTTACTAATGGGTCAGTCGAAGGTGTCAAAGATTTTCCATTCGGAAGCACGCAAACGCTTTTTAATGCATTTAATTGGCCACCACGTCATCGTTATAAAAAATTAGATTCGAAATGACCGCTATAAAACGGGAAGAATAGGTGATTACGGCGAAGAAATTTAAATGTTTTATGAGCATCGAATGAGCATTCCCGCAGGGTATTTTAATCACTCTTGTTCACCCAACGCTTACATCAACTCATAAAACGGCATCAACATCTGCGTCGTCATTCGACCTGTGCGAAAAGGTGAACAATTGTGCGTGACTTATGATGACACAATTTTGCTAGCGCCAAAGGCAGAGCGTCAGCGTAATCTACAGTCGAAATTCAATTTCCAGTGCAAATGTGACCGATGTGAGCAACCTCTGCTATGGTTATCCAGTCTCATATCAAATCTTTACATCAAATCGGATCCAATTTTCCAGTCAATTAATGGCGGTTCTAGAGCCGAATCAAGTTACAACTATCAAGACATTTTGTCATCGAAAGCAGAAGTAATTGGTTTGTTGAAAAAGTATAAGAAAGTGGCCTGGTGTAAAGAAATATGCCTCATCATCTATTATTTGTATGGCTTGGCATTGATGGAGACAGAAAGTGTATCCGATGGTATACCTTTCACTGGACGCCCCTTTAATAGGCAAATCGACTGAATTTGGGAACGTTTCCATAATCATTTCCTTTAACACAAATTTGTTAGCTAAAAATGCCCCTTCATATGAGGTTGAGTTTTCATTATTTTGAAGAAAAGAAAATAAACGTATTAATTTGGTTTCAGCTTAAGCCACCTATAAACCTACATATATTATGAGTATTATTCAATAAAATTTGCTGAACTGTTTTTCTTATTAAACATAACGAGATATCTTTTGTCTTTTCATTTTATTCATTTATTTTTTTAAATTGGATTTAGGTTGCTGATCATGTACGTCTCAATGAACTTTTGCCCATATGCCAGCGAATCGCATTTCTGAAGCTAAAAAATGAACTATAGTATATGTATACATAAATACTAAAACTGCTAATCTAGATTGCAAATCAGTACGATCGACTATATGATTTGAGTGAACCATGAAACTGCTGTGGAATTGTTTACCTCCTTAGCGTTAGGTATTTGTTGTAATAGTTCTACTGCTATTAAGTGAAACACAAACTCATAGGGTTTGGTTATTCATGGAGAATGTTTATTGAAAATGTCAAAGAAATTGCACAATACAATAATAATGAATACTCAAGTTAAATTTTGCCTTTGAATATGCTCTATCCTTTTTTTCTAAGATTATTTTTAAAATATGAATTCAAACATAATTGTTAGTCTGACCACGACAGTTTTATGCTATGTGTAAATCCAACTCAAAAAATTTCTGAGAATAAATTAATTGTAATATAGATTGACTAGAAAATACAGAATTTATCTTGCATTCAGAAGGTTTGAGCATTTCGACAAATGCCACATCCCAAAGCGAATTCTTCTCCCGTTGGTGGATGAACAACATGTAACGGACAATCTTCACCCATGAGTTGCTTGGCTTTCGGTCCAGCTGGGCATTTCGGTAGCTTTTGTTTCGGGATATTTGTTAAACGTTGAAAGTCATCATGGCACGTGTCACAAAAATGCGTTGATCCAAAGCAAAAGTACACTGCCACCGAACAGCAAAATCGACATTTGTATTCGAGATAATCCATACCGTGTTTTGGACACATCTAAATCAAGGCAGAAAAGAAATATTGTCTTAAATTGTTTTGAAAACCAATATCGTGGATCATTTTTCTTCTACCTGTGCACGCGCTACGTCACTACACCCTCCGCAAACCAACTCCTGTGGATTGTATTTGTCTCCCATTTCAGCATCACACCGAGCCTCTCCTCCATAATATGCCTTAGAGCATTTATAACAAACATAATACGCATATCGATCCATTGCATAGGCTGCAAGATCTTTCTGATTGACTGATTGGACGATCCCCTCGTACTCCAAGCTAGTTACGTGAAGAAAAAAAATGTTAGTTAGCTTTGAATTCATCAATATTCAAACTAATATATGTATCCATACCGCATAATGGCCTTTCGTTTGACGTCGGCTTTCAATTCATTGATTGGATCGAGTAGATCGGCCAACATATAATGCATTATATCAGCTTTACATATGGGGCACAATGAAAAACCAAAGCTAATACGTGGACCAATCCAATGCTTTTCAAGCACAGTGCGACAGCAGTGATAATGGAAAACGTGTCCACATTCGAGATGGATTGCTGGTGCACATGATAGTGCTTCCACAAAACAAATCATACACATATCGTCAGCGTCTTGAGTGAGTTTTGGCTCCTTCAAACTCTCTGACAGTTCATTTTCTCGTTTATGACACACCACTTCTAGGCATGGCAAGCATTTGGTTTCGTTGATCACCCCACCACACGGGTGGCCACAGAGCTTTGTTTTTGCGCATACATTTGCCGCAAACTCTTGACACTCCTTATCGGCACAAACATTGCCCATTGCCAACAAACCAGAATCACCCACCGTACCACAAAATCGACATCGACCTACTGGAGAAAAAAAAGATGAAATTTAGTTTTGGATGTTTGATACGGAATAAATCGAATAAATCGTTCTTGCCTGTGGACGTTGTTGGCCCTGATACAGCGGCTATATTGCCATCACGAAACTCAATGATCGCCTTCAAAGTTCGGGAATCAGCCAAAGCAAGCAACCAAAATAGTTTAGTTCGTCCACAGCCCTCATGTAATTCAACGCGAATGGCATCTTCTTCCTCTTTGCACACGGTACGACGATGATTCCTAGTTTTTCGGCTCAAATGCAAGAAGCGATCACAATCGGCGCACAATGACTGACACGTCTCACATTGAATGATCGCTGCCGTCACTCCGTCGTCATGGTTCGAACACAACGGCCGAGTTTCAGATATCTTTGACCATTGTCCAGATGACAGTCTATTCAAACGAGAATAACCGTTAAAATTAAGTTACAATCAAGATGATTTTTTTTTATTTAAAAATAATTGATTTCGAAGTATTTTATGCAAACGCCCGGGTATTAAAATAAACTCACCTTTCCACATGATCCTTGTCTAAAACACACAAGCTTGCCAAGGCCAGCCACAGAGTGGTCGTTTTGATGCAATTTTCATGTGTACGATAGATTTCATCGAGGCGTGTTAGATTCAGTATGGATTCGGCGATTGCAGCCTTGGTTACCGTTGACCATTTATCCGATAGTTTTCCCTGTGAATCGATATGAGTATATTGTTAATATTACCAAGCAAAATAATACTGATAAGAATTATTCGCTCGCAATACATACGTTGGCCATGTCGCGAATTAAAGTAATGATATTTTCGGCTTGCTTAATATTGATAGTGCCTCTCAAGAACCAGCGTTGATTTAAATTCCTCGACTCTGACTTTTTTGGAATGAATTCGAAATCTGACGTTCCGGCTGTGTCTATTACAGAACTGATACCTTTTGGCAATTTTCCCTGCGAGTCTTTTTCTTGCAAGTGTAAATTTGATATGCCAAAATCGATGCAATTGAATAATTGTAATGAAATCGGTTGCTTATTCGAGGTTGATGCGCTGGTTGATTTAATTTTTACTTGTAGCTGCAGTGATTTAGCGATGACTGCCAAGAAAATGTCAAGTATACCCAAGCGATTCATATCGAATTCTTCGTTGCTTTGATTGGAAATATTGAAATCGCTCGGTGGTAGACTGTACACATTGAGAATATCGGCGAATTGCTCTGGTGAAAGTTCGGGTAAAATTCGTCGAAGCAAAGCCGTTACTTGACGTTGAACACGATCACTTCCTGTGTGTAGAAGTGTCAATAGATCTTTTAATAATCCATGCTGATTTGATAGATATGATCGACCGACGGCACTGCCCGACAACGCCAAAACCATACTCAACATCTCAAAACAGTAAATGTCAGGCGCTCGTGAATTCTCACTCGCTGAATCACTTTTGTGTTCACTATTCAACAATTGAACTTCTGAATTGACACATCGATTGTCAAACATCAATGCCGAATTGGCTTCCCATTCCTCTTTGGCACGGATCGTTTCTTTTCGGATCGCATGAACGATATGAACGATTACTTGCTTCTGCAAATGGCTTAGTTTGCTTCGACTAAACAAAATGCCAACCATATGCTCGCGCAGATCCAATGAATCAGCCAACATTGATGTACCATTTGAGTCAAGCGCTCCCCCGATGGTACCAACCGATCGTAGGTTATTCGAAATTGCGCCTTCATTGTTTGTGTCCTGATCGACGTCCTGGTCATTTTCACTTCCCAAAATCAATTTGCCAAATACTTGGGACGTTAGTAGTCGGAATACTCGAAGCGTTTCAGTTTCACAATTGCGATGTTGGATTTGAGATGAATTGAGCAACTTTATATTTGGTTTCAAAACCATTTCATCACTACTTATCGGAATGCCGAGCAATTTTATTTGACGCACACGCAATGTTTCAGCACCCTTCAGTTCGATTCGGAAGTGAATGTAGGATTCGTCTGAAAGATGAAGTCAATGGTATGAGAAATAATCCGTTTGAATTTGTAAAAAAAAACTCACCCGCAACATTGGCAGAGATCCATGATCCAGTTTTTGAATCCACGTCGTATGACTTAATCAAATTGGTATCGCCCAACGATTGGCCGCCATAAAATAAGATGTTGGTCACTTTATTCTGAACATCTCGAGTGTTATCAATGTGCACGGCTATCATTTTGCACGAATATTGGAATTTATTCAGAGACACTTCGATTGTCTTGGATTTGTTCCGGTCTTCTTCATCACTCTCCCAGAATGTCTCCGTTGAATTGTCGGTCAGCGCCGAGGCCATTGCAAGTCGTGACGAGACATTCACTTCAAACATTCCGCTCATGTCGACAAGTGAATAGAACTTGGTGCCACCCACATTTCCATGGTTATTCAACAGTACGTTCACATCACCGAAAATGAATGGAACATCGTCAGCTTGGTGCTCTCGAAGCTCATCGGAGCGCGAAAGAATCTTGGAAATATTCCCAAAGACATGCGACTGATGCAAAAAATGATGATCATTTTGATTGAATTTAATTCCAAAGCACTGAATGGCCAGCTGCTGAAGTGCCGATCCTGATGGAAGCAACAATGTTAAATCGGCAACAGACTGCAAAAATGCGTGGAAACTTTGCGTTAACAATGACGAAATCTTATCACACATTTTGATCGATGTCATTGGATGCTCCAGCGCTTGTTCCTCATATTTGATGATTTCATCCTCCATTGCGGGATTCAACGATGAAACAAACCACCACATCAAGTCATGTAAACAGTTTGTTTGGGTCACCGATCGAATGAACCAATTCATAGCTTGTAACGCAAAAATTCGGCACGTTGCGATCCGAAGATTTCGTTTCATCGCATAACGCAATTTTTCCAAATTATGTGACTGCAAGCAGAACATGAGTGTTGGCCGCACTAGAAGATTTGGCATATCAATTAGATTTGATGCATTCCGTTTGGTCAATTCATTGGCTGTTGCCAGAGAAATGTCGACAGTTGCATTTCGTGAATCGCCGATTTTGGAAATGATGACAAACTCCTCTTGATTATCACCATCCAGTGACAATTGCTCGTCGACGTCGTTCTCATTTTTTACATCCAGATTTTCCAAGGGATTGTTAGATGGCAACAATGTTGAGGCAAGCTTTGAGTATGATTGCATTGCTGCATTGAAGTTGAATACCTCTTCTGGCACTAGTTTACGGAGATTTTCCGATGGCTGGCATAATGACAAGGAACCATCTGTTTTGACAAATTTGGTACATTTTAAATTTGCAAATATCACGAAGGAAAAGCTAAAAAGATCCTAGAAAGAAGACTAACCGGTATCGCAAATTTTGTTGTTCTTTCGTCGCATAACAACTTTAGTCTCACAATTTTCATCGGGCTGATATCCGTAGCGATTTGTCGACAGTGATTGTCCCGACCAACCTTGGCCCATCGACATGGAACGATGGAACTTTGATAGTGTGTTATTGCTCGTTATTGAACTATTCATAATGGCACCATTTCCGTATGGGCCACCATCTCCAACATCCAACGAGACATCGGACAAAGGCTATGCAAATAGAATGATTCGATTAAATTGGTTAAGATATAACGATTTAAAAGTGACTTACTCTATCAAAACTGCTCTCGGAGTAGCTAATGCGATCATATGGCGCTGAATCTCTGGCCACATGCGCTCCCAAAGACTCGAGGCACAAAAACATTTCCGGCACTGACCAAATTAAATCAGGAGAAGATGCTTCGGATTTCCGTGAGCCTCTGAAACTCTTTCCGTACCGATTAACAAATAGAGCTTCATTTCGGCTCGACCCAGCTCGGTTTGGATCAACTATTTGATGTTCATTCACCACCGGCATTTGATGCGGCAACTTTCTTTGATTACCCAAAATCGCTGTAAAATGCAGAGAATAAGAAATAAACGATCTAAAAACATGATAAATCTTATATTTAAATGCTTACGTGAATTGGTGGACGATAATTCCAATAAAAATAGAGCATTTTCTTTCATCATTTGGAACATATCGAAATTGGAATCGCTGCTAGTTTTCATGGCGGTAATTGAATGTAGTTTTTGATTGGATAAATATGGTGGTGGACAGGCCAGGTTGCTTATGATTTGACCGTTGTGGTTCCCCTCCATGTACCTAAATGGGAAATCCTTTAATAGATGGTCTCACATGAAAAAATGCTTCTAAATATTTACTTGTCATGGCAACTTTCACACATGAGATACCAACTCGATGCGCCTCGGCCACCTTCGCCACAATTTCCGGCCCAACCTTCACAGTATGTGCCAACAGAATTGTAACCTTTGCCCTTGGCACGTTTGCCGCATCCAGGATGAACCAAGCGCATGTGGTAAGTGACGGGAATCGGTAGGAACAGTTCACATAGCTCGCAGTATGAGCCATCATCTGTGTGGGAATATGATATCATGATGAACATTTTCGGAACAAAAAACCACGAATATAAATAAATGAACCAAATACGAAAAATGACTGCTTACCCTTTTTCACGTCACCCTTCCTAGATTCGAAATCACTGGCATTTTGATCGTCAATTAGAGTTGAGTCTTTGATATTCTGTTCGTTCTCAAGATTGATGCCATTTCTCTGAATTACTTGAATGCAGTTTGCGCTGATTTGTTCCCATAGAAAAACTAGGCAGCGCAAGGCTGGTGGACAACTCGTTGACATTTCAGGCAACGAATCCGATTTGCCTTGATCGGGTGAAGTCATTTGGCTCTGAAAATATAAATAAAACATTAGCGAATTCCTCATACGAGGTTGCTTGCTTGGTTGAACCTACATTCGTCTTTCGATTACGTCGATTGAAAATACTGGATTGCCCCGATTTGTTAAGTGTTTCAAGTGTCGATGGCCGGATGTTCAAGTAATTACCAGCATTAGCTACTTCGACTGAATATCGTTGTCTCGCACGTTGTTCCCTTCCAAAGTTTGTGGGAAAATCAATCGGAATTAGGGACATTATCTCAAACTCAAATGTATTCAAAGAAATAACTGTCTTACTTCGATAAATGAACTGGATCAGCTTTAACGACGTCGTTTGTGAATGTGAGTGCATTTCTCTTTGGTAGTGAAGGGTGGAATTTTAAATACGATGAGCATGCCATTGCATCATAAACGAGCCCTTCGTGCCATAAAAATGCAGCAAACACTGCACGAAAACTTTCAGCTAATCCAGCTGGTAGTGCACGTTTCGGGAATGCTTTTGAATCGGATGAAATGCCATTTTCATTTTCTTCCCTTTCCATTGTTTCTGGTTGGTCGGTGTTGCAGAACTTTTTTGTGGATGAATCGTTAGTTTTGAGAGTTTTCAATGGTGACGAACAGACTTGTGAGTCCATTGAAACAGTGATGGTCCGTTTCATTTGTTTGCGTGGTGATTGGGGCTCAAAACGCTGCTCATTCAATTGAAATTGCTCATTGTCGAACTGAAAGAATCCCCCTCGGCTTCGATTTGATGATGTCGTATCGAAATCAGTCTGTGACGAATGAGATCCACCGAAAATCGATTCAGGAATATTCTGCAATGATGATTCAACAAAGTTATAATAATTTATCAACAAAGTTATAATAATTCTCATTTCAATTTTTATTACCTCCTTCGTGTCGCTGAAAGTGAATGAGTTCTGAACACCCGATGTTTCGGAAACTTCGACCGACTTTGAGCTACTGCTGTATGCTGATTGTTCTGCAAACAAATATGGTTATGTTTAACCTAATTTAAATTGCCACGAAAATGTTAAAAATCTATCATTTTAGTGTAGTCTAACCACGGATAATTTTTCTTCTATAATCAATTCATGATAATATTAGACAGAATGTTTTGAACAAGAGCTTTGCTTATCGATTCATACAATTTGCCACCGGAACAAATTTGAATTTTCGAAAAATAAATCATCAAAACATTTGATCATGATCCGGAATTAAATTGAAGGTTGCTAAAAGCAAGAAGAGAAAATGTTGACAGGTCATTTAAGGGTGTGATGCAAAACCGTGAATAAAATATTCGGTATTGGTAATATTGATGTAAAATACTGAAAGTCGTTATAAGGATATTTCAAATTTATTCAGAATGGAATTACATCTTGCAACTCGCTTTCATAAGCTATGTATGAAATGTTGGTTATACAACAATGTTGACAAACATAACCGTATACCATTTTATTGCAAAATATTCTTGCAATTTCAATTTAATTATTGAAACATGCTAAACTTTACACAGTTTTGTTACTTATGGAGAGCATTAGCAAAGTTATTTTGTTACGCATCTTGGAATATTCAGTGGGAACGTCAATCGATGTACCGCAACATAATGCTACATTGTCAATTTCCATACACATTTTGTGTAGACCTGCAAATCTGTTGTAAATCGAAAACAATTGCCAACACGGACGGCACGTTGTGGCGAAGGAAGATATTGACGTGGGCAAAACGGTGATGGTCGATCAAAGCTACTTTGCGGAAACGTTCAAAGAAAAGTACGGACACTGCTCTATTTGTTTCAGATCGGCCGAGAATCTCAAGCCATGCAATAAATGTGTTTTCACGATGTTCTGTCCGAAATGCAAAGGAAACATGAAACAACTTTCATGAAATTGAATGTCAAGTGAATCCGATTTATTTTGGATGCCTTAGATTTATGAGTTATCGAATGGTTGTCATTCGATCGATTCTACTGGCTATGAATGCATTCGATGACATCGATCAATTAATTGATGCCGTTGAGGAAATGCTGTCTAGCGATGCAGTCAAAGCACCCGAGTCGTTGTCTGATCCACAATCAAAGTATCGTGCATTCTTCAAGCTACAGCCCAATCCAAAGGAACAAGTGGACCGAAAACTCCCACAGAAGATTTATCTCATTCATCGCTTACTAATGGGTCAGTCGAAGGTGTCAAAGATTTTCCATTCCGAAGCACGCAAACGGTTTTTAATGCATTTAATTGGCCACCACGTCATCGTTATAAAAAATTGGATTCGAAATGACCGTTATAAAACTGGAGCAATAGGTATATTGGGCGAAGAAATTGAAATGTTTTATGAGCATCGCATGAGCATTCTCGCCTCGTATTTCAATCACAGCTGCGCTCCGAACGCATACATCACTTCACAAAATGGGATCAACGTAGCAGTCGTCTTGCGCCCTGTGCGGAAAAATGAACAATTGTGCGTGGCTTATGATGAACTAATTATATTGGCGTCAAAGGCAGAGCGTCAGCGTTACCTACAATCAAAATTCAATTTCCAGTGCAATTGTGTTCGGTGTGAGCAACCGCAGCTGGAATCATCCACTCTCAACTCAAGTCTTCGCATCCAATCGGATCCGAATTTCCAGTCATTTGTACATGATCTCGAAAAATGTGAAAATGTACGTGACTTCCAAAGTATTTTGTCATTGAAAGCAGATGCAATTGTTTTGTTAAAGAAGTATAAGAATGCGGCCTGGTCTAAAGAAATATATCGCATCATCTGTCATCTGTACACATTGGCATTGATAGAAGCAGCAATTTTGGCTGTTGGACCTTCACCCTTCACTGGTCACATTCTTAATAGGCAAATCGACTGAATATGAAAGCATTTCCACGACCACACCTTTGGAACGCATTGGAAAAAATGCTGTTCATATTAGGTTAAATTTTCATTTTGAAAAATAATAATTATAATGATCGCATTAACATGATTTTATTAAGAACTATCTAAAACCCAATATATCACTGTAACTTTTCATTCAATAAAGTTCGTTAAATCATTTTTATATGAATCAAAATAAGACATCTGTTGGTACTTCATTCCATTAGTTTATAGATTTGAATCATATAGCTGATTTTATGTGCCCAAATAAAATTTTGTGAGTACTAGGTAAACATTTAATTAAGGTTTGTTTATTTTAGAGTCCCTTTTAAGGCAATAATGAAATAATAATGAAAATCACAGTTATTCAAGAGATTATTATATTGAACTTGAAAATTTCGGGCTCTAATTAATGACCGAACAGGGAAACGGTTTGTTATATCTTCCACGAAATTTCTGTAAATAAAACTGAATGTGACACTTACTGAACGGTATCGAAATCGGGCTTGAACTTTGACTAAGTGCATGATGCTGTGAGTTACAGTTACCTTTTCCATCGTTGGAATTTCCTCCAATTGCTTTGACCAAATCACGAACGGAAACCGAAGCCAATTCTGTGAAGTCGCCACGTCCTTTTCTTGGACTGTCTTTGCCATCTAAACTGTCACTCTTGAACCACTTTTGAATGGCTTGCAATTTGCTGGAGCTGCCTCCCATCATACCCACTGTCCAACTGCCAATATTTGATTGTGATATTTGATTCTGTTTGCCTTGATTATAGTTTGGCGACGATGAAACAGATGACATTGCACTCTTTTCGCATTCATCTTGTGAATCATATTCCTCTAAGTCATCTGCATCTTCAATCACTTTGCCAGAACGCTTTGTTAATTTTTCGAACGGATTTCTTGGTATGCGCGATGTTTTGCCACTCAACGGTAACGATTCAGTATATTCTCTTTCTGGATTCTTGAAAACGTCTTTGAATGGATTTGTTTCAACCAATCTTTCCTCGGCCTGTCGATTTTTTCTGATTGGAGATTTTCTTGGAACGATCTCCGGTGCAATGGTGGTTAGGTGATGCGTATCAGACGTAGGCGTTGCTTCACTATCAACGAAAGAGTCATCATGTTGTCTGGAAGATAAAAATTCTTGTCGTGTGACCGCCATCTGAATAATCGGATGCAAAAGCATCTATCAAATAGGAAATGAAAAGTAAAAAGTTTAGTTTAGCTGATACTTGAACAAAAGTTAAGGAAAATTTAATTGATTGATTAATTCTTCTCCTCTCAAACCGAACCTCTCGACTGATATTACCAATTCCAGATTTCTATTGCAATCATAATGACTATTTCACTACAGATCAACATAGAACCTACCTTGTCAATATGTTGATTGTATTGCAGACACCAGGCTTCAAGCGGATACCACCCTGGCTGACAGTGCTGTCGAATTGATTCTGTTGACAATCTGACCCATAAACCGTCGTCGTTTTCAACCTATTTCCAGAAGAACGAAAAAAAAATTCAATTTTGAATCATTGGTCATTTTAACTCTAATGATCAAATCTTGATTTATCACTTGTTCACAAGGTCACAGCACATACCTCATCAATAAATGAAATAATGCCATCCATTTTAATAATGCCAACTTGCTCCGATTGTAATGTTGGATGTGAACGGATTCGCAAACCGGCTGAATTGTCCGCACGGAATCGTCGCAATTTATTCTGAGGTTGACTTTTTTCCAAAGAAATTTTCTGCGGTGGCGGTGGAATGCCAGCTTCTTTCACTTCTGTTCGATAAACTTCTTCTAAAGTAACTCCATCGATTGTGATCGATAGTGAGAAGTGACCGATTGCATTTGGCGTCCAAATGCTACCGTATGAGTAATCGCCCAAGTCAGCAGCGAACAGAACTTCCGATACTTTATTCTGAGATGGATTGCAAAAGCGAAGCTCCTCGAATGAGTAATGTTGGTATGGCTAGGGTTTTAGTAAAAAAAAATTACAAAAATTTGTTTAAAATTTATTTCCCTATTTTTGTCAAAAATTGTTTATGCCAATTGACAATGGATACAAACGAAAACATTTTTCAATTACTTAATCAGAAGTAAAATATGAATTCACGCACCTTCATGAAAGTGATGGCTTTAAAGCACATTTTGTCTTTGTTAGTCGGTTCATATGGCATACGTGGTGGCATCACAACTCCTTTGTAGGCATTCAAATCAATTTGCGAAAGACGTTTCCCTTTTCGATTTCCATTCAGCCCATTTGCGGATGGTATCGCCTTAATTTGAATCTGTTTTGTGTAGATAAAAATTCATGTTGAAAAATAAAATCCATATCGGTCTTTACATATTTCATACGTTAAAACCGCGGTGCAAACCTTTAAATTCGGTACATATACAGGATCTCCATACTGATCGCGAGTAATAATAGTCAAGTGCGTTGGCCAGCCATAGCGTACTGGTTCACTTATCGCTTTCAATTCACACTTATTTGGGTCGAGTCGTCTATCGGGTTGAAGCCAGCACGCTAATCGTTCGCCAGATGATCCGGGCACCGCTCCAACAAAGTCTTTCAAAAATTGTCTCTCATTCGAATTTCCTCTGTAAATAACAAATGACAAGCATATTCATAAACATAAGCGGGGAATTGTAACGCATTGAAATGCTTTTAGATTGACTCTTCACAAATCATTATTAACAATAGAAAATACTCAATTTGTGGAACAGCTTAACTCGGTTCATATTTGTACATGCCGAGTATGGAATCAGTTTTTATTGGCATTTAATTCAATCACCGGACCCAATTCACATTTGATAGATTTTAATTGAATTAATACCATTTTGTGCTGTTCGAATGGCCATTTGAATGTTGTAAGACTGACAATTTATGGAATGTCTCATCGATGTACTCCAAAATATTGTCTGATCGAAAAGCGATAAAAATAAAACATTATAGGTAGCGGTCATTGATACCGACACTATTTTGTTGAAGAGAAAAATTGTGATAAGCATTTCCTCTGAACGAATCGCACAAAGAAATTCTAAGTAAAATATATTATGTGATCAAAACAGAGAATTTATTTTAAGAATATGTAGTACTATAAAAAACAAGATAAGCAAATTGTGTGTTTATTTTGCTGCGAATTGTGCAATTTGTTGCAATTGAAGTCAGTGGGTTTATCGTCAAACATAAATTTCCATTGAATGCATGCATGCGGTTGCATGAGTAAGCTACTACATCTTGGTTATGAAATCACCAGCATTTCAGTATACTTTGGCCACTAATTGCGAATAGATACTGCACCAAGTGTTCGTATTAACACTTACACAGCCACCAAAATCACTCTCCCAATCGACTCGAAGCAAATTGCTCATGACGCAGCGACAGAGTTAATATTCAATACTACGAAAAAATGAACGAGAGAAGAAAAAAACAAAGCTTATACATGAGCAGGGAAACACACTCAATAAAAGTCAGCTACAAATGCAGAGAAGAGCCACTCATGCGGGATCCACTTAACATATGATGAAAATAAATACATGCGCACACTAAGTCATTCAAAACACAAACTGTAGTACAAGACCCGATGTGTGTGCTCACTACTGATGTGTGTTACACCATACACACAGACACATAAAACGAACCGACATATGAATGGCTGCGCTAGTATGCATGAGAACCCAATGTATCAACAACAACAGCAACAGCAATACCAACAACGATACATTTGTATCCAGACCACTACACATTCACAGTGTTCTACGTGCCGAACTCGACTTCGGCTCGAACATTGAGTAAAATGAGAGAGAACAACAATCGTAACGTTATTGGGCGATTCAGTTGAAGTTCTGGCATTCTCTGGTTCACTTTGTTTCATTTTCATTCGATATTACGAGCAGTGGTTTTCTGTATTTCGCTTTGTTTTTCTAGCTAAAATGTAAATATTTATATTCATTCATTTTTAATTTGTCTATTCTCGTGCTGTGACTACTTTAAAATTGGCTGCATGTGATTTAATTAGATGGCGAGAAAATATGATCAAAAAGTCAGAGTTATTGGGAAAATAAATATTGTTGTAATTTCTCATGTATTCCGAGGATCGTGTGAACGTTTCGTGTACAAATACAAACACGAAAAAGGACAAGTGTAGTTGTTTGAGCGTGGTAACGAGAAACTAGGCTGTGGTTTTTCGGGGAAAATTCATGTATTCCTTTGATATTTCCGTGATTTTGCTCCGTGTGTAATGAATTTCTACTTCAGCCCATTAAACCATAAGCAGCAAGGGGAGCTCAATTTATGAAATTCCAATGCATTATTGTGCCATTTAAATGAACATTTTTCATTTGTTTCTGACTTGTGACATTTAAATTAATTTGTTCCTTGTAAAATGCATTTGCGACGGGGTAAAGCGACTTTTATTGCACACGCATTGACGCGTACTGTATCGACAAAATGGATAGGTCGACTCGTGCAAAGAAAAACTTGTATTATTGGATAATTGCTCAACTCAACTGGTGAATTGAGAATGACAGAGTATTGATTGATAAAGCGAATGCGTAAATTGAAGGCGATATAGTATATTATGATCTGTGGTTCTTGGAATTCTGTAAAATCATTTCAGCGAGTTGTTATTTTTTTTTTTAAGGAAAAAGTGTTCGATACTAAATCGTTTACATAAAAACGGCATTTACATATTGCCACATATGATAATTATAGTAATTTGAATAGCATTCGAGTGAGTGGTTGACTGGCTGGCTGGTTTGACAGTGTCGTTGCTTTGCAACGATTCAGCCCATTCAGGACAAAGTACAGGCGCTGAGAGTGGTCATTGTGCGAACAGAGAAACGACGAAAAAAACACGCATCAGAAAAAAATCACATCTCCGAGAGAGAAGAAGTGAGTGTGTAAAGAAAACATCTGAGCAAAACTGACCCAACATGATCATTCGTTCGAATATTGAACGGAAACACAAAGCAATACGAAGAAAGAGATGAAAAGCACCCAACAGATAAAAATAAAACAAAGACTCTCTCTCTATTTCACAATGAAATCGAAACATTGAACATGTTGCGGAAAAAATTACTTCATTATGTTGAAGCACAAAAGAAACGAACATTCGAACAACAAAGTCAGGGCTGGTTGTGTGAGCAAAAGATTGAGTATGTCACGTAAATTTTTGTGTGCTCAAACTTTATTTGATTTGATTTATCCTATCAAATTATTCGCACAAATTGACGTGATCAATTCGGTCGTGTGGCAACAAAATTGTCATGAACCTTGAGTCATTTTCTCCTTAAATAGCCGCTTTATGACTTCATTATTATATTCGAAGATAGATAGATACGCTCGCACATTATAGAAAAGTTATTATTTGTGTATTGAATCTGTGCGCGATATTTGAATGTGCATGTTCGAATGGTTGTCCGTCGCAGCAATGATTCAATGTCGGGTCGTCAATTAATCAACATTTTATCATATCTAAGCCACTCAACGCACACACACATCGAATAAATTACTACTACTTGTTCGGTAGCTCTTAATTTTGGCTTCATTTAAGGAGAACAATAAACGCCGAAAAAAGGTTACGGCAAAATGCGTGCGATTACGAGACGTATTGGATTACGCACATAAAACAGTTCGGAAACATGCATTAACATTCAGTCGACTGGTTACAAAGCAGTTTCAGTGGCTGTGTTGTTTATGTCGTTGACGCTGTCGCGCGATTTTTCAATTTTATTCAATTCGAAATTCGTTTTTTATTTTCTCGCATTTTCTCTCTTCGGTTTCGTTCTCTTTCTCCACTGTGCGTCGCTTTTTTTTTTCATTTTAGCTAAACGGAAATCATTAATTCTAATGGATGCATGGAGAAAATACAGCAGCGCCAAATTGGTTCTATACGCCACACTGAAATATGTACGATTTCAAATTCACAACATATAAGCAAGCAGGCTAGCGCACATATCTCATGTGCGGATGACAGGCCACATAACTCGCGGGCCGCACACTCTTTTCGCTTGAGAAAATACAAAGAATTGATTTATTTTCGTTTGTGTTGTTTTCGAAATTGTCTGAAATGACTGTGAGTTGCTTGTGGCTGGCGTGAATGCACATGTTTATGTGTGTTTGCGCGCGATGCCTTTCATCGCTTGGTTAGTTTCAAGTGCAAGTGCGTAATGCGAATGCCCAAACCTAGAATGTGCACGACGTGTCGACAGACATCGGGTAATTCAAATACCGCAATTCACGACCAATTTAGACACACAAACTTCTCATTTTGTTGTTTGGTTTCATTTACTTTGTTTTTTTTTTCTCAACGACACACATCATCGTTCTCAAGTGATGATAAACACGGAAACTCGGCTTCACAAATTGCCATCGATCTTCATCGTATTCAGTTAAATTGCTTTCGAATGAGATAATAAAATGGAATGAGTTGCAAACATAATTGTTTGCACTTCGAATCAACCTTAGAACGGCAAATTATGTTTTTTTTTCGAACATCAACGTGAACATTTCATTAGTTTTATGTTTATTTTCGAGCGGTCGATACTTTGCTCGATAATTTTCAATTATACTCTCATCATATGTGTATGCTTTATGAATGAGATAAAAAAAAGAAACAAATTTTAAGGTGAAACAAAACGACAAAAATCCATTGCACTGTAATGTGTTTATCTAAGCGATGAGTGCTGGCTTGTCCATAGATATGGTCTCTGGAATGCATTAACTGGCTGCGTTGCTCTCTGTATTTTTTTCACCAAAAATTCTTTTGTTATTACATTTCTTGTTTTCCGGTATGTTTGATTTTGGTTTCGGTGTTACTGTGTGCACGTTATTTATGCGTGTTCTATGTGTTTAGTGACATGAGATAAAATTACACTTTGATCGAAATGAGAAATGTTCGCCCCGATTGGAGCGCACGGTCTCTACTGAAGAAGCTCGGCACAAATGCAACTCTGGACTCTAGACTATAAATGAGGAGTATAACAACCTTTCGTCGCCTTATATGTTTTTCTCATCCTCTGGAAATCTCATAAAAATATCGTTTGTCGCTTTGTAACAAGAAACAAAGCAGTCGTGTTAGTTTTTGTGTCATTTTCTCCTTCGACATACTCATTTGTTGTTTTATCGCGCATCGCACTAGCAGCAAGATCATAACGATCGGTAGAAATTGAAAGATTTTACCGTCTAATTATGTTAATCCAATGCCATTGCTGATCAATTTTTAATAAGTTTTACATGTTTTTTCTTCTTTCGTTGCAGTAACAATCGAGTTTATATCGGTTCATCGGCAATAAAGTGTGGAACCAGTTCCTAGGCTTAGTGTTTTTATGTGCCCAAAACCGAAAAAAAAATATCGTACTAAATTCATAACATCTCGTGTAAAGCAAACGACTAAAGAAAACAACTATCTGTAAGCCCAGTGAATGTGAATGTGTAGTGATCAGTGAAATGATACAGAATGATAAATTTAGATTGGATCTTCGACCAGTCACGAAATTCAGTTCACAACATGATCCACAATTGAATTAACGAGCTTCGAATGAGTGAATGTGGAGTAATCGATGAGGAACAATAGTGGTCATAGCCAAATCGAATGATGAAGCGACCAATTTCATTTGTGCTACACATTTGCATAATTACGACAATATTATTTTATTGTTCAATATGTACGGAGCAAGTGAAACTCGTGCAAACAACGGCCGGCATAAATATGCCTGCAAACACTTTATACACAGCGTCAATTAGCAATTTTGGAGATGCGGAGAATGAACGGAGTGACAACATATCGTCGCAATTGGATTATGCGCACAGAAATGAATCTAGTCAACGAATCGGCGACGATATCGTATATTTACCCAAATCAACTGGGTATTATCTCGAAAATCACAACGAAAATAGCGATACCCAATCGACCGTTGAGTCACAATTGCACAAACGGGCGGTTGAACCACAAGATATTTGCGATACGAATGAATGCAAGTGCAAATTCGAAACGAAGTTTTTAACAGTGGATTGTCATTTTCAACAAGTAAGTACTTTTATTCAATCAGCTTTTCACGGTTTTTATTTGCTCTGGCTAGCTCGATCAATTGGTTGCTCATGTGTTCCACATCGAGGTACAATGCTATAATTAGCATGTTTGATTAGCAGATTTGCCGATTTTGCAAATGTGCAGACAATAGCAGTTAAAATACGCAACAAAAACGCGACTCATTTTGTCGATAGTGATCTACGTCTCTGTTTCTCGCTCCTTCACTATGTCTCTTTCTCTCTTCCCCGTCGTGCGATTTCAGAACGTTGGAACGATGATCAATACATGTGATTCATGGAATTGAAACGAGAGAATATGCATTTTTTCGCTTTTAAATGAAAACAAAAAACAACGTTTTGTAAACAGTTAACAGTTCGTCGCAAATTCAATTGCAAACCGTCATGAATGTCGCGCACAAACCGAGAAGAAAAAAACTGAACACAAATATTTAATTCAATTCGATTAGGTAATTAAAGTTTATGCTTTCTTATTTCGACCTGTGAAAAAGTCACACATAAAGCAAATGACTCGCAATGCTGTGGAGTCGCGCGAAAAATCCGTAAGGAACTATTTATAGACTTGTTCTGGCTGCGTCGCGCACACAACATATTCTCAACTGTCTAAGTACCATTTGTGGAAACCGAATAATAAAAGAGATTCAGACATTCTTCTAAATGGGTTAATGTCATTAATATGTGTAATTTTTACACGTCAAGAACGATTTCGCCATATGTTTTTTTTCTCTTTTTCTCTCTCTCTCTCTCTCTTTTCTTTCATTTGCATAATAAACTTTTATGTTTTCTTTTCTTTGAACGGAAATAGCACTATACGCTTGGTGCTAGCAAAATAATTCGACCGTCCGCTGAAACACTGTTGATTACATTGTCATCTGATGCGGAGTTTACATTGGATGCGAACGTGTTCACAAACAATCGTCTCAACCGGATCATGATACAAGGAAGTGGTTTGGATTCGGGTCGAGAGCATGTAGAAATCTCATCGAATGCATTTAATGGCAATGGTGGACCGTTTCCCGAAATCGAAATCGTTAATGTTCACACGGTGAATATTCGATCGAATGCCTTTTACTGTAAGTTTACTGTGTTAAATTAGATTGAGAAAAAAAAACTCTAAAACTAAAAAAGAAATCTTTTATTTTTGACACAAAAAACAGTCGAATTCAAATTGAACATTACAAACTGTGCCAAGGTTCGGATATTTTCGGAAGCATTCGCCAATACAACATTTCACGGGCACTTTGAAAATATACACGATTTTCAATTGCTGGAACGTGCATTTTCCAAATCGACCGCAAAAGTTACAGTCAACAATAGTCGTCTGGATGAATTGCGACGGCTAGAGGCATCACTCAAGGAGATTAAATTTAGCAATACTCACATTGGCACCATACTCACCAATACATTCGATGTGATTAAAATCGATTCGATTATTTTCGAAAACTGTCACATCGACACCATTCAGTCGAATGCGTTCACCGAAAAAGTAAGAAAATCATTTAGATAATTTTAGAATTCGCGCAAAATAACCGAAATGTTCCAATTTGGTATGGTTTACAGTTGTTCAGCAATCAACTGTCGTTGACTGGCTGCAACATAGGAACGATTGAAGCAGCTGCCATTTCGGGAAGTGGAATTAGCGATGTGATTCTACATAATAATAGGTATTATGATGAAAACAACAAATGTCGCATGAATCATTTTCATATTTCTATATGTGTTCTTATTGCTTCATTTGCAGTATCTTAAGCATCAAGGGAAAAGCGATCACGCTCACATCAATAACCACATTAATTCAGGGCAATAACATCAGTTTGACGGAGATTTTTTGGTTTCGCGTCGAAGGATGGTCAACCGTTGCCATCGAGAATAATCATTTTGGCATGTATGAACGGATGGGTGTGGAGATCACGAAGAGTCCAATTAAATGCATATTCGAAAATAATTACATCACCAAAACGGTGGCCGACAGTCTGAACTTCAAAAGTCCACATTGTCGTGTTCGGCAAGTTTCGTTCGATCGCGCGTGTTCATGCAATTCGACGTATTTCCGGCAACTTTCATACAACGACATAAGCGCAGACAGTTATTGCCGAATCGATTCCACATTGTCACACTGTTTCAATGCGTCACTTTACAATGTGAAATCATACAAGGATGCCATATGTGATAATTCCACCCAAATTGACTGCGTGAAAAATCGCATAAATGCGCGGCCAAATGGTTATTTCATTGATTTAGATCGGCTGTTCAATCGCAGTGATAAATTGGTGTACGTTTATCTGGGCATCGGAATTTTGCTAATCATTTTAATAATCTTCTTGTTAACGTTGATCATTCGACGTTGTATGAGAAGCAAAAAGGATATCGACGATGGGCCGACGCGTGATATCATGCTTATGGAGAGTTTGCATCCAATGACGGCCACATTAACTACACAACTCTATAATCATCTAGGATTCTCCGACCCAGATCTGGTTATTATTAATCATACTCTACGTGAGATGAAACGAAAATATCCGCCAGAGATTTATGACCAAATCGACAATAACACGCGGAAGTTGATAGCCGGTAATCTGACCGAAACAGACAGAGGTAAGATACCATATTGGGAATAATTTGCGAAATTACATAGAATAACCGAATTGTTTTAATCTGTTATGGTTTGCAGTGAAAACGATCGGTGAAATTGTTCAGTGCTTAAACGAACATGAAAATGAAGGAATCGATTTCATCGCATTTACAGATATTTTGTACAATCATCTTGGCGCTGGTTGCGATACAACCCAAACACTACAGATAAACGGACCAATTTATGCAGAACCTGGCCTCGCCCATCTAGACATCATCAACTCAACGAATGGCGGTAGAAATAATCAGAATTTTATGGGCGATAATGGTGGTTTTGATGGCGAACACATCTATGCAGAGCCGATAAATCTTCAGCAACCACTGTTACGGAACGATTACAATGTTCCAATCGATGTTGATAGCGCCAGTCATATGTACACTGAACCGGTAACCGGTGCCATAGGTGAGGATCTCTTTTGTCATAAATGTTGTGTTTTGATCAATGGTGGTAGTCACAATGCAATGCTTGACACACTCCAACTGGAAAAATGCACGTGCAAAGCGCAAATCGAAGATCTCTACTCACACTTCATTTATTCATAGACTGTCTTTGATTTCATAGTCGTAGGTTAGTTTCCATTCGCCAAATGTCATTTTATTCGTTTGGTTTAGAGTTAAAATAATTTATTCCCCACTCCTGAATAAAACATTTCACCGGTCCATATTTCCAAATACACACACAATTGCACTTTTCATATTGTTCAATCATATCCATCAGCGAGCATTTCAATTATTTGCCATTTGTTTTGTCTTTGTCTTTGTCATGTCAAACAGATTATATTTCATCACCTCGACCCGTCGTAAACAGTAAGAATTTTGATCCATCACATTTGTATGCATTACCGTCCAAATCAGCTATGCGATCAAATCCGGCCACCAGTCTGCAGCGATCAGCAGAAGCTTCGACAAGCTCATCATTTTTGACGAACCGTAACAATTTACCAAAGATTAGCTGTTTGGGTGAAAAGTTCAAGAACAGCGCACATTCATCGTCACAAGAATCAAACAATTCCCATTCGGATCATTCGGGCGCCAGCGGCGTAACTCTACCATTAGATGAACCAATTGAATATGCGGACGCGTGAACGAACAGAATTGAGACATCATAATTATACACATACATTTTTTTTTTCAAATTAGAAGAAGATGAATTAGGGCTTTTGTTTGAAATCATCTGAATTTTCATATGTAAATTGTAGCCGACGAAATCATCCTTTTTTGATGATGTGATTTTTGTATATTTTATTTAGAAAATATTTATTCCGATCATTCGAATGATCAGATTACGTAAAAAATTTGAGCGAGCTTAAACGGAATTATGTTAAAATTGAAATTATTCTTAATTTTGTGAAATATCAAACATCGATGGAGAACGTTTTCCGATGACCATTTAATGTAAACAAAGTCAGCTTTAAGTTATCATAAAGAATGAATAAAGCAATTATATAAGTGAAATCTGTATATATTTTGCCAATGTTTTGATTGCAGTAATAATGTTTACATCGAATTCTGCTGAGGTAATTCGACTGCTGATTTATTTTTCCATATTCACAATGACGTGAGTCACCAGTTTCAGTTTTTTTTTTCATTTATTGATATGAAAATATCAAGCGATAAGATTTGCCGATAAGAACCCTTCTCATATGACATCAATACAACGAGGAGTTTTGTGATAGTGTTGAACGTGTTGCTCGGCGGTTAGCAAATACCGTTGCTGTCTTTTTTGCTTTAACATATGCGGAACGGGAACGAAAAACCTACATTTAACGAGAATATTTATTTTGTAAACAATTGGAATTGTTTGGATTGAACTTGGAGCTGCATAAGCAATCGTTTCATCCGAAAGCCAGCGAATACATATTCAATAAGATAGCAACGACTAAACAAACGGCCACACGTTCCAGCCACTCATCTTATTGATATTTTTACTTTGCGCAATTGAGAAAAAAAATGTGTTTGTACACGCTTTTCGATTTGGAACGACGGACACGAGTATTGGTATAATGGAAATTCAAGTGAAGATAAGAGTACTAACTCACACCGCGTAATTGTATCGCCTATATATACACATGCGTTCAGATGATTTTTGAACATACGGTTCGTATTATTATTTTTTGTGGATTTTCGTCATTTTGTGTTTTGTCGCGTTACCGAACAACCCAACAGTCCGCAACGGTTCAGATGCTGTGAATGACGACTTGTTATTTTCCGCTATTGAAATAATAACGAGAGATAATTTGTGTGTTATATTTGCGTGTGTTGACATTATTTTTGGTGACAAGCCATTTTTCCTTATGGTTTTGGTGTGCCCTAGAAATAGGTCAGGTGCTCAATAGTGACGTTCAAACACAATATCCGAAAAGAATGTATTCTAATGAAGCATTTCAGCAGCAAAAATAATTTTTTTCATCAACATGAGCTCATACACGCTACAAATTTTGACGTGGATATTCGTGCTATCGTTTATATGTCTAAATGTGCAGTGTAAGGAGATTTTAGCTAATTATTCTCCCAATTATAGACAATTAGATTGTAAATACGATTTACCGACCAGCGATCAAATATGCGATTGTACAAATCGAAATAAGGTAGCACGACGAGGGATTTTATCAGAAAAACAATAATAAAATCAATTGTAATTAAATTTTACAGAATTACTTTCTGCCATTGTTCAATGGAAATATCAACAATTTAAAAGTTCAGAATTGCAAAAATGTGCTGGTTACCCTGAATACGTTTCGAGATGTGGATCACATCGAACACATTCATTTCACGAATATCAAAGAATTGACTTTGGAAGCTCATTCGTTGGGATTCAAGAGACAGTTACCGGTTCCGAAAATAAAATTGATATTCACCAATGTGAGTCACACGTTCAAACTCAATCTTATCAAAATCCAATAACACAACAGTTGGTTTTTTCAGGTTTATTTCTCGGAAATCGTTCCTTACTCTATCGGCGGTGGAATCGATAGCATTACATTCAACAATTGTTACATCAAAAAATTGAATGCTTACGCAATCAACTCGGTGTACGAAACAGTATACCTTATCGCCTTCGAAAATACTGGAATCGATGTGATTGAAAGTCAAGCGCTGAAAAAGCTAGACATCGAGCATTTTATAATGCGAAACACCACAATTTGGTCGCACTTTCCGTCACGGGCATTTAGCGCTTTAACAATTACCCACGAGATTTCAATTTCAAACTGCACATTTGCAACCATTAGCTCTCATGCTATTGAGTTAGACCGTATGTTAACTACACCATTATTACTTTTAATAAACATTTTGAAAGACATTTGCTTTATTTCACAGACGTAAGTGACTTCATTTTTTCCAACAACAAAGTCGATCTGCTAGACGGTGAAGCATTCCAAATGAATGCCAATGGGCGGATTTTAATCGAGCGAAATAATTTCACGCAAATGAGTCATTCTGCACTTTCGGGTATTTTGCAAACAATTTTTTTTTATTTTAACGGCATGTGTGATAAATTAGCTCTATTTTGATGTAAATTCCATCTGTTTCAGCTATCAATGTGGATAGACCGAATAGTGCTAGGCAACGCAATATGGAAATACAATTCACATCAAACGATATCTTCAAAACGGACCATCCCATTCGATTTGATCTCGCACGTGACATTAACATCCGAATTCTTAATTTGAAATTTTCGAATATAATCGATTGCGACAAAGCGAAAGAATTGAGAAATAACGGTTTTCTTCAACAATACGCGGAAACGATTTATTTTAGAATCGGTACACCCACAGACGGCTACAGTTCATTGTCAAGCATTTTGTCCAACAGATGTGCTAATACAACGTATTTGATTGCCATCATATCAGTAGCAATTGTTTTGCTTTTGATCTTGGTCATCGTTGGCGTAGCAATTTTCTATCGCTTCTGGTGGATGAAACGAAAACCAAATCAACAAATAAGCATGATCATTCCAGATGGCAAAACATACCGCGAAACACAAATTATGATACAAATCGAAAATGCCGGCTTACTTAAGACCAATTTGTAGAAGTCTATCTATATAGTAGTATTTATCTCAAGTGATAAATTCCAGTCGTAGTTTTTAACAACTGTTTTATATCAATTCACTTTGCATTAGTCATAGATTGTTTGCTTAGCCTTAGGTATTTACATTTTAGTTTAATCGCTTTTTCTACGAGGCTGTTGTTGTAGCTTTAGGTTTTAAATGTAATTGCTATTCGAATACAGATGGATTTTTCTTTTTAAACGACAAAAAAACAATCAAAGTCTCAAGTTCATGTTCAAAGATTTTCAAAAACGATTAAACACTCACCCAATAGGTAGATATGAATCCAGAGCTTGATTGATCGTCAAAATCGAATCCGAAAGAGCCAATCCCTTTGACAAGAGTGCTGAATGCACTTGAATAGTTTTTTCAACTGACGAAAAATCCTCCAATGGATTCTCACCAGGCAAAATCAAACTTTTCTTCAGTAAACTAGCGCTGCACATTCCGCCCAAATATGCAAGCTCACATTCTAACCAGTTCAATGTCGAATTGGGAAGTTTTGTCTGGAAAATTTAATCAACGAATGAATGGCAATGTTCTCAAACATTCGAAATATTTCGTTTTTCAAAACAAGCTATTGCAATACTTACGATTAAAAACGGATTGTCATAACCAACGATCAAGCATTTGAAACCAAAATTGTTGGCGTGTTGATCATGAGCGTAGTTTGTGGCTGTTTCTAACGAGATGTTAACCTTATTTCCAGGTAGAATCAGCGCGTTTTGTGTCCAATGAGATGATCTGAAATCAAATGAATAAAATGAATATTGAGTTTAAAAAACAATAATTGTTTTAATATTCAATGCCTTACTTATTGAACATTTGAGCGATATGCCATTCATCCTCTTCCCCACTGCCCGATCCTTTTCGTTCCTTGGCGAACGAATCGAAAGATGTAGTCAAACGGGCATTTTTACAAATGCCCAAATTATCCGAGTCAAATGAAGTGGATCCATCAACGGCATCAGGCTCATCATACTGGGAACAGGATTGATCTGGGGATACTGATGTTGTCGATATGACTGGTGCTTGCTTCGGAATCGATACAAGTAAGTAGTCCTCTGGCTGCGCCGTACCACTCATTGGATCAAATTCGATGGTCAACCATTGTACACATGGAGGGAACTCGACTCTGTGAAACGTGAAAAATATGAGAAAGATTTTATTCTGATTTCAATTCTCAAACGTTCATTAAACTCACTTGTAATTGTTTATCGAAGCCGCCTTATATGGGTGATCGCTTTCGACGATACAATAATGATTGCTTGTTGTCACCAAATCGGTTGTATTAACTTTGCTAGTGATCAAAGTAGCTGTATTTGAATCATCATTCATGAACTCCGCATTCTCTTCGGCTTCATCGTTCAATTCCGCCTTCATGTGAGATGTTACTTTCTCGAAGACGGTATTCTTTACAGAACTGATTTTGTTGAGTGCAGCTACATGTGGAAGAATTTCCCGAATCAAAGTCAAAACTTCAACAGAGCTCCGGGGGTCACTATTAGCCAAGGCCGCAATGTGGCCGAAAGTCAGCGGTAGCAGTGTATGGAACATGCTCGATGTTTTATGTTCAAAAATGCTCAGAATTTTCTCTTCATACGTTTCCATTCGGTCTTCTTCTGATTTTGAGAATCCGAAATCTCTCAAGCACCCATGATTCGATCCGTTATTTCCATTTATTTTCGACATTTGATCGGACTTGATATCATTTTCCTTGATCAAATCTTTTGGATGGATCTCAGTGGAACCAATTTCGATTTCATATTCGAACGGATTCGTCGATCGTTTGTCAAACTTTAATGTTTCAAAAATACCCTTAGAGAACGATTCAAGGCGCTTGGTTATATCGCGAGCAGTCGAAATATTCTTTGGCGTCGTCTCAGTTGGTGTGTTATTGGCGTGAGTATTATTGTGTGTGAATGTAATATCGACATGCTCTTCAATCGGGGTAATATTTTGCTCGGAGTCAATCGTTTGCGTGTTGTTTGATGAGTTTCCACTTTTGTCTGAGGGAGTAATTGATGTTGCTAAAGCATTTCGTGCGAGGATCAAGAGATCTGTGCATTTTTTTTGTGATATCGCTTGAAATCTGCGGATGATAAAAAAAAATAGAAATCATTTTTTGGTGTAAGATATTTAAATTGGGCAACATTGACATACCTTAAGTGCTGTGTCTCTTGCGTGAATTTCAGTACGAATTTTCCCGTTGATCGACTCTGACTTCAGCGGAGAGCTGTAATAAAGCAAGCACGGAATTTGTCCACGTGTTGGAGTCGTTCCGTTGAAACTCAAATCACACGGATAAAATGAAAACATCGCTCCGCAAGGACCTCTGATCGACGGAAATCCATTATCACCCGAACATGTGCGCGCACCTTGAGAGCATAAACGAATTGCATACCGAGTATTTTCCTGTATTGAAAATGTTGAAAAAAAATTTGTTTAGCAAAAGTTACTTTTTGAAAAGTAAAACCAGATTAACATAAAATTCAGATAATCATCACCTTAATGTGAACTGGACGTTCAAACTTCAGTTCAACCATATCGTTGCTAACGATATCCTGATCATATGTACCAGAAATCGATTCCAATGTTTCCCATTTATGTTGATCTATTGTTGACTCCAAAGTGTCGTACAGTAATTCCAACTGGAATTCATATGACCCGGTGCCAGAATAGACGACAGCTCCAGCTAATTTTTTAAATTTTTATGTTTATTTTCATTGATTTATAATGTTAAAAAAAACAGGATATTGCATTTTCCTACCTATTGCGATACCAGGCCGATCGACGTTGAAACAAATTGCATCCGGACCGAAATTCCCTGTGTTCCAAGTACGCAATGGATCACGCCGAGCAAACCGACACCCGGTCGATCGAATACTTTGAGATGGTAGCGATGGAATTTCATTCTAAAAATACATATTTTCCCAATTAGTATCGAGGTAAACAAAGTAGCTCTGCATGAAATGAGTACCTCTGGAGCACTTTGGAAAATAATTTCTGACAAAACGCGGGCAAGAAGATGGCAACAATTATCAATCAATTTTTGATGAATTCCAGTATTGATTGATGTCAACGAATATCCACAGCGATTGTGAACATTTTCAATTTTGGATTTGATTGGGTATGCAATAATGTCGAGGAGTCGCACTAAAACGTCGTTGAATGTCCAGTTGTTGCATAGAAATTCATTTTTCTCCAATTGCGTGCGATAGGTCATTTGCTCGACCAAAACAGGAAATTGATAATTTTCCGCACTGGATAGCATGGGTAAGCCGGAATTGTCACTTGGACTTATGATTGACTGAAAGTGAGTTGAAAGAGTTTCAGAAATGTGAAAAAATACAAATAACAATGAATGCAATTGTTTTTGTCGATAAATAGGTGTTTCGAGTTCTTACCATGCTTTCTCGGTTCGTCGACAAAAGTGGAAAGGTTGATTTTAGCTTAACGTTAGTATTGCAGAGACCAGCTAAAATAGCACTCAACAGTCGTGCATGCATGATACCCTGAAGAAACAAACATTTCCATCTAGTTAGTATGAACAATTTATCTTTTTTCAATTATTTCAAAATCAACTATTTTGCAATAGCAATTACCTTATCCTTTTTCATAAGTAAATCACACAAGCAATTCCATTTAAGCGTATTTGTGGGATAAAATGCGTTGAAACAGGACAAGAATGTAGTATGGCATTCATCCAAAATTTCCATTGTTGAATCGTAACCTTCGCTTTCAACACTCAATGCGATTTCATCACACAAAATATCGATGAGTAAGGCGCGAACATCTCCAACACACTCGGCCAATTGCAGATTTTCACCGGGTAATTTCTTCTGACTGGTTGAAGTAGTCACATCTAAACTACTTGACATCATGTGCTTTATAAGAGGCTTTTGCTTTATCGTAGATGCTGGTGTTTGGGAGACTCCATCTGAAAATCAGGCGACTTAATATGAATGAGGATTTACAAAAGTTTGGAAAATTTACATACATATTTGTGTTTCATTTCTTCCTTCACCTTCGGCAGCCCGTTTTCTCATTTGAAATTTATCACTTTTCGATATGTCATTTGGGTAGATTTCATTTGTGTACTTTCGCAAGAGCCGTAAACACACTTTGCTAACATAATATAGCCGATGGCAAGTTGACATCGATTGAGAGAAGTTTTTCTGCAAATTGATGGTCAAAAATTAAAAATGAATCTCGAGAATTGAAAGATAAATAAATAAAAGCTATTTACCTTATCTCTCAAGTCATTCAGTGTCAATTTAAAAGTGCCCCATGACCACTTGAGTAGCGTGATCAAGCTCTGGAAGCAATCTTTCGTGACTGAGTTGGCAAAGTGTTGCGATACTTTGTGAACTGGGTCAGTGTCTGAGTTGGTTATCGGTAGCTTCGTTTCTTGATTGATAACACGGTAGAGAATCGATGGGATTTGTCCTGAAGTGGTATCGGTGCCATTGTTCGCCTTCTTTGATGTTCGGAAATTGAAAACAATTTGATCTTCGGTTGTGATACTCGTTTGACCACTCGATCCACAATCACTGGACGGGCCTGCAATTCGAGCCCATATCAAATACCATCGATTTGCGGTGAGGTTTATTGTTTTCGGTAAGAAAATATTGTGCTTGCTGCGAGCTGGACATTCATACGGCACCTCGTCGGTCTCAACCAAAAGTGTCCCGTCCTTCTCATAGCCAATTCCATCCATACCCAGGTCGTACAACTTGAGTTTGCACGTATATTCTCCACGGCCGCCGTACATTCCAAATCCAACTAAAGAAACAACACAGATATTGGCATTGAATTAATCAACTGAAATGTTACACAATTGATTGAATCTCATTAGAGCAATTCTTACCCAAAACCACATCTGTATCAGCCATAAATCGAATAGCCTCAACTGAATGACCACTGTAGCCCCAACCTCCGCCAAAGTTTTCGAAACGTGTGACCGTTTGGAAATCGTTTACACTAATTGAATCCTTCATTGCTGACCCAGCCGGCTTGGGAGTTTGCTCGAAGCAGGATGGTCTATAAATTGAAAAAGAGATTAATTTTTCAAATGATTTTTGAATAATCCAAGCTACTGGTAATTTCAATAATTCAACTAACATAGCATCCGGAACAGATGTAAGAATGTCCAAACAGGCAAGTAAATTCACCGACGCTAAATTTCTCGTGATGAAAACATCTGCTTTCTTCTTCGGCAGCATAAGTTCGGGTTGCAAAATTGCCAGAATATGGTTGGAATATTCGAAATTCCGCGGTACCTCGCTACCAATAACATTGTACAAGAAGCACTTTTTCTCGATGGCATCAAACACCCACAAAACGCCGTACAATGAATCCATTTCGAAAGCAAGTTGTGGAAAAACTTTTTCGTATTTAGCGCACTGTGCCGACTCGATGCATTTACGCCGTTGTGGTGGACGATGATGATGATGCTCAGAGAATTGCAAATTTTCCTGTTCATCAAATATTTGATGGCACGTGTCATAAACACTTTGCGACATACGATCGATTGCCGAGCTGGCTTGCGCTTGATTTGCGTCTACATTCTGATTGCATTTATCAAAAGCCAATTGCGAAACGGCGTTTATGTTGTTTTGAATGATTTTAGCGAAGTTAACTTGACCACTGCTGTGGGGGATACAACTTCCATCCCGACGGTTGATAGACAAACAGTTGAATGACATCGGAATTTGTGGAATCAATACTGAAAAATGAATTAAATTGGTTTTGGAATTGTGAGGTCTTTGGAATGATCATTTCCTGCACCACTTACAAATGGTTGATTTATTCGCTACAACATTGATCTTTGGCAACATAGCTCCAGTTAAAATTGATTCGTCAACTTTGAAGAAGGTTTGATCACCACAAGCAAATATCATGGTGGCCCTTTTGCCGTATTGCGGTCCAATTCCACTGTAAATACAAACTCCAGTGAATTTCTGAGATATTTTTAATGAAAAGAAGTATTCAACTTACGACACTTGTCCGGGAGTACAATTCCATAAGAACTTCTGCTTTATCATAACCAAGTTCGAAATATCCGCTTGACCGTCTTCGTTTGACTCTGATTTTTGGAACTCATCCAAGAGGTTAACATTGTGCTGCATGTCATGAGGCAATCGACCCAATTGTCCTTTCAAATGACTGCCAAATGTATAAATTACTCCGCGAGCAGATAGTAACACTGTGTGATTGCTTCCAGCAGCAACTTGAACGATGAACGAATTCAGTTTAACCTGAACTGGTCCAACGTATGGCACGAGGTCACCGGTACCGAGCTGACCATATTGATTGCTACCAAATGTAAAGACTTCACCATTTTGAGTTAAAACTACGGTGTGATGAAGTCCGCAGGCAATTTGTATGACCGGACTGGTGGTTGGGAGCGATACTTTTTGCGGTGGTAATGGAGCAACGCGCGGCGTTGTATCACGGTCAACTTCGGCAATTGCGTTTTGAGTTTCGGGCATTCGTTTGTCTTTGGATCGACTGATCCAGCCTTTTGAACGCTGGCGCAGAAGGAATGTGAATGGTTTGTTATCCTTGCCATCTGAAAATAATTTGGTGTGAATTTAAATCATTTATATTATTTTGAATATGAAAAATGAAATCCGACCTCCGGTTCCATCTGACTCTTGAAATGATATACAAGTTGAACATGCTCCACATTTCGAACAGCCACCGTCACCGGTGCCACAAGCACAATTTCTGAAAACGAGAAAGAAAAATGTTGTTGCAATCGACAATTGGAAAAATATCGACTGACATTCGAATAATATCGAATTTCACAGCCAAAGAAATGATTGGCCAATTTGAAAAATACTTACGCTCCCGGAATCCTCTGATCGATGGTTATATTTTGTGTGCTGACACATGAAACGTTATATCCAGTGCATTCCCGACAAATCGTACAAACTCTGCACTGTCCATGCACAATATTGTGCTCTTCAAAATCGCACATATTGGTAACATCCACTTTCAGTGTTCCAACTTGATTCGCCGAAGATGATGAATGCGACTGCTGTGATTTCATTCCAAAGTCAACATTTTCTTGCGCAAATTGAGATGGTTTCCCCTTTGATCTGCCACATTGTCCTTTGTTGTTCATTCCAAATGTAAATATGTGACCTTTGCTAGTCAATGCCACCGTATGTGCCTTTCCAAGTGCTACTTTTGTTATGTGTTGATCAAGAATGTCTGACACAAATCCAGTCGATGCGTCACAGTGCATTGTGTCTTTTCCTAGCATTATGAGTTTTCCTGTGTTTGTTACCAGAGCCGAAGTGCCATTATTGCAAGAAGCATGCACAATGAAGTGACCATCCACTTTGCCAATTTTCTTTGGTTTCACAGCCTTCGGTTGACGACGATTCTTTGACGAGTCACCGTCCTCACCTCGACGTGCAGTTCCTGTTTTGAATGGAGAAAATATAAAAGGAATGAACTCAATCTGTGTGGAATAGGAAACCAAAAAAATGAGTGTATTCAACACACCTGCAAAGTAGACACTTCCGTCCTCATTGATTAAAATAGCATGCATTCCGTCATGACCAATTGTCGCATAAACGATGTTCGATGATTTTGCAACAATCAATTCGATTGGTTTCATTGAAGGTGTCTTTCCAATCGATTTCAAGCCCAACGCCGACGATTTGCCGTAGTAATAAATCTTGCCATTTGTTGCTCGAATCAATCCAAATTCTTTGCCACACACAATTCCAGCGATTTCTGTCTCGCTTGTGAACTTCATCTCGAATGGATTGAACGATGTTTGGATCTGAAAATTCATGTCGAACATTTCGCTTATTACTTAATGAATCCATTTGGGGGGAATAAATATCAATCACCTTTTGAATTTGTTGTTGGTTTAGCAGTTCTTCTTCGAAAGTGGCATATCCATAGGTCTTGAAGCTCTTCCGTGCTAGTTGAAGCATCAAATCTGGTACGGTGCTGCCGACGGTATACAGTTGCCGTATAACCAAGTTATCCTAAGAACAATATGGAAAACTCGTGAATTTCATTCTTTTGTGAAGTTGCGTGAAGAGCACTTACATCTTTCAAAGAGCATATAGCATTCAATGAATCCTCATCGGAAAATAAGATGCAGTTTTGTCCATCTTTATTCGGAGGCATCGCAATTTGGATAGTGGCTGAAATGAGAATACACGCATTAAAGATGAGTTCAGCATAGTTATAGTTTCAGCATATTCCCCATGGCGTAAACTTACAGCTGATGGAAAGAGTCTCTGTATTAACAACCAACATGGTTTCGTTGCTTCGCTTGGAAATTTTCTTGTAAAACAACGAATTCTGAAACAAAACGACAAAAAATGAATCATTTAACTGTCAATATACAGGCATATAGAATTAAATTTCGCATCCGATACATACACCGCAAAAACCGATCCATCCACATTTCTCTTTACAAAATTCCGGATTCACCGCATAGACATATCCCTTCAGCGTTTCATTGAACCCAGTACCAATTTTGAATAAACTCTTGCCCAACAAAATGTACATATGTTTTCCATTTGATGCAATTGAAGGTTGAACATGATACTGAACCCTCTCTGACATTTGGGTTTTGACGCTGAACTGTAACCATACATTCATTGATTTAATACACTATTTCTATTTTTGTCACAGACTCACAATTTGTACCTCTTCAATGAGAGAATTTTTCGGCACTCCATTTGTGAAGAAATCCGGTTTGGTTGGTTTGCCCAAGGCAACGGCATAAATGCTTCTTTGCAATGTGGATAGTACCATGGGCAACTGAAAATCGAATATTTATGAGAATATGGCAGAAAAATAATGCAAGACATTTAAAAATGATTCAAACCTGAATATTTTGTCCAGATAAAATTTTCGGTGACATTATGAGTGCGGCAATCGCTTTGATGGCTTGGGATGCAAAAATGAAATGATTGAAACTAACTACGCATAATTTTCAGCTTGTGATGAAATCGACTTACATTTTCCAGTATCGCCACGGGCAATGCACAAGCCAAGCAATGCGGAACAGGCAATTGATGACCAGTTGGTTAAATCCGAATCTTGTGGATTCGGTAGACCACCGTGCAATGTGGCCAAATTCAACAGCAAATCATATAGCGGTTGAATCAAGTCATTCGGTTCCGATGTGAAACTCTCCGGCACTTGACCCTGAATCACATCGAAAAGTGCTCGCAACCCTTTTGTACATAAATTTGGACTGACATTTCTTGCTTCAGCGATCAATTCAAATAGCCCCTTCAAACCAGCACCCACGATCTAGAAGAGAAAAATTGTTTTCAATATATTCCTGTTTCAATATTTCATGGAATGATTATTCCATTCAAACCTGCGGTATTGGCATTGTGAGCTGTTTCTCGGTAATGTCACCCATCAAACTCTCTGCATCCGTGTCAATATCCTGTTGTTTCACCGCTTGATGGCATTGTAACTTCTTGCTACTCTCCAAAATATCGAACAACGTTTGTGATTTGGACTCTGATTCCATGACAATTGCTCGGATCGCAGAAAAAACCGCAAATTTCGATGCATTTGGAAGTATTTCAATGCGATTGATGTTTGATAGCTGATCATGGTTGTTTACCGCACAAGTTCGATTACGTTTACGACGACGATTTCGATTGCCACGATTCCCAGGCGGTGATTTCCTTAGAAATTCGAAAAATGAGATGAGTGATTGATTCGATACAAGATGTAAATAATCATATCGATTTATTTTGACGTTAGTTGACAGCGCGAGCAAGATTGAATAACGCGGAGAAACATAAACTGCACGTGCTAAGCACGTCGTGCTTCAATTTGTTTGGAAACACAAAAATGTGCTTAAAACCGCATGAAATATCTTTTCCCCTGTAAATAATTTGACATTTTTCGGGCATGCGCATTGACATACACGCTCTAGACATTTTGTTTTTTTTTTTTTCATCAGAATTTTAATTTTTTTTTCATGGGAAAAATGATTTTATAATTTGTAGATAAACAGACTGATTAGAGCATTTTTCGATCTTGATTATGATTTTTGTACAGATATCAATGATAGAAACAATATTTTGTTAATGGATTGAGTATGGAATAGTATAAAATAGCAACAATAGTATACAAGGGTCTGGCTGATCCAGAAACGAGGCGTGTTATTATTTCTATTAAAATTAGGATAATTTAAATAAACTTCAACCAACTAATTTGTTATCCCTAAATATTCTATTCTATCTCCGAAATTTACCTATTATCCAAGCAATTGATGTACAGTTCGTGAAACTGTTCACCGTATTTTGTTGGTTCTAGTGGCCCCATAATGTCGCTGTCCTAGTTTAATTCGTTTTTTGACAAATTTGCACTGGCTTTGTTAAATAAATATTTTTCAACTACTCGTCGAGATTCAGAAGTAATCAATATTGGAATTTCAAAATGAATAACACAGTTTCGATGAGTTTTTTTAAAAAAAATTTCGATATTTTTTTCTTATAAGAGTTTATTAACAGTTGGTCGGCAAATACTGAACCAAGCTACCCTTATTTGGATTTTTCTCATTTATTTCATGTTTTTTCAATGCACTTTTAACTTTTGCTCACATTTCTAATGTTTATTTCCACATAACAACTGGTTTTACGATTGAAATACGCGAAAAAAATTTTAATTCAGAAAAATCTTTTAGTAGTTTTAATGAATCACCCTTGCAAGAGGGTGCTCAAACAAACTAACAATTGTGACATTGGAAAATCGATAATAAACGCTTCTCCATTTTCGTCATCCCTCTGTTTACGTGCTAAAAAGGGGTGGAACCACACGTGCATTCCGCGTTGCCTATGCAACAGGCTTCACATTGGTTTGAGACTTCGCTATGTTTACAAACGGATTGAACGTTTTGAACGGCGAGGGGTAGTGGATAATTTTTGCCGGCATCTGAAAATTGTCAACAATACAACGTGCATCGAGTCGGCATCTAAGTGGGGGATGATATTTGAAGATAAGGGGAATTTTGTCTAATCAAGTGAAATGATAATGATCAAGATATTCTAAATATTTTGAACATATATCTTAACTTCTATGGGGATTTACAACAACGACCATGTTTTTTTTTTTGCTTTCAAATCCACTTCTCACATGGATCTATTTTTTATGCAGCAAAGATTGAAGAAAGATTTTAAATTTCACCTGTATGCACATGTTTGGCCATCACATCACAATAATTGGACTGTAAGTTTACTGTCAGTGTTATTCCATGCAATCATTAGCTGGATGAAGTTACTTTTTTGAATCGTTTCGACAATTTTGTGTTTACACCGAAAAGATTTGTGTCAAGAAAGGCCACAAATCACGAACAAACAATACGCCAATTAATGGCTCCAACCATACAAACCGCTCGATTGGAAGAAGAACAGAATGTTTTTTTATTTCAAAAAAATGTGTTGGTCAATTTTCCGATGCTGTTAATACTACTACGCTTGCACAAGAGTGCCGAAAATGTTCAAGCAATGAGTTTGAAATCAGTCAACAATATCAAATAATTTGACTGTTGCTCCGAATGTGGCGCTCCAGCCATAATTGAATGTGTGAAAGTTTGAATTGAATATGCAATTTCTTTGAAAAGTGAAAGTTTCAAGTAAAAGATATGCAAATAAGCTATTCCAAATTCTATTCAGACATGGATCAATAAAATTATCACCTTTTTATCAGAAGTATGACGTTTTGCTGTTACGACTATGACGGCAATCGATCACTGAATTTAAGCTGTTATATGCTTGTTCGACGCCTGAATGGGCAACAGTTGAAACACTGTATAGCCAAAAGTTCCTATGTCTATAAACAGCCAAGTTTTAAGTTTTCCATGTGCTTTGCCAGAAAAAACTTCAATTTGTTTGCAAACTATAGAATTTTGAAAAGTAGTTCCAATAATCAGAAAATTAAGAATTTCTAGAAGTTTGTCGACCGTTGATGCTGTCGCTGGATATAAGCATGACTTTCGTAGATTTTTTTATTGCGATGATATAATGTATTAAAAGAATTATTACTGCAAAATAATTCAACAACAATGGCTGGTTCGAGAAAGAAACAAGCACGAATCAACAAAGCAAAGACAGTAAAAACGAAAAAAACTTCTGATAAAAATATATTTTTAATTATGATTCAATAAGCAAAATCAAACTGAATGAAAACTCATTCGAAATTTGAAATTTAAATAAACTGAATTGTTTTAATGGTGAAATGAATTCACCACGGAGGGAAAATTCACCACTGGTGACAACTAGCTGACATGAACTACGTAGCTGTCATCGCACGTCAAGCTGTCGTTTAGATTTGTATTTGTGTACATCATCAGAAAAGGTTTCTCTTTTTCTGATTGCACTTTCGATAGATAACATTTGCTAAAAAAACATTACTGGAATTTGCACGATAACTAATTTTCCGTTTGATAAGCTGACCTGCTGTCAAACAATTGATATAATTCTGTTATACATTGAATCAGTCCAGTGTTGAGTGCTTAAATAATTGAAATATCCGAGATGTTAACGGCTACCTGCAAAGCTGCTCCAAATATCGCTGTAATCAAATACTGTAAGTGTAACAGAAAAATTAAATGACAACTAATTTTATTCTGGAAAATTCAAGGAAATTCGTTCAAAAAGTGCATATTTAGCTCGAAAATTGCATAAATTCATATTATAGAGCGTATTCAGTTTCATAGTAGGCATTCCATTACATCAGTGATTAAATCGCGATTTGAAATCGATGACGTCGGCAGTCCGGTTGTCCATTATGTGTGTGTAATGCAAATAGGCGCTCCCAAAAATACATTAGCCTCAATCTCTGAACTATTGGCCTTATTCGAAGACACTTTGATGTTATTATTCAAAAATGCTGACAAATGTGTTATTTTTGTTGCAAATATGATTTGTTACAAAGCGTTTTGATTAATTGTTCGTTGATTTTCCGTAAATTTTAGGGGGAAAACGAGATGAGGAACTAATTTTGCCAGTTAATGATTCGTTAAGTGGGACATTGTCAACCGATGAACTATGTGCAAAAACCAGCATCACAGCTGACACCACGTTTACCGAAGACAAAATGTGGTTAAACGGCGAAGAAGTTACCATTTGGGATAATGCGAGACTTAAAAACTGCATTGAATATTGTAATTATTGTTGAATTTAATAATATTTGCCATTTTTATTTTGAACAGTCATTTGAAAGGAGATTTTTTTTCATTTTCAGTAAGAGGAATCGGCGAAAAGAAGTTAACCGACAAATCAGTACTGAACTATAAGTTACACATTTGTTCGGAGAATAATTTCCCGACCGCCGCTGGCTTAGCATCCAGTGCCGCTGGATATGCTTGTTTCGTGTACACTTTGGCAACACTGTACGGATTGGAGAATCAGGAGCTAACCGCCATTGCTCGCCTTGGTTCGGGCTCAGCGTGTCGTAGCATTTATGGTGGTTTTGTCCAATGGAAGAAGGGTGAATTGGCCGATGGTAGCGACTCAATTGCAGTTCAAATTGCTCCGGCCAGCCATTGGCCAGAAATGCACGTACTCATTTTGGTTGTCAGCGATGCACGAAAAAAAGTCGGATCAACGGTTGGAATGAGATTGGCTGTGGAAAACTCCGAATTACTTCGATTTCGGGCAAGTCACTGCGTACCAAAGCACACGGAACAAATGAAACAAGCCATTTTGAACAAAGATTTTGCCACCTTTGGCGAAATAACCATTCGAGAGAGCAATCAATTCCATGCCATATGTCTGGATACCTATCCACCATGTGTCTATATGAACGACCGATCGCATAGCGTGTCTCATTTTATTCATAAATACAACGAAAACGCCGGCGAAGTCAAGGTAGGCGGCAAAAATGATGAGAGAACTTAATTTATTTGATTTTTGTTTGAAATTTTGGTTGTTATTTCTTGAAACTTTCTATTCAATTCCTTATTGATATATGTTTGTCTAGGCCGCCTACACTTTTGATGCTGGAGCTAATGCTTGCGTGTACTTATTGGAGAATGAAGTGGCAAAATTTATTTCATATCTCAATGCGTATTTCCCAAATGACGAATCACCAAGCGACGAATATGTTCGAGGAATTCCAGTTCAACCGAATCCTCTGAGTAATTCGGTAATTAAATATGAAAAAAATATTGTTCTCGCGGTTATTTAACGCAGATGGTTTTAAATTTTCCATAGGATCTTCAATCTTTCGGATTAAGTGCTACAATCAGCAAGAACACCTTCAAGTATATAATTCACACGAAAGTGGGTGAAGGACCACAAAGACTAGACAACAACGAGTCACTATTGGGAGCCGATGGGACTCCAAAGAATTTGAAGTCATAAAATTGAAAGAGATCAATTCATACGCATATTTGAGTCAGCTAAACAAAAAAACAAACTTTTGGTGTAGGGAAAAATTATTAAAAGGGTTAAAATTAGTTAAAAAAATTCGTCAGAGACCTCATCACACAATAGGTGCAATTCTTAATACATTCATCTTGGCATTACTAGAACATTGAAAAGTAGTGAGAAAAAAAGAACACTTTGACCAATTCATTGGTATTTATGGAATAATTTATTGTTTTTCTATCCTAAATTGTTTAAAATAAACTCGTTCGAATTTTGTTTATGATGATTTTGTTTCATATGTTTTGTTGAACATAAAATCTATACTCTCACATGTTTTTTTGTTGTTTACAATCTAGGTTCAATTAAATGTATAGTTTGCATTTAAAATATACTTAGTATTGCATAGAATTATGCATAGGAATGCACTATACTACTTTTATACACAATTCACGTCGCTACTTCTGCGCACTAACTACCTCATTTCCGTCGTCTTCTTCTATCTATCCTTCCGTCTTCATCGATTTGTTCGAAATCGTTCGGATTTCACCGTTTCCGGCATTTTGCATTCACAAAATCTATATACTTGTATATTCAATAGATATCTGTATCTTTTGTTGTTCAACGTTCAACATAAAACTAGTTTACTTGAAATTAATTTGTTGATTGCTTTTTTCTTGTTTAATTCATATATGCTACTAAACAAACTACGCTGCAACTAAAATTGACTGCAACTACTCTAGAAATGTGTAACTTCAATATCTTCTTCCAGATCATCTTTTTCGTCATCGGTCTCTTCGATGTCTGCTTGTCTAGCTGCTTCAGCTTCGCGGGCTGCCTTCTCCTTTTGCTCTTGTTTCTTAAGTCTACGTTCCTGTTGGCCAAAAGAGAGGAAGCAAATAAGAGGATGAATGAACGTTCGAAAAAACTATATTTTGCACAAAAGTGGATGTCGAAATGAAGACACTTACCTTTCGTCTGTGGCGGACTTCAACAATAATGTAACCAATAACACCTAAGACTAAATTGCCAAACAAAACGTATAGCTTCATGCGCGCACACAATGTGGTCGAATAGGCATATGCAATGACGAAACCAGCTGATTCCCACAATCGATAGTTTGAGAAGGCAGCTTCCTTGTTACGTCTGAACAACAATCCATAGAGACCTAGAAAAACAATTATATTTAGATTTTCAGCTATCGAATCGATTTGCGAATATGTGTTCAGATCGTACCGTTAATTTGTGTTTGCCATACGGCATCACCAACGCCCCACAATCCAGCAATAGTGAAGAAGACTAATGGGTTCTCTGGATGTGGACGCCAGAAAAGCATGTAAATTACAACAGCTCCATGTACAATTGTGCCTAAAAATGAGATTTAAAAATGTAGAAAAGAAAATTAGCACGTTTTCAAGCAGGTAATATTCTGGACATTTTGCATGCAGAGAGACATTTCGCATGTACAAGTAGAAGAAATGATTTGCTTACCAAGAGCAAGAATTGGAATTCGGCCGATGTACTTCATGATTGAACCAAAGATGATTGAGCAAATAGCATTAACAACACCGAAACAGATCATAACATAACCAATGCTGTGGATACCCAAAGCGCACGATACGTATGCCTGATGGAAACGAATTTTATCAGTAAAAATTGTAAATAAAAAGTGGAAAATTCACTACGCAGACTCAAATAGAACCAATACTTACTTGCGTGAAATCAGCTCCAATGAATGCTTGTTCCATACCAATCCAGACGGTAATTGGGACCAAGAGTTGTTGGTTAGCTTTCTTGCACTGGTTCATTGTGGCCGACAACAAGGCGACTCCGGACAATTCTTTAGCTGATTCGGATCCCTTACGTTTTTCACCATATCTATAATGATGTGTAAAAAAGGCGATTATATACACTGTTCAATGCAAAAATCAAGGTAATCAATGATCATTAGTCTAACATACCGTGACAATGGATCCAAAAGCAATGCAATGACGATAACGGCAGCGACGATACATGTAAGATAGATGGTTGAGATTTCGAAGATTTCTGAATCGGGTGGGCGTTCGAGGTTAGCATTTTCGGCTGAAGCAACAACACAGAAATTGGCACCACATTGAGCCAAAGCGGCTTCACTGAATGTGTGATTTCCACCGCTGCCACCACCATGAGCTCCGCTTGACAACACCAAGCTACTGATCAAATTTCCCCACAATTCAGCGGTTTGCCAGGCCAAGAAGAAGAATCCGAAGAACCGTACAATGATCGCATCAACTGCTTGATCGGTAATCTTAGCATAAACTTGACCGCACTGGGTTAAATAAGTGGCCTTTGATGCCCACATAGGAGCTGCACCCAAACCGAGCAAAATACCGGCTGGCACCAAGGTGTAGAATCTGAAAATGAAAAAGAAGCCAATTAACACTGTGTGAAATTTTCATTACAAAACTAATGACGGAAATGAAAGCAATGTCACTTACTTCGGGTAGAATTGGGCTCCAATGTAGGGGGCATAGCACAACATGCTGCAACATAAGGTCCATTTTACCGTTAGCCGTCGAATCACAAGTGTTGGGATAAAAATACAAGACACCACAATAGCTGCATAGATTGCACTTAAAGATACTGTTCCTAAACCATCTTTGGCATTAATTGAAGATTGCAAATTAGCTGTTCCCTGTAAACATGTGAATGAGAAAAGAGAATCTGTTATGAGCAACGAATTTTTTTTATCATTTAATTATAGTTTGCTTTGTAGTTGAGATCCGTGTGCTCGAAATCAAATTGACGTACATAATTCAATAGAAAATCGATCAAACCGAATGGTCCATGTATTATTTTGAAAACGCAATAGCTTGTAAATTTCCATTTAATTTTTATTGAACTAAACTCTTTCCGGAGTGGCAAATGACGTGTTTGCGCTTGATACAATATTTAACTCATAACGAATTGTCAAATATTGACGCTTGATTCGAGGAAAAAAAAATGAAATGGCTTCTGTAAACATGCTCTCAAGTTGAACAAAGCAAATAGAGAATTGGCTTGAATAGAACATGGCGTGAACAAGCATGTGAAATTGATTTTATTCGTTGACCACGAGCTGACAACATAAAAAGCTAACATCAATTGTAGAATTTAACAAACTATGAATACAGATTTGGATGGCTGATATTTCCGCTTTCATCATTCGACGTGTAATTTGTATTTGAAACGCATTTACTTTTCGATAGCCAATAAATTTGTGTGTAAACTACCTGAAACGCTGTGAATTGGATCATAAACGCTGATGACAAAATTGCTACGTTTTTCAATATTCTCCATTTTTCCGACGGTGAGAGCTTCACTTTTTCTCTGATTGATACGGTATCTTCTGTGTTACGCAATGGGGGCTAAAAAAATGAAAACGGAAAGCAAACGAATTTTTTTTATGAATATTCCACCTTTTTTCATGCATGTTTTTTGGCATACCTTAACTGGATTGTCGCCATCGTAGGCTTTATTTTCATATCCTGAACTAACTGTCATTTTTACTTAGAATCTGAAAAAAAGATCACAATAAATCAAGAGAGATTAGTTAAGATGAACAGAGGAAAATGAACAATATTTACGAAAAAAATATGAATTCACAGTGCTAGACACGAAATACAAGCGCTAAATTTTCATCTTCACTTTATGTTCAAACAGCAAACGTTCATAATTTATTATGTAAACGTTTAGGATTTCCGCCCAACCGAGTTAATTGCTTATTGAATTTTCGATTGAACATTTTTTTCCACATAAAACAGAAAAAAGGTCTCTTCTTTCCGATTGGGAAGTTCTGAATTGTTAATTTACATCCCAACAAAACCGCAAACTATTCTCTTTCCCTTTCTCTCTCTCTCTCTCTCTCTCTCTCTCTCTCTCTCTCTCTCTCTCTCTCTCTCTC